TCTGCTTTGCTTAGTGGTTTTTTTCCTAAGTGTATCTAAACTGTCTTTCAATATTCTTTGCAGGGTTGGCTTGGTGATCATCAAGTTCTTCAGCTTTTCTTTGTCATGGAAGTATCTTATTTCTTCATGGATTTTGAAGGACCATTTTGCAGGGTACATCAGTCTAGGTTGGAAATCATTTTCCTTTAGGATCTGAAATACTTCACTCCATGCTCTTCTTGACTTTACTGTTTGTGCTGAGAAAAGTCTGCTGTGATTCTGATAGGTTTTCCTTTATAAGTGATCTGTTTTTTCTCTCTGATAGCTTTTAATATTCTGTTGGTATGTTGCATTTCTGGGATGGTGATTATTATATGTCTGGCTGTAGTTTTATTTTGATTATGACTATTTAGAGTTCTATGTGCTTCACTGATCCTGATGTCAGTTTCCAATCTCATGTTTGGAAAATTTTCAGCTACTACTTATCTAAATATCCTCTTGACATCCTTTATGTTGTCTCTTTCTCTTTCATTTATCCCTATCAAGCTTATGTTGTTTTTCTTTGCATCATCTTACAGCTATTGACTTGTTATTTCCTGATTCCTTGCTATTTTTAAAAGATCTTGCCTTTCCTGTTCACTCTCTGCAATCTTGTCTTTGAAGTCTGGAATTCTATCTTCACTTTTGTTGAGATGGTTTTGACAACTTTCAGTGGAATTTTTGATTTCCTGTATATCTCTTTGCATCTGCTTTATGTATTCTGTTTGTTTCTTATATTGCTCATCCAGGGATTCTATCTTTTTGTTTAGTTCCTCCAATTTTTTAACTGTGTATTCTTTAGTTATGTTCAGCATCTCCTTCATTTCTTTTCTCATTTCTTCTTTTACCTGGGAGATTATTTCTAGTCTGAATTCCTTTAAAGCTTCCTGAAGTTGCCTCTTTATTTTAGTTGCTATTATGTCCAATATACCAGGTGTATGGCATATATTTTCTTCTATGTATATAGTTCCTAAGGTTTCTTGGGATGGGCTCGAGGTTTGAGATTGTAATTTGGTCTTTCATTTTGTCATTTTCCTATATTTCTGTGTTTTAAGTGTTATTCCAAGGCTTCTCCCAGGTCTGTTGGAAATCTTCTTCTATGCCCTCAGCTCCTGGGACTCTGGCTGCCCAGCTACCCGGATTGAGAGAGGGTCACTGGGGGTGGGACAGGCAGGCTCAAGACAGCTGGTCTAGTGCAACAGCAAGCCACAAAGTTCCCTGTCCAGGGCTGAGCAAGGAACTAGCTGGGCTCAGGGGAAGGTGCGGGGGACACTCACCCCTGGCCGTCCAGCCTCTGGAACTGATGGTGCCTGCTTACTTAGAACTCCAGAGTCCACCAAGCATGGCTGGGAGCAGGGAGGCCGTTCGATGTTTTTAATTGTTTTTTTTTTTTTTTTTTTTTTTGCCTTTTTCCTTTTTATTGGTACCAGGGATCGAACTCACAACTGCCTACTTGCAAGGCAGGTGCTTATGCCACTGAGCTAAATCCCCAGCCCCTGTTTTTAATTTTTTTAACTGAAGGACATTAGAGACAATCTAATAAAAAGAATATGTGGTTTATACTGATATCATATTATGATATACATTCTACATATTCTAATGTTCTGATTTATTAATAGACAGTCTCTACATATATCATTTTCCCAAAGTAATACATGCATTTTCAACCAAGATAACAAGTTAGTAAAAACATAACTTTAAAAATTATTTGCTAAAGCAAATCACAAAATAGCTAAAATTATCCTTAAAAAGAACATTAATGAGAGAAAGACACAGGGAAGGGTGTTGTAACCTTAGGAACAAAGAAATTAAACAATGGAGTAGATTAAAGCCAACAAACACTACATCGATTGATCAGTTTATAGCCAAATGGGCTTTTAGGAGGTGAGGGCTGTGGAGGAAGTAGTCAGTAGAGACACAGCCTGGCAGTGTATATCTTATCCTTCCCTGCCTATCTCTTTCTGCTTTCCTGGCTACCATGAGGCAAGTAGCTTTCATACATCACATCCTTCTGCCATGAGTTTTTTGTCTAGCCACTTGCCTAAAAGCAATGGAGCCAGCAGCCATTAACTGAAATCTCTGAAACTGTGAGCCAATAGAAATCTTTCCTCCTTTAAACTGTTATTCTTGGGAACTTTGTCACAAAGATGAAAAGCTGACCAATACAGACTCATACTCCATACTATCACAAAAATCACCCTCTGGTATATTAAGAACATCAGAATATTCTTCTAATTTGAAAGTTAGGAAAAAAGTCTTCCAAAAAACACAAACTGCCAACCATAAAAAAGAATAATAATACATTTGGCTACACTAAGGTTCTGTTAACTACAAGATATCATAAAGAAGAGGCTGAGGATTTAGATCAATGGCTTAAGCACCTACCTGGCAAGTGCAAGATCATGAGTTCAATCCCCGGTACCAAAAAGAAAAAAAAAGATGTCATAAAGAAAGATAATTATATTCTGGAAGAAGATATTCTCAACACTTAGAATAACAAGTGGATTAGAATTTCAAGCTGAGATATAAGAACCTCCAAGAATCCATGAAGAAAAGATAAATGCCCTAGTGAAATCTGAGCAAAAAAGTGAAGACGCATTTCACAGGTAAGGAAACATAAATAATGAACTGTGAGGGATTAACTAATGGGCAACTTGTAACATCCAGCTGAAATGAATCAGCACAGTGCTGAGTGTAGAAGGCCCATCTGAGGATTATTGCCTGCAGGCTAAAAACAGAACTGAAGGGGAAGAGGTGATGCTGTTGATTCTCCTGGTGAAGCTTGTCGCACTGGCTCTTCTGATATGCACTCAGCTGTTCTCATCGGTGGAGCTCAGGTCCTCATTGTTGCTGAGAATGGTTCTCTTGCAGGGAGCTCTGGTCCTTTAACCATCACTTCTTGGCTCCAGTGCAGATTTCTCAGCCTATTGGCACAGATCCTTTATCCCGTTAATGCAGACTTTCTAGCTTCCACCATTGACCTTTGGGCCTTCCCAGTGTAGATCCTTGATACAGACTTGCATGAGACATTATCATGGGCTCCAGGTCTCCAGTTGGATTCTTGCAGGACATTGCCATGGGATCCAGAGCCTCGGTTGGGTTCTTTGGGTCTCTAGTGTATGGACAGATCTCTTGCACACCTTTGTATTTGGCTCTTTGGAAGAACATTATAAAATAATCCTATAGATTATGTGCCCTGGGTTAAATCTTTTCCCTTGTAAACCCTAACTGCAACAGTCATTAATAAAACATCAATAAATTAGCTGTACTTAGCAAAATGAGATGTTATTCAATAGTGAAAGCGAATAGAGGACAGCTGTATGTATTATAGATGAAAAAGCAAATGACAATACCATCTTTATAAAGACAACCGAGATTGGAGTATAGAGTCTTCAAAAATATCTAGTTGGGATGAAGAAATTTTATACAAGAAGCCCAAAGTATAAACTAAGAGCAAAATTTAAAAAATAGATATTAGGAAATGAGGAGATTGGGATGGGGACCAAGAGATGGAGGGTGTCTTAGTTATATTTTACTCATCTCTGAGACAAAATAGCTGATGCCCAAAGTTGGGAAAGAATTTCCCAACTGTAATTTCTTACAGTTTTTGGAGGTTTCAGTCCATACTCAGTTGGCTTCAAGGCAGGGTGGCATGGCAGGCTGCAGTTCATGGTGGCTGCAAACAGCAAGTTGAAACCAGCAAAAGAGCAAGACACGCCTTCTTCCTACCATTACATTACATCCTGGCTCCACCCTGAGGCTGGTGTAGCACTCATACCCCCAATCCAAGCACTAGACAATGAACCAATCACAAATGCATAATGCAAAGGCATGAGACTTGAGGCCACCAACATAAACCATGACAGAGTAGAAGGGAAAGAAGGAGAAGAGGACATAAAAATAAATAAGATGTGTTGCATTCATGTAACAATAAAGAAAATTTTAAACATAAAACAACTTTAATAGTTAAGTATACAACATAAAATTCAGGACAGTGGTTGGGTTTGGGCATATGAGAGAATGAAATCTGGTCTTTTTTAAGGTTATAGCTTCTAACATATCTGTCAAATATGTTATTTCTATTGTTAGAAAAACAATAAAATTTGTAAAATAAAGACCAAGACTGATGACTGATCACACTGATAAGACATGGAAGGAAAGAAACAAGAACCAACATTCTTAGCATACTTGCTCTTTGGCGTGATATCAACAAATATGAGAGAAAGGAAGATGATTACTGAAGATGAATTGATTCAGGATGAATTGTATTCAGGATGAGTTGATTCTTCTGGATCTTCTGGAATATCTAAAATTTAGAAATATTGCTGGATTGAGAGACTTGTGTTTTGATAGAAAATCAGTTGCTGCCATGAGGTACACACTGACAAAAGAAAATTGAGATGAATATGAGGAAGTATGCTCAAATTTAGAGGCTAGAGTTCCAGTTACCTGGCTGGGACAATAATACCTGATGTAAAAAAAACTTTAAAGTAATCCACAGATGAAATCAGAGATTTCATAATCCTGTTGTCTCTGGAATTCCCACAGACCTACCCAGAAGTGTGCTTCACTAATTTCCTAGGCATTTCTCATTCTACTCAAGTTAACAGTCCAGATCAATCATCATATCTATAAGCTGAAAACCTAAACAATGAAGAAAAGAAAGGACAATCAGCCTATACAAAGCTCCAGGAAAGTATAAAGTTACAGAATCATAGGCAAGATACAGCTGAGATCCAGAGGATGGCTGGAGTGTCAGTCACTTTAGGGAGGGCTGGGGGAATTGGACTTGAAATAATGTTCCACTTGACAAAAAGGACAGACAGTGGCAAAGTGCAAAACAAACAACACATTTTTAATGACCATGATAGATTTTTGCACCTTAGGTTTCACACTTGGTTATTTATAAAACCAAATGTACTACTCAACTCATCTATCTGACCCATCACCGTATCCAAAACAAGGCACCTGACTAGTGATAGTAACTTGCAGTTTCCAAGTTATTTATTATTTTATTAAAATCATCTTTACCAGCAGCAATATATTCATCACCATACTATCAAGGACATCCTGTCCCTTGTATCTTTCCATTGTCCCCAGACTTCAGATTCCATTGTAGAGTAGCTTCCTTTCCTTTAGTTACTGTCAGTTCTGACTCCAGAGTCGCCTTTGCGCAGGTAATTCAGCACTGCACTCTGACGAGGTGTGCCTTTTCACTGCACTCCTTGCTGTCTGGAATCACTAGACTGCATGTTGTCTTTTTTCCCATAAAAGCATGTAATCTGCCCTAGTAGTTTAAAAAATAGTATTCTTGTTTCATGTTCTTTTAGTGACCGGCATACAGTACAAAGGGTGCTCAATGAATATGCTGCGGTGATTTCTATGTCTTATTTTATACTTTGTGCTGTTTTCTTCTCTTAGGAACTTTTTCAACTTAGCCATATCCCTCAAGTCTTTCAGGACCCTTTATTGCCTGTACAGTTTTCCTGGTTTGATAAGACTCAGATCCTACTCATTTACCCTGCCTTGCCATCATGAAGATGCAGTTTCACCATGCTTGTGTCTGTATTGTTTCTCCTGTGCAGCACATCCTTCCCCAGGTAATACTGATGCTGTGACTCCACACAGAACTCAGAAGAGCACTCCACAGGAAGCAGGGTTGCGTTGATGGAGTACTGTTGCTAAATACCTACAAAAATAATTTTTCAACTCATTGACTTTGACTCATTATAATGAAACATATTAATTTACAATATCTACTATTTCACTTGCCTCTAGTAAACTTTAATACTAATATATTTATCAAAGTATGATTCAATGACCTTGGGGGGAAGAAAACAGAAAATAAGGCAAAAATAAATAAGTACCCTGCAGAGAAAACAAGTGCTTGTGACTAACTGAAGCCAAAGAAAACTTTTTTTTTTTTTTTTCAGGAACACAGGATGGGAGATGAACAAAATACAAAATACTGCCTCTGAGACAAGATGAAAAAAAAGTTCAGGAGATAAATTTTAAGAGATTATTAATTTTTACTTCTACAAGAAAGTTTCATTAGCAAGAAATATTTTGTTATTGTTTAAGAAGAAATAAAAGTTTACTTTGAACATGAAAATGGAAACATTAAAGGCATATAAATATTGGGTATTCTAGGATGCTCATTTTCCCTTTGTATTAGTTTTCCCTGGCTCCTATAAGGATCCAATATATATTCTTAACTTTTCACAGATTATTTAGGGGTTACTATTGAATTAATTCATGGAAAGTATAGAAATCTTGGAAATTATCAGTTTTTTCTTCCCACCCTTTTTGCTATAACCGGTTGAGGCAAAAAGATCACAAACTCGAGCCCAGCCTGAGCAAATTAGTGAGACTCTGTCTCAAAATAAAAACAGGCTGGAGATGTAGCTCAGTGATAGAGCACTTGGCTAGCACATATGAGGCCCTGAGTTCAATCCCCTAAATGGAAAAATATATATATAAAATAAAAATCCAATACTCTTTTTTTTTACTCTTAAGATCTGAATTTTTATCTAGCATTCTTTTTTTTTCCCAAAGAATGTCTTTGCACTTTCTTAGGGTGCACAGCCACAGAAAATGAATCTGCAACAGTCAGTGCTCACTAGAGAAACAGATTATAAGACATGTAAGTATATAAGGATATACAAGATTGGCTTACAATGCCTGTGCATGGAGTCAAGTGTGTAACAGTGCAAAAAGTCTGTCTTTGCACTGGGATCCAGAGGATCCAGTCGAAGGCCTGGAGCTCAGTATGGTATCCTGTGTGAGTCTGTATCAGGGAGCCCAAGAGTATGCACTGGAAGGCAGTCTATCCTGGAAGCCAGGAGACTGCTGCCAACAAGGAGAAGACTGGAGCTCCTCTGAAGAAACACAAACAGCTGTTGGTTCACTTGGAGGGGACCAAGGGAGATTTTTACAGATGAGATACCCAGGTTAAAGAATGTACGTGTACAAGACATCAGCAACAACAGCAAGCAGCATAGAGCAGAGCACAACACAAAAGTACAAGAGCCTCCTGCATCTTTATTGTCTAAGTCTTGTACAGGTTATCTTATATTTGCATTCTTACATAGCTATAACTCGTACATGCATGTTTACTTGTGCTAAGTCATGGTTATATAATTGTATCCCTCTGTTCTCTTACACTAGACAGTGAGGTCACATCCTTAGTGTCCTCAGATGCCCCTGAACTTTGAAGCAGTCTGAGTGCTTGCCCACACCAGCTTACCTGAGGCCTCAGTCCCCAGAGTTTTTACTGGAGGTTCATTACATGAACAGGTTATAATCATTAGCCACATGATTGACATCTAATACCCCCAGAGACTGAGGTGAGCTGAGTCATTGACTGTAATCACATGGTCTTTCCCGCATGGTTAGCCAATGGCCCATGATGAACAACAAAAATGCTTCTATGACTCCAAGAAAATTCAAGGGATTACCGTAGAGATTTATAAAATCTAGCCAAATAACTTATAATACCATAAATGTCATTTTCTTTATATTTATACCACATGGGTCCTTTGAACTCTTGAACATGTAAATCCATGTCTCATCAAATTTGAAAAATATTCATCATTTTTTCTTTTATTGCTTCTGCTCATTGCTTATCTCTCTCATCTTCTTCCGGGATCCTAATTATACTTGTCTTAGAGTATTGATATGGTCCCTGAAGTTTTGTTTCAATATTATCTGCATCCTTTAAGTTATATAGTTTCTATTGATTTATCTTCAAGTTGGCTGATCCCTTTTGTCATCTTTATTCTGCTGTTAAGTCTATCTGGTAAACTTTTATTTCAGATACCATAAATTTACTTCTTAAATTTCTATTCATTTTTGTTGTTTCTAGTTCTCTGCTACATTTCCTTTGTTTTATTCCTGATGTATTTTCTTTTATGTTCTTGAATATGTTTATAATAACTGTTTTAATTCTTTTTCTGATATTTCCAACATCTGGGTATCTACTAGTCGATCTCTGATGATTGTCTTTTCTCTCATAAATAAATCAATTTCATACTTCTTCATTTATTAATTCTAGATTTTATCCTTAACATGTATATTAGTTCTTCAAAGAAAGAAAACTAAAAAGACAAATATACCCATATAGAAAAAGATTCATTGTTAGGGATTTGATCATATGACTATGGAGGCTGCAAAGTTCCAGGACCTGCCACCTGTCTACTGAAGGCTCAGGAAAGCTGGTAGGGTAGTTTCAGTGCCAATTAAAAAGCCTGGGAACCAGGGAAGCCAATAGTGGAAGTTCCAATCCAAGTCCAAAGACACAAAAATCAGGAATATTGAGGACAAGAGTGCCGCGACCCATGCAGCTCCTGAGGTTGTTGGGGTTAAGGACCACAAGAGCATGAGAAAAAGAAGACACAAAGCTGGGGTCAGGTGAAACCCTTACTTTCCTGATGGGAGGAAAGGTACTGGCTCTTCACTGCAGGGGTGTTTATTTAAACCTTTTAGCAACTTAATGTCCCATGAAATCCTGTTATCCTACCAACCCACTATTCAGATTGTTTTGGGGCCAGGTTTTCTCTGGGCTGAAGCAGCTTCTTCACGTGGTTTGCCCCAGGTGCTCTTTGTTCTTGGAATGATCATGCTCCAACCTTGCACATGTCCTCAATTTCCAGCTTCAACCACTCCCAACACAAGAGAAGATGGATGCCCTCACTCAAGCAAAGAAAGCAAATTTGCTCTTCAGCATTCTTGTTCTGCTCGTCAATATACTGGGAGATATATACTCACATTGGTAAACGTGACCCTCTTTACTCAATCTGCCAATTAAATGTAAATCTCTTCTACAAACAGCCTCTCACACCAACCCAGAAATAATGCTGAACCAGCTACCTGAGCATTGTTTGGCCCAGCCAGTCTGCTACATACACCTAACCATCAGAGTATTGTTAATTTTGGAAAAGCAATGGATTCTAGAATACTCTTCCTGTCTTATTTCTTCGGTTGGGTTTAGCATATTATGGACATGATTGAGCTCTATATTTTAGGTCTCCATTCAAATATTAAGTCAGTTGCTTTAGACTTAGATTGACTTTAAAATTTGTCCCAATAGGCACAGTTTAAGGGTCAACAACAAATTCAGGCACAGTTTTTTCTGACTCCTTCCTGTTTTTTGAATTTTCTTACTTTCCAGGAAATGTGTCTCCAAACTTTGCCCTCTTATTCCTTAAGCTAGAGTTTCCTATTAGAATTATTTTTACCCTATATAGAGCTGACTGAAGTGTGCCTTCAGGGTGGAAACTGTGATATGGTGAGGTCTAAGTTCTCCCTTTCTATAGCAGTCTTTTTGTTGTTGTTGTTTCTGAGATAAAATAACCTGGTCCCTGCAACTTGAGGAGAGGCTTATTTCAGCTTACAGTTTCACAGGTTTCAGTCTATGGTTGGTGGAAAGGCACGGTGGAGGAAAGCTGCTCACTTCCTAGCAACCAGGAGCAGAGGGAACAGCAAGAGCCAGAGAAAGACATACCCTCTAAAGACACCCCCAGTGACCCACCTCCAACTGGGGCCCACCTCCTAGTAGCACATTCCACTTTGGATCCTAGCCTGAAGACAATGAAAGGGAAAGGAAGGGTTGCTGACTGCCTCCTACCTGCTCTGTCAAGGACGGAGCTTTTTTCTGTGATGCTCCTCTGCCATGCTGCTTTGCTTTGAAGTTAGCCAACAACGGACTGAGTTGTAGCTGAAATAAACCTTTCCTCCTTTAACTTGTGAGTGATAGGTATTGTGAAAACAAGAAAAGTAATTAAGGCAATGTAATAGTGATAAAGAATTAAAATAAACTGGGAATATGTTAAATTATATTTATTTCCTTATTATTCTTTCCTGTTAAAATTATCTAAAAATTCTGTTTTATTCTTAGTGGTTATTGCTTTATGAAATCTTAATAAGCCACAAAGAAATAAACTGGGTAAGCGAGTGCTCTGAGTATCCTACAAGCCTTTCCACTGAGTACTTTTGTTTTAGACAAGCAAGAAGCATCATTAGGAAAAGACTTTCTGGTAATTCCATTGCTATGAATATACCTGTTGATGATTAAAAGTATTTTTTAAAAAGTTGATGACTAATAATATAGTAGAAACAACTTGAAAAATATTTTTGTTCACCTAATAAGTGGTTAAAATGAGGGTACTAAAAACAATTTAATTCTTGAGAATTTTATAACTACTTCAAAAAAGAAACTTTTGAATGCTTTCAAATTAAAAACAAGGCATAATAAGAACAGAGCAAACAATGTTCAATAGGAACACGGTTTTGCTATTTTCTTGCATATTGCTATTCTGTTTGGTTAAAATTGCACTAGCCTTGGAAATGCCAGCACATGGCTGTGTGTGTGGTGACAGATCAAGAATTTAGAAATTATACTAATAAAAAAGTAAACTGAAATGGAGAGAAATCTTTGCTACTTACTTGTACTTGTCTGACAGAAGATTAATATCCAGAATACATAAAGAACTGAAAGAAAAAAAAAAACAGTCATGAAACAGACAAATGGGCAGACAGTTTTAAAAGAAGAAGTACAAATCACAGGCCATAATTATGTTTAAAAAGTTCATCTCTGTTTTTTTAATGACCCATGGTGGCCTCAAATTTGATACATAACCCACACTGTCCTTGAACTCCTGACCTTCCTCTTCAGCTTTTGGGAGAGCTGAGATTACAACTGTGCCCATCACGAATTGGTTAAAAAATGTTCAATATCTTTAGCAATCAGAGAAATGTAAAAAACTACAATGATATGCAGCTAGTGCACACCTATAATCCCAGCACTTAGGAGTTTGAGGCAGGAGGAACGCTGTGCATTTGAGACTACCAGTGCTATACAGTGAGTTTAAATTTGAAATCAAACTATAGATTATACCAATGGCTCATGTAGGAGTAACATGGCTAAGATACTGTAGTGTCACTGAATTTAATGGTTAGTCATACTTTAATTCGAGAAAGCTCAAGGAAGATATTCTTTTTTACAGTGGCAGAAATAGTACTTTCATCCAATAATGACTTTTGCATTAGGTCTGGATAATGATCTGTCTAGGTCATTTTGCCTTACGTTAACTTTAGCTACAAATTTAAAAAAAAAAAAAAAAAACGATTTTGGGATTCATGTTTTTTATTGCTGTCAGGTAACCAGAACCATAATAAATATTTAAAGTTCCGCTCATGTTTTGCTTAAAGTAAATTTTATACTGTTTACTGTACTCAATGATCCTCAACATTTTGGTATTGTATATGGGTTTATCTTTTATCACCTGCTATCTTCATATATATATATATATATATGTATGTATGTTATGGGAAGAATATGGGCTTGCTCATTAAGAAATAAGCCTTAGGAAACGAGTATCTTTAATAAGTACCCTGGTGGAGATAAGCATCTAATCATGTTTGAGTTAATATTCAATATGAAAATAATCCGTAGAGAAAAAAACACAACTATTACAGATTAAATGGTAGCTATAGTTTCATTTATGGTAAAGGAGTCCAGAAACAGCGAAGGGAAAAGTTATTTTCAACTAATCAGTTGTTGAAATGTGAAGAGACTGACACGTTGAGGGGCGAAAAAGATTAGAAATTACTAATATTTGCGATTAAAAGTGAACTATAAAACTGGCAATGCAGTGACACGCGTTTAGTCGGCCCATGTACTTTCTCATCCTAGGGCACAATGAGAAGAGTCATATGAGATCCCAGCCTCCTAACTTCTTTCTGATTTTCAGGAAACCCGGCTTTAAGTAGCAGTCGTTCGGACTAACACTCTGACCAGAGAAGCCACTGTCTGACACATTTCTTTGCCCTACTGCACTCATGATTCTTCTCACAGGTCTCAAATCTCGCCCCTTTTTCTAATATTTTTGTAACGCAAGTTTTTAATCCGCTCCTGCAGCTCCAGCTTTGCCTGCAGATGGCTCACTTGTCTCTGAACAGCACTTTTTGGGCTCTTTCCTTCCGGCTGAGTTTCTCTTTCAGGTATTTGGCATCTTAGCGATTTGTTTTTTTCTTCACTCTTTGAGAGTGATCGACCTCCTAATTCCTCAATTAGCAGTGCAAACCAGCCCAGGTCCACTGCCACTCCACTCAAAATGTGAATTCCAAAGTCGACCACTCTTTATCCTCCGGTCCCTGGGCGGACGCCTTGCCGACGCCTCCGGGATTCTCTTCTCTCTCTTCCTCTGAACACTGAACCCCTCCGCCTCAGGGGAGAGAGGACACACAACGCATGCGCTAATTCTCGCGCGCACCGCATTACGCACGCGCCACTCTGCAAGCGCGTGCGCAGAGGGAAGACGCGCGGGTGGCTGGGGTGACGCAAGAAGTGGCGCGGTGCTGAAGTTTGCCCAGCGTCTGCTGGGAGGAATCGTGGCCTGTCAAAGTCATGGTGCATTGCGGTTATGTGTTGTTCAGAAAGGTCCGTGTCTGATGCCCCTAGGTCCGGTGACTTTGTGCCGTCTGAGGTCTCTTTGTCTTTCTCGCTCCCTTCCCACCATTGTCCCGGGCGGGGTTGCGGCGGGGTAGGTGGGAGGGGAACGTGGTCTCCTTGGCGCCCTTGGGGCCAGCTGCGAGCTCTTTTGGGGTTGCCGTGTGCGAGTAGGAGAGGAAACGGCCCCTGCCTGTGGTTCAGACCCGAAATACGGCCCACGTGGAGTACGGGGTTGTGTGTGCTTCTGTCTCGAATATTGTAGGATGCCCCTCCCCCGGTTTTAAGTATTATTAATGCCATGTTTTTATGCATTTTCCCCGTCAGCACACTGCTTTTAAGCTGTTTTAAAGAAGACTTTATCAGGAAACAAAAAACGTGTAATTGATATGCATTCTTGCCGAAAAAGTAGGCCAGTTTTTGTGTAATGTCAGACTTAGAATGATTTTTGTTAAAATTCACAGTTACTTAAAGGAAAAAAAACGTAATAACCCTACTGTTAATTTCTCTTTGAAAACTTGCCAACATTATATATTGGCCGTTGCCTTTTCATTACCACTGTGAGATACTTTTAACTGAGTCTTCTACGCTTGTGAATCAGGTGAATAAAGCTACAGGAGTTCACACGTTGAACAGAATTTTATAACTTTTCGAGGAAAACATGTGAGGTTGGATTTCAGAAAAACTAGTAAACACTAAATATGGTGCGAGATTTCCAAAGATATAACCAAACTGCAGAGAGAGCCTGCAGTGTCAGGATAAAAATTGATTGGAGAAACTAAGAAATCTGTTTCTTCAGTGTTCTCTCAAGTAATGAGAAACTATGACATTCAGATGGGCGTGATGTTACGGTGAAAAAAAGCAAGACGTTCTACCTAGAGGAAAAGCGTTCACAGAGTGGCGTGGACACAAGCCGTACATCATGTGTAAAAGCTAAGAGGATGGGGATAGTAGGAGTTGAATAAATGAAGTTGATACTGGAAGAGTGGAGTAAGGGCTTTGCATATAGTACTATAAATTTTGAATTTCATTTCATAAAGAGTAAACCCACCCCCAACCAAACCCAAAAAGAGGTTAAGTATTTGAGAGGTTTTTGAATTACAGGCCTGCTCTCAGTTGCTTTAAACTGTTACTAGTCTACATCCTGATGGAGCTGTCCAACAGGTTAGGCATAGGAAGTATCTCTTAGGTGATAGCAACACTGAGATCACCCAGGAGGAAAGTTTAGGATGAAAAGAGAAGCAAGGTCTGGTCCTTGGAGAGATGGAGCAGTATTTGATTATTGAAAAAAAGAATTCTAAGAGAGAAACGAAGGCGAGCTAAACAAAACAACAACAACAACAAAAAACCAGCCGTGGAATGGGGCATACAGAAAGTTGTTATTGATTCTTTTTAAAGAAACTTTTAGTGTAACAACTAAAAAGTGGTTCTCTAAGTTGGTAAACGTTTTGTGTAAACATGCCCTCTCCTTTCTCTCCTTTTAGTATGGAAATTTCATTGATAACCTAAGAGTCTTCACCAAGGGAGGAAGTGGTGGAATGGGTTATCCTCGCTTAGGTGGAGAAGGTGGAAAAGGTGGTGATGTCTGGGTTGTAGCCCATAAAAAAATAACTTTAAAACAACTTAAAGACAGATATCCTCAGAAACGGTTTGTGGCTGGAGGAGGAACAAACAGTCGGTAAGTATTACCTTAAGTTATAAAAACCCCTTTAGAAGAAGAAAAACTATAAGATAAAACTTAATTGGCAATTTGAAGTAAATTATTTCATGCATTTGTGACTAAACAAGATCCAAAATGTCTAAACACATGAAAAGGTAGGACTAAATCTTGCAGAGTTCTTAAATTTTGTATTAATTTCTTGTCCCAATGCTGCTATTCTTTTCCCTACTTCCTTTGTAGAGATAAAGAATGTTCTGACTCCCCACTGTTTTCTTCTAAATTTATCTTGGACAAATTTGAAGTCTTGCTCAAATGTCAGCTCAGATGCTCTAAACTACTGCCATCAAAAGTTAATCATCCTGCCAGCGATATAGCTCAGTGGCACAGTGCCTACCAGGCAAGCACAAGGTCAAGTTTGAGTCCCAGTACCAGGGGGAAAAAAAAGAGTTATCTAAAATTTTTCCACCCAGACATAACCATGACAAACCTTTTCTTAATTTTTCTGTATGTTTACACAAATGTAATTACGTGTATTTATAAAGTCCAGTCCCAAAAAAGAGAGCATAATATTTTCAACCTCTTCTTTTTTTCATGTTAGAAACTTATTTAGGAAGCTGCATAATATTATAGGCTAGAAAGTAGCATTTGTCTATTATTGAATATGTGTAGGTACTTTTTATATAATTGTTCTTTTTTTTTTTTTTTGATAAATTCCCAGAGTGGAATGAGTTAGAAGTTTGTATCAATTTGTTCCTTCTCTTAAGGGCAATTTGAAAATAACCAGATTAGCTTCTTAAGTGCTTGTGTTTGAGATCAATTGTGTTTGGATTTTTTTCAGTTTCATAGGAAATTTTCTTTTTTTTTTTTTTTTTTCTTTCTTTCTTGTGTTGTGGCAGTGATTTTATTTCAGTGGGACAATATCTTAGCTCATTTTGGGTTAAGATGACTTTGTAGTTAATGATTTAAATCATTCATTACCTGTTTTATAGAATATAGTAGTTTAAAATGCAACATATAGGAATAATTTTAGTTTTTCTCTAATGTTTGACCATTTAATAGGTGCATTAACTTGAGAAATTGTTTGCTTTTTGTTTTTGTAAACCATATTTGCTAGAAATATAAACCATTTGACTTAGTGGGTTTTCATGTTTTAATGTCGGATTTTTGTATCTATTCTTTTGGAGGGTAGGATTAATGCACTGAAAGGTTCCAAAGGAAAAGACTGTGAAATTCCTGTACCTGTTGGTATTTCAGTAACTGATGAAAATGGTAAAATTATAGGTGAGTGTACTATAGCTTCTAAGATTGTAAAAACATTTTCCAAAATTGAGGATTTTCAGAAATAGCCTTTCTTGGGTTTCAGAGGAATTTTTTGTAGGCATAAATAATTTTAGCTAATTGTTAAAAAGAGTTTCTTAAGATATACATAAAAAATTGTTGAAAATTTACTGATTTAAAGTTACTTTAAGGACATAAAACTACTTGGTTTTAAAAGCATAACTAATCTCTTCAACTGCTTGCAAAAGCATTTTCTAGGGTTAGAATTTTTTTTTTCTTCTGTCTGTTTTGAGACAGGGTCTTGCTATGCAGTTCAGCCTGGCCTTGAGCTCACTTTGTAGTCTAGGCTGGTCTCGACCTTGCAGCAGTCCTCCTGCCTCAGCCTCCTGAATGCTGGAATTACAGGCGTGAGCTACCACACTCAGCTAGACTTTTTTTCTAAAAAAAAATTATATTATTGTCTAGTAGTTTTGGAGATTGAACCTAGAGTCTTAAATGTGCTAGGAAAATATTCTACCTCTCAGCTATAGTCCTCATTGATCAATTTTTTGGCAATGTATTATGAAAGAAAAATAGAATGTATTATTTATCCTTGGTGTATTCTTTTATTTAAAGGAGAACTCAATAAGGAAGAAGACAGACTTTTGGTAGCTGAAGGTGGCCTTGGTGGTAAACTGCTTACAAATTTTTTACCACTGAAAGGCCAGAAACGAGTGATTCGCCTTGACCTAAAACTTATAGCTGATGTAGGACTAGTTGGGTAAGTACCATTATATTTTTAATGTACTTTATAAATATTAATAGTAATTTGGAGGCAAAATTAGTTTGTATAATTTGTATATTAACTGTATTTGGAAAACATATAACCAAGTATATGGTTGACCATTAACCAATGGAAAGTTGGGGGTGTCAGTCTCAACACTTCTTCAAAAGTCTGCATGTAACTTTTGCTACTCCCAAAATTTAGCTACTGCTAGCCTGTTTGTTTACTGGAAAGCTTATAAATGATATAAACAAAATATATTTTGTGTCTGTACTGTATAGGAAAAAACACAAGAACTTCGAGATCACTTTGGTAAGGGGAGTTGTTTGTTTGAGACGTGGTCTTGCTTTGTAGTTTAGGCTGCCCTCACACTCACAACAATCCTTCTGCCTCAGCCTCTCAAGTACAGGATTACTGGCATACATCACTGCACCTGATTTGTGTGAAATCACTTTTCACTGTGGTCTGCAGTTTACTGGAGAAATGATGAGTTGCTCATGTGAGATGTTTAGCATTACATTGCATTTTAAGCAGACACGTGCAACGCGTGAGCACATTGTGATAACAGCAGGATGTGACTGAAAGTATTACAATAGTTAGTGTATATGCTACCCAGTATTTTGTAGGTAGTCATTTTTATTGACTGCAAATGGCACCTTGTACATTCTATTCATGTGCTTAAGTTGTGACAAATTCTAATTTTTATAATAGATTTGTATTTTATGTAAAAATAACAAAACAGACAATATATATTTTTGTGTATTCATGATATACCTTTTTCTTAATTTCTTCTGAAATTAAAAATTTCTTAATTTTTATCTGAGTTGCCCATTTCATCTGCAAGTTTTTACAAATTTTTGCTGATTCCAAACCCTTTGCCCCCCCCAAATTTATGCATAAATGAGCCCTTGTAGGTCAAACTTGTGCTGTTAAGGGTCAATTATAGTTATTTTCGAATAGTCAAATAAGAATTTCAGTTACTATTCGTTTGTAAAAGGAAGAGCAGAACAATTGAATGGGTCTGTAGGATGTTAAAAGAATGGATTTTTAAAAATTGATCAGTCAACTTATCAGCTAGTGTTTGTGACTAAATTGAGTTGGGGACTTAAAAAAAAAAAATTTAGGGGCTGGGGGTTTAGCTCAGCGGCATAAGCACCTGCCTTGCAAGCAGGCGGTCGTGAGTTCAATCCCCGGTACCAATAAAAATGAAAAAGACAAAAAAAAAAAAAAATTTTACATTCCAGCTATAATCATGAATAAGGACTGAATGAAAGTGTAGCAGACATTAGAACCATGGAGGAAAAATCCACTGATCAGCAACACAGCTGACTAGATGTGGTGTTAAGGGATGTTTTGAAAAAAATTCAGTCAAATGCAATTTTATAGTAAAGCTAAAGAATGTTACAGATATAAAGTTAGAAATCCAAACAAAATACACTTATAATAGTATACAGAAGAGCCAGGTGTGGTGGCACACATCTGTAATCCTTGCACTTGGAAGGCTGAGGTAGGAGGCTCCTCAAAAATTTGAGACCAGCCAGGGCTACATAACCAGACCCTGTCTCAAAAGAAAAAAGAAAAAGAAAAAGTATATAGAAGGAAATAAAAAGGGGGATGTGATTGAGGTACTTTTGAGAGTTTAAATAGAAAGACTGAAGTTAGGATTAGACAAATGGCCAGTGACACATAGAGGTAATCCTGGGGCTCAGACTTGCACCCTTCTGGGCACTGAATCAGTTCTTGCTTTCATTGTTTCTGTGTCCTTCATGAATCTTCTTAGAATCTTATCCTATTCACAGAACTGCAGGCCTCTTAGTATTCTGTTTCTCCAGTCTCCATTCTTTTGTTAAGCAATGCTGTGCAGTGGAATTTGTAGTGCCGGTGGCACTGGAGGTAGATTGACTGACAGCAAGACAGAATAAAAGAAGAGAAAATTTCAAATTGCTTTTCTTCTTTCCTGTTTTTCTTCTGGGTCCTCCATTATAATTACAGTTGCTCAGACAAAGCTTAAGGAAGAGGGAAAATGGTGTTACTGCTGCTTTACTTCAAATTTCTAGTTCTGTTTCTTGCTTTTAAAAAAAGATCTCTTTTTCATATTTCTCTCCAACTGTCTCACTGCTTCTTTACCAGCCTCTTAAAGACTAAATCCCTTACTACTTATCCTGTCTACCAGCCACTGGCTCTTAACCATCATTAGCTTAAAGTTCACAGAGGCCTCATTTTCATCCTGGCTGTTCACATTTAATTTTTTTTAAACAAATACAGTTACGAGAATTATAAGGCATGATTCTGTAATTCTCTGTATTTTTCAGGAATATTGTGGGTTTAATAGGGTTTTATGGATAAGACTGGCAGTCCGATGATTCACCATCTCATTTGGTAGAAAAATGTGTTTCAGATTCCAAAGAGACATCTCTACAGATGAAAAACAGCATGGCAGAGCTGAGCAGTAAAAGTAAGGAACTCAGGATAGACTGGGTTTGGATCTTAAATCCTCCAAAGGATTGGCTTTGTATCAGACAGCATTAGAAAATACAGCCACGAAAGCGGGCAGTGTCAGATAAGTTACACAGCCTTCTCAAGTTTTATTTAGCTCGTCTTTAATAGTGGCTAGAGGTGGTTTTTATTGTTAATATTGTGAATAAAATGACACATTTACAGTGGAACACATGCTGTGCATTTGTGTATAGCTGATGAATTGTAGCTTCTACCATCATCATTATCTTTGTGTTTCTGATTTATTGGAGACTTCATATAGTGAAATACTGGCTTTTCAAAAGTGGATCTGAAATTACATTTGGTAATGAAAGCATCACAATTGTTAAGCAAAACATTTAATATATTCTAGTGCTTTTATTTATTTACTTACTTACTTAATTTTTTGGTACTGGGAATTGAACTCACAACCTTGTGCTTGCCAGTCAGGCACTGTGCCGCTGAGCTATATCCCCAGTGCTCTAGTGCTTTTAAATCAGACAGCTATTCTTGAAGCTGCTACTATGTATGAATAGCAGTGTAAATACATAACCTTGTTATTTTGAGGAACGAACTGAGCCTGGGAACTAATATACTGTGCACTGCTGTTGTCAGATCTGATCTTTGCATTTCAGCCTGTAAAATTTTCACTTTTCTTGAGAAAAATCTCTCAAGTATCTTCTCTATAACTGTGAACAGCCAGCCTTCTATTTATATACTTTGATTTCCTTGGAAATAGTTACTTGAGTTTTTCTGAGTTTAACCATGATTATGAAAACTGAGGATAGCTGAAAGGAAGTAAGATAATCTAGCTAGCTTACTGTCATAGACAAAAATGCCTACAATTTTCTTTCAAAAAAATTACTAGAGCATAAGTGATATAGGATATGGGAAAATAATTTATGTTCTGTAGGAAAGAGATCTCACATAATTCATTATAAAAAGACTGTATGAGGAAAATTATTAAAAGAGCTGCACTGCAAAACTTACAAATTTTTATAGATTTCCAAAGGAATGTTTCTGTACTATACCATTATCCCAAGAAAGCTTGGAGTTTTTGAAAGATCTTTCTCAGCCTGTGTGTCCTTCAACAAATAGGTGGATAAAAAGATATATAAATAACAAGTAAGGACAAATAAGATATGTACTAACTTCCCACAATGAGTGTAATCATTATGTATTATATAATGTACTAAGAAAAATTAAATTTTTTTAAGAATTTTTATTAGTATATGTTTGCTGTACATAATGATCACGTTCATCATGAGGGATTTGTACATATACATAACACATTTTTTTTTGTCCCCTTCACCTATCCCTCTAACCCTTGTTCCCTCCTCATTTACAAAAACTCAATTTTCATTATTTTTCAATTCTTTTTTCCTTTAAATCCCTTTTCTCTTCTTTCCCTCTCCCCTCCTCCATCTCTTGTTCCCCTTCCCATTTGAAAAAATTCTTCCTGTTTCTTAATATCTACCTTCCATTTGTTCCTTATTCATACTTTGGGTTTGTTACACAAGAAAAAAAAAATGTAATATTTAAACTTATGTGTCTGATTTGCTTCTCTTAAGATTATGTTCTTCAGGTATATCTATTTACTTGCAAATGATTCAAGTTTATTCTTTATGACAGAGCAGTACATCATTGTATATAAACACTACATTTTCTTTATCCATTCATCTGTTGATAGGCATATGGGATGTGTCCATTATTTAGCTGTTATGAATTGTGGTGCTGTAAACCTGAGTATGCAGATAGCACTGTGATATGATGCTTTAAATCATTCTAGAAGATACCTAGAAGGGGAATGGCTGAGTCAAATGGAATGTCTAGTTTTAGTTTTTTGAGGAATCTCTATACTGATTTCTATAGTGATTGTACCAGTTCACACTCCCTCCACCAATAAAGAAGGACTGCTTTTTTCCCCACAGCATAAAATTTTTTTTAATTATTAAATATTATTTTTAAAAAACACACTTCCCCAAAGTTAATCAAAAACTCTGAAGGCAAAGGATCATGTTTGTCTCATTGCTGTATTGTTTTGTTTTTTGGATTTTTTTTTTTTTTTTTTTTTTTGAGACAATGTGTCATTGTGTAGACCACACTGGCCTTAAATTTGTGGTAATCCTCCTGCCTCATTCTCCAAAGTGCTGGGATTATATGCATGTGTCACCACACCTGGCTTTCATTGTCATACCTTCCAGTGCTACCTGATACAAAGTCAATGCTCAAATAAATATTTGTTAGATAAATTTAATGCAAATATGTTATTGAGATATAGTAAAGAATCTTTTACCCCCACTCTTGGCACTTTTTAAAAATTTTTATTTTAAAGAGAATAAAACCAAGCAAAATAAAACAATAAAGGCAATCAAAACAAACCATTTTGAGTGACAGAAGACTTCAAAACAATAAGAAATCAACAATGGTTACCTTAATGCCTCTTGTTATCTCAAAATAGCTGCCCATACCTTCAGACATAGTAAAAATCAAACAAAACAGGACAAAATAGAACCAGTAAAAACAAAACAATGAATGCAATAAGTACTTCAAAACCAGATAATAGTAAACCCAAAACGATAACCATAATATATCCCATTATCTTTAAAATAGCTGCCCATGTCATCAGATACAATAAAAAAAAAACAAAACTAAACAGAATAAAACTCAACCCAACAAAACAATGAAAATGATACAGGACTTCAAAACAAGATAACAGAATTAACAATGGCTACCACCTTCAGAAAGAGATTCTCCCATAGATGCTACATTGTGTGTTGTTATCCTCTGAATAGATGATCATACTGCTGGCTTTAGACCTGCAAAGTCAGTGAAACACTAAACACTACAAGCATTAAATTGTATTTTACCTCAATAGCTATCATTGCAGCCTGTGTATCTCTAGATCAGCCTGTCCCTTACAGGATAGGGGTGGGATTTGGCCCTTCTTGTTTCTAAGTCCATGCACCAGAAGAGCTGGCACCTGGCTCTCCCCACAGCAGCTTGCACATGGCCCTGATTCACAAGGAAATTTTGCTTCTTGTTGACTTCTTGTTCTGTTCCCCTGTGTCTTAGTTACTTTTTACTGGTTGCTGAGACAAGATTCCTGAAGCCCAAGTTGGGTAAAGGAAAGGTTTATTTCTTACAGTTTTTGGAGGTTTCAGTCCACACTCAGTTGGCTCCTAGGCAGGCTGCATGGCTGGGCCACAGTTCATGGCGGCTGCAAACAGCAAAAGGAACACAGAGAGCAAGACACACCTTCTTCCTGCCATTACATCACATCTTGGCTCCATCCTTATGTGGGTGGAGCACTGACACTATCAATCTAAGACAATGAAAGAATGACAAATGCACAATGCAAACTCATGAGGCCTGGGGGACACAGACATAAACCATGACACCCTGCAATCTACAAATAGCACTGAATCGTAGGAAAAAGCTGGCATCTGCTTTCTTCCCCCAGCAGCCTTCGCGTGACGCCAACTTATAGGAAGCGCTTGCTTCTTGTTGACTTGTTCTCCTTCCTTGCAATCTGTGAATGGCGCTGACTCATGAATAAAGACTGTCATCTGGCTGCCCCTCAGCGGTCTGCACGCAGCACCAATTCCATTCGTGGTACTTTTAAATACATGGCAGGCCTTTTCTAAGCACAGTTTAACAAAATAAAATCAATAGTCTTTTTTAAATGAAAATAGATTTTAATTCAGTATATTTTCACTTCTAGAAATTTATTCCAAGAAAGAGATTAAAGATATGTGCAAAGGTTTATGGATAGTCACTTTAAAGTTTTAGAAAAAAATTAGACCAATGGTATGTCATTCAGGAATGACTATTAACACTGTCTTTTTAGCTATATACATTTGCATTTGTTTTTAGTATTGTGGATTGAACCCAGAGGTTGGCACATATGGAGTCAAGCGCTCTCCCATTGAGCTATGTTCCAGCTTTTTTTATTTTGGGATAGAGCCTAATTTAACTCCAGGCTGACCTTAAACTTTTGATCCTCCTACCTAGGCTTCTCAAGTAGCTGGGATTATAGGTACGCATCCCTGTGCCTGGCATACTTTTATAATGTTATTTATAATGGCAAACATAAACTAAAATTAGTTAAGTTTGTTATGCTTTGCTATGGGATGGGGTGGAGCCTCAGGCAACATGGCATGGAATTTATTGTGCCTGGGTACAGGCAGACAGAGAGTATTAAGATCATCTGTCCTGAACAAGAAGTGTGTCCCCCTTTTATATTGATGGAAAAAAGTCGAAGGACATTGGGAAGATTTTAATATACATCTGCGGTCAAAGTTTTCTGGCAGTCTTGCACCTCAGTTGGCAGAGTTCTTGAAGTATCTGGTACCATGAATTCTTGGGTGTCCCCAGATGTTTCCAAATGTCTTGGGACCTGCAACAGTCCTTGTCCTATCTTATCTCCTTCCCTGTGTTTGTTGATGACAATGTCAGTACTAAGCTGAGTTCCCTAGGGAGAGTAGTGCCTCTGCTGGAAAGCAGAGGGGGGCTGGGGTAGTCAGGCCCAATTCAAAAGTACTAGTCCCTTTAAACTGTTTAGTTAAAAACCACGCCCATCTACTCTTTTGATTTTGTTTTTTGATCAGTATTTTGGAACTACCAATTTATACAAAATTCAGGCCAAAAGAGGGTGTTAAATGATACCCTAGAGATGCCAGTAAAAAAAAAAAAAAAATCCAGACTGGGGCTGGGGTTTAGCTTAGCAGCATAAGCGTCTGCTTGGCAAGCACAAGGTCTTGCAAGATTGTGAGTTCAATCCCCAGTACCAAAAAAAAAAAAAAAAAAGAGAGAAGAAAGAAAAGAAAAAAAGAGAGAAAGAGAAAAGAGAGAAAGAAAGAAAAGAAAAAAAAAATTCAGACTGCTTAAAAAAGAAACAATGACACAGTTTTTTAAAAGTATATTGCAGGGCTGGGGATTTAGCTCAGCACATAAGAGCAAGGTAGAGTTGGATCCCCAGTACCAAAAACAAAAAAGGTATATTGTAAAGGGAAACAACATGGAGAGAGAGCTTATATCAAAAGAGATTCCAGAGTCAAATTAGCTAATTTAATTGCATGAACTATATTTGGATATCTGTTCAAACAAACCAGATTTAAAAATTATACTGACAGTGTATTAAAGCTAAATAACTGGGATTCAGTACACTTCTTTGCTTTTGCGTATGTTTAAAAATGTGGATTGCAGAGTTTTTAAAATTTTTCTTTGTTTTTCAAGATCTCTTTTTTTATATAATTAGGATGGCAATTATTTTACTCTTAATTCAAGTATTTTCTGTATCCAGCATGATTTATTTTTTCGTTTTTCAAAAAGTACATTTTGTTCTCAAACAAGTAAGTTTTTTCAAGCTTACTTTAGATTTATAGTCTGTTTTCTTTGGGGAGGTTTCTGGGTATTGCAGCCAGGGCCCTGTATATCCTAAGTTTGTACTTTATCACTGAGCTGCACTCCCAGACCCATGATTTACTATTCACCACAGAAGCAAGCAGGATGTCTTTTCAATTTAGAAATAAGCAACTGTGAATAATATTGATATTTATTGTAATGTCTAGTTGTATTTAATTATTTCAGATTCCCAAATGCTGGAAAATCCTCTTTGCTGAGTCAGATTTCTCATGCAAAACCAGAAATTGCAGATTATGCATGTAAGTATAATTTGTGCATTTTAATGTATGGAGGTACATTTTTAAAGACTGATTTTTTTTCTGTGTACACATAAACTGATAACTCCAAGGGTTCTTTTAGTTTGAAAACTTCTTTTGGAAGTTAGAATATATACATTTATTTTTATTAATCTTTGAAACTTTATAGCAAGCAGTAAAGTTTCTTGTACTTGTTAGATACTTTCGTGCATTTACTTCTCTGTTGTGCAGTCAATAATTTGATTTGTTTAGGATTTTATAAGCTATTTGAGTTAATAGTGAGAGAGATAATGGAAACTTAGGTTAAAAATGAGTGAATATGATAGAGCTCTACCATTATTAAGAGATTTAGGATGGCATTAACCTGAAAAATAAAATTATAGAATCCAAAAACTAAACTCTGACTAAGTTAATTTTGTACTAATTGCTGCTTGCAAAGAAGAAGAAATGTAAAAAAGCATGGGAAAGAGCCTAATGTAGGACTGGAAAAGCTTAACAATAACTGAATTAGAAAAGAATAGGTATTCTTCACCTTAAAGACTTAACTTACAGAAATTTAAATTCTGAGCCCTCCAAATATCCTTTAAATTGCAGTTGAAGAAATTTTGAGACCCAATTAGGTGAGACTTGTGCCTGTACAAATACTGAAAATCACTCTTTGTCCTTTCTCAAGTATGATGCAAAAGACAAAGATAATTGTAGCTTCCATTTCAATAAATTAGAAAACAATCCAAAACTGTTCACAGAAATAAAATACTATTTATTCTGTACATAAGGCCAAGATAGTTTTAAACATACCAGTCTTTATTTTAGTCTTAACTTGTTGTATTTTCTTTCAGTTACAACATTGAAACCTGAACTTGGAAAGATTATGTATCATGATTTCAAACAGGTGATTTTTTTTTTTTTTTTTTTTTTGGGTACCAGAATTGAACTCACCACCTCATGCTTGCAGAGCAGGCTCTTATGCCACTGAGCTAAATCCCCAGTCCAATTATTTTTAAAGTAAAAGACTTGATTAGAAGTGGAAGTAATTTAAAAGTAGAATTTTATAATGCAATTTTTTTTGCAGGTTTCTGTGGTGCTAAGTCAAAAAAATAAGATTTTTTTATTGTGCTAAATGAAATTGTGCTTTTATTCTGTTGGGCACCATCATAGTAACATAGTCACATAAAAATTTAATATTGTGTTCTTCTAGATTTTATGCCCTACAATATCATGCCTTGTGGCTTCTTTCATCTGTTTCTTCTCATTACAATCCCTAGTTTATTACCCTAATGGATTATTGCTCTTCATTTCCTAAAAAGTTTCTAAAGTTAATGATTTTTGTTTCAACTTTTACTTGGGCAGGGAAGGATTTATTTTTGTCATTTTCTTGGGGCTCCAATTAGACATATATTTTCATTTTCTGTGAGTTTGTTACTTTAGTATGTTCTTTCTCTCTCTCTCTCTCTCTCTCTCTCTCTCTCTCTCTCTCTCTCTCTCTCTCTCTTCTCTCCCTCTTCCTCTCCCTCTTCCTCTCCCTTTCTCCCTTTCTCCCTCTCTCCCTCTCTCCCTCTCTGCCTCTCTCTCCCTCTTCCTCTCCCTTTCTCCCTCTCTCCCTCTCTACCTCTCTCTCTCTCTCTCTCTCTCTCTCTCTCTCTCTCTCTCTTCCTACCTTCCTTCTTTTCTTTCTTTCTCTTTGTGGTGCTGGGGATTGAACCCAGGACCTTGTACATGCAAGGCAAAAACTCTACCACTAAGCCACAGTCCCCATTTAATAGGATTTAATATCATCTAGTTACTGATTTTTATCTGATAAGAATTACAGATCTTCTTATATGTCTACATAGAATAGTGCATTTAGATGTTCATAGGAGCTTTATTCATACTTACCAAAATCTGAAAGAAAATATTTGTCAGTAAGTAAATCAGTAAGTAAACTGTGCTATATCTAGAAAATGGAATGGTCAGATTATGAAAAGATATGCACGAATCTTAAAATGTACATTATAAGCAAAAGATTCCAATCTGAAAAGGCTTCAAACTGTGTGATTCAAACTGTATGACATTTCTGTGAAAAGCCAACTAGAGAAAGCAAAAAGAATAGTGGTTGCCAGGAGGAAGGAGTGGTGAATAAGCAGAGCACAGCAAATATTAAGAGCAATGGATCTATTCTGTAGGAGACTGTACGTGGATACATCACACATTTGTGACTTAAAATGTACACTACCAACAATGGAACATAGTACGAAATACAAGGGTGGGTGATAATGACATGTTCATGTCAGTTTATGTAGTTGTCTGACATGATTCATGAAAGAGAAGCTCTGAAGGCAATTTAAGGACATGAGACTAACATGCCCATTTGTTTGTCATATAGCCTCAGTTTCCTTTTAAAATTTTGGATTTCTTATGTACACTGATCAGTGTATGTAGAGCTCCTACTTTTCATCCCTTTCTGCGCTCATTCTTATTACCTTTAAAAAGAGTTTAGGAATACTGTAGCCTTTTACTCTAAAAGAGCAGTCAGTAATTCTGCCGGCTAACTTGAAAAGAAGAGGAACACTGATACTACTTATAAATTGAATTTAAAACTTAGGACTACTGAGCTAATAAATATCTGCTTAATTAATATTCTTGTAAACTTTAATGAATTCAGATTGTGAAAGTTAAAATTCTATTAAAAAAAAAACTATAAAGCAATTTATGGCAATACAGATTTATGTGATTAGTAAATGTTAAAAGTAATAAACTAATATCTCAAACCCTAGATTATTAGATGAATAATTTTTTTTTTTTTTTGTCTTTTTTTTCGTTTTTATCGGTACCAGGGATTGAACTCACGACTGCCTGCTTGCAAGGCAGGTGCTTATGCCGCTGAGCTAAATCCTCAGCCCCTAGATGAATAATTTAAACTGGGACTCTAATACCTGATAACAAAGGATTTTGATTCCTAACATTTATTTTGCTACAAAGCTATCTTGGCATTTCAGAGGCATAGTGGGAATTGTAAACCATGAATTGATTGTATTTGAAATATAAAAGTTTGGGGATATAAATGAACTGTGGTTTTAATACATTTTTCTTATCATACTGTTAACTTTGTAACAGATATCAGTAGCTGATCTCCCAGGTTTGATAGAAGGAGCACATATGAACAAAGGAATGGGCCACAAATTTCTGAAGCACATAGAAAGAACTAGACAACTACTTTTTGTTGTAAGTCATATGCATACCTACATGATGTTCAAATGAGTGAACTTAGTTTTTTTAGAAATGTTTTATAAGTAAGATTTAAAAATAGAAGCTATGTGCCACAGAATCACACTTTGGTAGCAATGGGCTGCATATAACATATGGAGGTTCAATAAGATTGTATTGTCTAGTGACATTATAGCTTGATTTGTATAATTTATGATGTTCACACAGTGATGCAGTTACTTTCTGATAGAGTTCTCAGTATATCCCTATTGTTAGGTGATGCATGACTGTACTAGCAAAAATCACTCCACTAAGTATTCAGATTCAGTAGAAAATTTTTATTTATATGATATGGGGATGGAAATGATACTAAGTGTATTTGTAACTGAAGATTTCATTTCTTAAGAATTTTTCCATATTATATATGATATATAATATCTCTTTCATACACTATTGATGGTACTTAAGTTATAGATGAGATTGTCTACGTAGTTATAAATTGTCTTATTAATGAATACATTTTATCAGAATTGTAGTTATTTTGATATTTAAATCCTGTTACCTCAAATTACTTAATTATCAGTGTAGATTGAGAAATTTTTGTTTGTTTTTTTCCTTTTTATCGGTACCGGGGATCGAACTCACGACTGCCTGCTTGCAAGGCAGGCGCTTATGTCGCTGAGCTAAATCCCCAGCCCCAGATTGAGAAATTTTTAGCTGGAACAAAACATTTCAAAATATAGGCATGTGTAACCATTCTTATGTTAACTGTCTTTTTTTTCAGGTTGATATCTCTGGATTTCAGCTTTCTTCCAAAACTAAATATAGAACTGCTTTTGAAACCATAATACTACTTACAAAAGTAGGTTTTCTGTTTTACTGTATTCTATATCTGCTCTAATATGTAGGCTTATAACATAATAATTAGAGTAAATGCATATTCATTTTTTAAAGGTATTATATCAGTTAAAGCATTACTTATTTATATTTTTTATTTCCAGTTCTTTAACATTCACTAGCTTCCAAAACTATTACAATGAATAAAACCCACCTGGTCTCCCAAATCCCCATTATTCACTTCTTACATTTTATCTTACTTTAGCTTTGACATGTTGTATATTTCTTGTTTTCTTTTTAATTTTTTTATTTATTTAAAAATATTTATTTAAAAAATTAAAAAATGGTAGGAAATTAACACTGATTAATATATTGTATATGTTGAGGCTAGGGATTTAGCTTAGTGGCATAACCGCCTGCCTGGCAAATGCAAAGTCATAAGTTTGTACCAAAAACAAAACAAAAAATATTTATATATGGTATATGTTATTTTAGAAGTAGTTGTTCAGGTTACAAGAGTGAAGCATGCAAAAAAAGATCAAACAACAAAAGCATAAACTGTTCTTTTGGATGAACTAACAGAGATTAGTAGTATAGCTGCCTACCTATCTTTTGTGTGTGTGTGCACATACATATACATGTATATTTATATACATGTCATCATTTTCCCTTCTTCCTACTCTTCTTTCTCCTAGCACAGGTGTATTTCTTCTTGACATACTGTCCATTCTGAGCTTCACAAACTAATCTGGCTTTATTCTTGCTTCTTGGACTATTTCTTAGTCTACTTTTTAAGCTCCCCCTCCTCCCCCACCATGCTGGGGATCAGTCTTTGGGCCTTAGCAAATGATAGGGAAGTACTGTATCACTCAGCTACATTCCAGGCCTCTGCTCATGCTTTAGCTAATATTCACAGTTTGTAGGAACCCAGTTGTGCAGTCTTACCCATTCTCATCGTTCAATTATAGTCACTATACTGGTGACTTTCAGGTTTGCATTTGATATCCAGATCTTTTGTTTGTGCTTTAGGATAGAGATCTATTGAAAATCCTTGGTTGGATATTCTGTTAGCCACTCAAACTTAACGTGTATAGAAATGAACTCTTTTTACAAAACAAGCTCTTTAGTCCTATCACCTAAGTGAGTGTGTAAGCTGAAAATCTGGGTGGTGGTTTTGATTCTGTCTCTTACCCCCTACATCAAGCTCTATCAGTTTTATGTCCTAAATCTCTGAAAGCTATCCAAATGCCTTCAACCACACTGTCCTAATCATGAACTGCTTGCACTGGAATAATGTATCTGGTCCTACCTTGGCTCTCAAGTACTGGACTTATACCCGACTTGCTTTTTTCCAGTACATATTTTTATATGAGCTAGTGTAAAAGAAGCAAGCTCATGTTTGTGTCCTGCCTGAAACACTTAGATGATACCCTGTTGCTTTTAGGTTATATGACCTAATCTGATCATGGTCTGAGGTTTGGCAAGTGTGGGGACCTTGCCTAGTATGTCTTTCAGCCGCATTCCAGCCGCATGATTTCTGATACAAGATATTTACCTGTAGGACTTTGTAGATGTTTTTTGTTGGCTAATTTTTATCTATAATGAATACATTTCTGTGAACATTTGTGTATGTGGCTGTGAGACATGTTTTCACTTCTCTTACATGTATACATAGGAGAGGAATTAAAGTATCATGTTTTAATTCTTTTTGACATTTTGAAGAACTGCTAGGCTGTTTTCCCAATTGTCCGTACCATGTACCATTTTGCATCCAACCTGGAATGTATAAGAATTCCAGTGTATCAATGTCAACACTTGTTATTGCCTGTCATTTTAATGGGAGAGCTCTATTATTTCATTATTGTTTTGATTTGCTTTTCTCTTATGATTAATGATGCTGAGCATATTTTCACATGCTTGTTAGCCATTTGTATGTCTCTAGAGAAATGTCTATTCAGAGTCTTTGTCTATTTTTTTAAAAAATTAACTGATAAAAACCTAAATGATACATATTAATCGAGTACTGTGTAATGGTTTGATACATGTACATGTTGTATAATGTTTAAATCAGGTTAGACATTTAGCCCCTAAAACATCATTTTTTTATGGTGAAACTTTCAGTATCCTTTTGTATAGTTTTTTGAAATAATAGTGTATTAGTGTTATCAATAATCACCCTACTGAACTGTGATAGTCCACCAGAACTACTTTAATTAACTGTACCTTAATACCCACTGATCAACCTTAACTTCCTACATCAGACCCTCACCCTTCCACCCTTCCTCCTATTCATAAGTCCTACAATACCAGCTTTTTAAAGTTCTATATATGAATGAGATCACTTGGTTCTCTGTGCCTGGCTTTTTTTCACTTAACCTGATGATCTCTGGTTCCATCCATGCTGCCACAAATGACAGGGTTTCATTTTCTTTTGGGCTGAACAGCATTCCATTGTGTGTAGGTACCATGTTTTCTTTATCCTTTCATCAGTTGGTGGACACTCAGGACCTGTTTCCCCTTTTTGCCTATCATGAACAATATTGCAGTGAACACGGGAGTGCAGATATCTTTTCAACATGCTGATTCATTTTTTCTGGCCAGTGGTGGGATTCCTGGCTCATATGGTAATTCTGATCTTTGGAGGAATCTGTTTCCCATAATGGCTATACTAATTTACATTTCCACCAACAGTGTACAAGGATTCCTTTTTACCATATCCTTGCTACCACTGGTTATCTTCTTTTTGATAATAGCCATCCTAAAAGGTACAAAATGATATCTTTGATTTTAATTTCTTTTGCATCCTGTTGACCAATAATATTGAGGTTTTTTTGAGACAGGGAATGGCTATGTAGTTCAGCCTGGCCTTGAACTTACTCTTCTTACCTCAGCCTCTCAAGTCCTAGAATTATACCCAACTTATGCTACCATGCCTAACTTGTGTCTTTTCTTTTGAGGAATGTATAGTTAAATTTATTGCCCATGTTAAAATCACTTCTATACTCTCTAAAATAATCTACACACTCACAATGTCACCCCTATTAAAACTCCAGTGACAGTTTTCACAGAAACTGAAAATCCTAAAATTCATAAGGAACTACAGAAGACTCCCTATAGCTAGGGCAGTCTTGACTAAAATCAACCAACAAAGTTGGAGTTGTCACACTACCTAATTTCAAGACCAACTACAAAGCTATGTCAATCAACATAGTAAGGCACAGGTGTAAAACAGACATGAAGAGTAGTGGGGCACAACACTGAGCCCAGAGATAAATGCACATTTTTACAGTCACCTGAGCTTTGATAAAGATGCCTGTAACACAAATGGCGAAACAACAGTATCTTTAGTAAATTTTGGAAAACTGAATATCTATATACAGAAGAATGAAATTTGTGTATCATGCTATTCCTTATGTAAAAGTCAAATCAAAATGGATTAAAGACTTACAATAAGGAACTGTTTAATGCACGCTCTACCATGAAGTACACTCCCAGAAAATGTAAAGCTTAAAACTATAAAAGAAGAAAATATATGGAAAAAGTTTTTTGACATGATCTGAGCAATTTTTTGGATATGATCCCTAAAGCACCTGAACAAAAGTAAAAGTAGATAATTGGGATTGCATTAAATTAAAAAGCTTCTGCACATCAAAGTCAACAATCAGCAGTGAAGAAACAACCTAACAAATGAGAGAAAATATTTATAAACCATTCATTTGAAAAGGGCTTAATACCCAAAATGTGTTAGGAATTCAGCAGGTTGATAGTATATACCTAAATCTCAGCTGCTTGGGAGTCTGAGGCCAGCCTAGGCAGTGTAACAAAGCTCCATATCGGGCTGGGGATTTAGCTCAGCGGCATAAGCGCCTGTCCGGCAAGCGTGAGGTTGTGAGTTTAATCCCCAGTACTGAAAATAAAAAATTAAATTAAAAAAAAAGCTCCATATCAAAAGGAAGAAAAAGAGCACAAGGCATGATGATACATATCTATAATCCCAGCACTCTCAGAGGTTGAGACAGGAAGATCAAAAGTTAAGGGCAGTTTTGCTAGCTTCCCAAGACCTTGTTTCAAAGTAAAAAAAATTAGGTGGGGTAGTGGAGGAGCATTTGCCCTGCATGCACAAGGTTATCTGATGGTTCACCCCCAGAACCATAAGATAAATAAAATAAAAAAGTAAAATAAATAAAAATGGGCAGCTGTTATAGCTTATTTCTAGATGTCCTCCAAAGCTTCATGTCATAAGTAGTAGGGCTTTTTCAGAGCTGAATGGATCTAGTATGTGTGATACTGGGAGTGATTGATGGTACAAGGATCAGGTCAAGGTCACTAGGATTCAGGGTGGGAGGAGTACCACCTGCCATAAGGGTGGGTAGCCTAATTAAGCTAGGGGGGTAGAAAATGCTGTGGTCTCCCTTGTTTGCTCTTACTCTCTCCTGCCTTTCTTGAACTATTTTTCTCCTCTGCAATGCCCCTCTGCCAACCCATTCTGCCCAGAAGCCAGCTGATTATGGGCTGGAACCTCTACAAACTAAACTAAATGTTTGCCCCTTTACCTTTAGGTGTCGAGTTCTTTTATCTCAGCAAGGAGAAAAGCAACTAAGACAAGCAAGGGATATAGCTCAATATGAAGTCCCTAGTTTAAGTCCCCAGTATTGTTTTAAAAATGAAAATTTATTAGGAGCTTCTCAATAACAGGAAAACAAAATAAAGACAAACAAAAAAAAAACATGAATACTGTAAGTATATATTACGGCTTATGACTAGATGTCTCCCTAAAACTTCATATCATCATAGGTGGGGTTTTTTTTTTGGCGGTGGTTGGACCTAGAGTGTGTGATGCTGGGAATAAGGGTGTGTAGTTACTAAATTAGTCCACTGATTGGCTTAGCATAGTTCTGGGTGTGAGTGCTACCCGCCCCCAGGGTGGGTAGCCTAAATAAAATAGAAAGGGACAGAAAGAAACTGCTATTGTCACTTGCTGCTTGTTGCCTTCTGCCTGCACCAATTTGCCAAATAAATCTTTCCTCCTTTGGGTGTTGGATATTTTGTCTCAACAATGAGAAAGTAGCTAAGACAGTATAGTATTGTATGACTACTATAGGTGTGCTGTTAAATTATCAGTGTATTGACTTAAGAAATTTGCTTCTGTGTAATCCAAATACCTACACTTGGTTTTAGACACAAAATCATCTATCTCCTGGAGCCACTTGAACTAACATACTCTATCACATAACCTAACTAGAAGCATTTTGTAAATTTCCTGTGTTTTATGGTTGTTGACATTCACTGTATTTCAGTGATGTGAATGGACCTTAGGTTTCTCATTTGAGGCTTGGGAATGTAGCTCAGACTGTTTTGCATGTGCAAGGCCCCAGATTCAATCCTTGCACTGCAAAAAGAGAGATTTCTCAGATTATTAAAGGACATTACCAACTGGTTAATTTATATAGATACTGTTACAAAGTTATTTTATTTTTCTATTAATTTAAAGGAGCTGGAATTATACAAAGAGGAACTTCAAATGAAACCTGCACTCCTGGCAGTTAATAAAATGGATTTGCCAAATGCCCAAGATAAATTTCATGAACTAATAAGCCAACTCCAGAATCCTAAAGGTAAACCCATTCATTCCACTTAATTCTAATTTAGTAAGTATTTAACTGTGTACAGTGACTGTTACATGTTACAATCAATGGAAAAGAAAATTGATAGTTTCTTTCTTTAAAAAAGTATCTTCCAAGAAAAACACATACCATCTGAAACATTTCAGTAACATTTTAATATAGTCATTATGCAGCTCTGTAATATGTGATGTAGAGTATAAATTAGAGAATACCAAAGAAAGATTTATTTGATCTGAAAGGTTAAACATTATGAAGAAGACTTAATATAGGCCCTTGATTTTTTAATTTTTTTGTCTTTTTCCTTTTTATCTGTATGGGGGATCAAACTCACCTCTGCCTGCTTGCAAGGCAGGCGTTTTATGCTGCTGAGCTAAATCCCCAGCCCCAGTATAGGCCCTTTAATAATGCATGGATTTGGATAAAAGGAGGAAAAAGTCAGCATCTCTTTGGGAAGTTTTTCAGTTTAACATACACCACAAGCTCTAGCGCTTCATTTCCCTACTACACCATAGATACAAGAAAAGAGCCAATTAGTTCTGAAGAGGTATGTTTCTTTGGAACACCAACTCTGTAGATCTCTGAAGACTATCAGTCTTCTGAAAAGGGTTGACCTTATAAAGAAACATAAAGGCAATCTTTGTAGTTTTGTATGTGAACCTTATAGATCACATACTTTCTATGATGAGGATGCTTTCGTTCTTTTTTTTTTTTTCTTTTTTTTTTTTTGTCTTTTTGAGACAGGATCTAGTAATGCAGTTCAAGCTGGCCTTGAGTTCACTTTGTAGTCAAGGCTGATCCCAAACTTGAGAGATCCTCCTGCATCAGCCTCCTAAATATTGGGATTATAGGTGGGTACCACTTCACCCAGCATAGTTCTCAATCCAGTAGAATGAAGAAAGACAGTTTACTTAGTAATAAGTGGCCTTGTTTGTTTGAGACAAGGTCTTGCTATGTAATTCACGCTGGTCTTGAACTCACTATGTAGGACAGGCTGACCTCAAACTCAGAACAGTCATACTGCCTCAACCTCCTTGAGTGCTAGGATTAAGATGTGTGTGCCACCACACCAGGCTACATATTTTTAAGTAATACAAATTTTTTTTTTGTTTTTATGTTTGGAGTAAGATTGAAGGAAATAGATTGCTGCATATTAGCAATTTCAAACAATACCAGAAGGTCCTTTCTCTCCTTTCTAAAATCATTTTTCAACATAATTTATATAGACTCATTCTTTTCAGAAGACTGATAGCCTTCAGAGATCTATAGAGTTAGTATTCCAGATAAACATACCTCTTCAGAACTATTAGCTCTTTTCTTGTATCTATCGGATAATAGGGAAATAAAGTGCTAGAGCTTGTGGTGTACGTTAATTAAAGTAAAATTAATAATTTACTCATACAGTATAAGTATTCCCTAGTATTATTAAGTGATATATATTCCTTATATTATTTGCTTTCTAAGGTCACTAGTTCTCTTCTGTAGTTTGTCTTTTGCAGAGAAAAGAATTTTCATGAGTGATACTAGAAGTGAGAGTAACTCAAGAGTTTAGAACTGTTGTAGACCATCGTAATTCTTGAGTCAGCCTCTCTGGACTTTCTTGGGCATCGTACAGATCTCAGAAACCATGTTCGCTCTTGCCTTGTCCAATCCTTTTCAGTCTGTCCTGTTTAGTTCTTGTCATTGTTAACCTATCCAGTCAGTGTGCTGTCCCCTCGTCCGTGGCCAAAGAGGCAGGGAAGAGGGAGGAGTAACAAAACATCTGTTTGCATCTGAGAGTAACAGGTTGCAATCTGAAATGATTTCTATTTGAACTGTTCCTATTCCCCCCTCAGTTTTAGTATGGACCTTGGCATTCCTTACACTCAGGGAAGTGAAAGATCACAAGTGTACAAGGCCAGCTACAATGTCCCAAACTATAAACGGTATTATTTTTGCAGAAACTTTCTTTAAAAGTACTTATGTTGCCTAACGTTATGAAGCCCCCCAAAACAGATTTTATTAGTTTTGTAAATATGTCTTTATGATTCATCTATTTATTTTTAGTTTTATTTAAAATATATTTCTCCATAAAATACTAAGTACCTTATGTGACAAGAACCTTATTGTCATTAGAAAAATCTAAGTGTTCCACAGTTTATTACAGAAAGGAGAAAGGGAACTTAAACTTAACTTGGTGCCCTACTTCCCAAATCAACCCTCTACTACAGTTTTGATTTACTTTTTTAAAATTTTAGTTTATTACTTCAAGTATATACTACCTGTTTACATCTGTTGTGGGAAATTGGTACACGCATAAAACATCTTAATTCCTTTTTCATCCCCTTTCCCTTCCTTCCTTCCCCTCTTCCTGCTTGAGTCCTCCCTTTGTACCTGTTTGTAGTATGTGTTTACAGCCCTTTCGTGGAGTTGGCACATGTACATAACACATCAAGGACAATAGAAATCACCTTGGCTTTATATTCTCTGTTTCAGCTTTATTGCATTTATTTGAAAAGAACATGATTCCAGAGAAGACTGTGACATTCCAGCATATCATCCCCATCTCTGCTATTACTGGAGAAGGAATTGAAGAATTAAAGAACTGTATAAGGAAATCACTAGATGAACATGCCAGACAGGAAAATGAGGCATATCATAAGAAACAGTTGCTTAATTTGGGGATTTCTGATACAGTATCTTATAGTGAGCCAACATTAAACCGTGCTGTCACTAGTTCCAAAAAGGATGTAATTTAAGCCTGCTAAAAGTAGTATTAGTGAATTAGTATGTGGTCCAAAGAGAATGAAATCATGTCCTTTGTGACAGCCTGGATAAACGTAGAAAAGATTATTTTAAGAGAAATAAGCCAGTCATAGACAAATGCCACATGTTCTCACTTCCTTGTAATGTAAAATATTCACAGATCAGAAGAGAGGATGGAGAGATGGAGGAGGGGGAAATGTTAGGTCAAAAGATAGAAAGTTTCAATAGTATAAATTTTGGAGATCTAGCACACACCACTGCTCAGTGTCTATGGTTGTAACAGTGTATTATATTTTAAAAATTATTAAGAAGGTAGGTTGTAAGCTCACAAAAAAAAACAAAACTGAGGACGTGCATATGTTAATTATCTAGACTGAGCCGTTGAATACTCTTTATATATTTCCGAACATCGTATTATACATCAGAATGTAAAAGTTTTAGCCATCAATTTATAAAAGGGTAACTATTAAGTTGCAGACTTTTCCACGTTGTCTTAGTATTGATGTTATATGTGCTATCATTCAAGATCTATACCTTTTAAATTATTCTTTTTGTAATTAAGTGTATCAATAATAAAAATGTAACTGAGAACTAAAAAATTACAAGTTTAGGGTCAATCTACCTGTGGTGAAATTTTCTGATACTCCTTTATTGATTGTGTACTTACTGAGAATTTTTTTTAATTACATAGGATGATTCCTTAGATGGATTAGTGGAATGAGCAGATAGGGTTTGCATTTGGGGGTTAGGCTCTGTCATGTACCTGGTTGCACTTAATATATAATAGTTCTGTTTGTGGAAAACCTCAAAACCCTAAGACTGAACATATAGTCAGTATTAGATAGTATATAACAGAAACCAGCAAATCAATGTTTGTGAGTTGAGTTCTTAGAAAATTTTTCTTTCCTAATATCTTGGTTACTTTTCTCTCATTGCTGAGACAAAATTCTTGATGCTTAAAAAGAAGGAAGGAAAGGTTTATTTAGCTTACAGTTTTTGGAGGTTTCAGTCCATACTCAGCTGGTTCCAAGGCAGGGTGGTGTGGCTGAGGGGCAGCTGTTCATGGCAGCTGCAAGTGACAAGAGCAAAAAGGCACGAGCACACCTTCTTCCTTCCCTTATATTCTATGGTGACTGCCTGCCCCTGGGCAGGTACGGCACTCACAGTGCCAATCCCAATACTAGACAGCGAACCAGTCACAGATGCTGGATTCAACTGCCTTTGAAAGGTCTTCCCCCTGTGACCACATGTGGCTTTAGGAGCTCATCCGAACAAACCATAGCACCAAAGTATAAGTGCTTTTTCATGCTTTGGAGAAGATTGACCCATGTTTCATTTTCTTAAGCCTGTTTCATTGTTCATGTTCATATTTTAGTAAAGAGAGAATAAATAGTGAAAACTTTGAGGAATGTTAATCACCTACATACAGATTAGTATAAATTCCAGATTTCTGCTTAGGTACATAGAAAATATTTACAAATAGAAATTTCATATTAAGGACCTGGGGTTTAGCTCAGTGGCACAAGTGCCTGCCTGGCAAGCACAAGGTCATGAGTTTGATCCCTGATACTAAAAAAAAAGAAAGAAATTTTACATTAAAAGACTTTTATTTCAAAATGTACATATTGTAAACTCAAACAGTATTTAAGCAAAAAGCATTTCCTTTTTGCATGAGGCTACTCAGTCCTTTCAGAGAAAGCTACTGTTAATATTTTATGTCTTTGAAAAAGGTTTTATTCATATATCTTTATCCAAGTTATTTCTGTATAAAAATTTTTCCAGCTTTTGGTGATTGTTGTGCAAACATAGACAAATTATGAAAGCTACACATTGTATCACAAGGTGATACAATCTTGTGGGATCACCATCATATATGTAGTGCATCCTTGGTCAAAGCAGTGTAGTACAGTATGTAACATGTTGTTACAGTATTTATTATAACAGTTTGAACTTCATTTTCCTTTAAATGATACATTGTCATATAATCGAGAAAAGTTTACTTTTATAATGAGATAAAGTAGGTCAAGAGTATTTTACTTCAGGTTTTATCCACTTAGAATTTAGCGAAGTTGCATGTTTCCTTTGAGTTCTGTGTTTGTTTTGCAAGACAGAAATAGTAGTGGTAATAGTTCAGGTAGTTAGTGAAAACTATTTATTTTTGTTACAAAAAAAAATACATAAGCAAATAATATTTTCTAAGCAGTTTTATAAGCTTGGAAACATTTTGTTTAGAATTTAGAGACTTATAGGTAAATGGATGCAACTTGAGACCATACTCATAAGTGAAATAAATCAGACACGTGCAAACATCATATTGTCTCACTAGTATGACAAGCTGAAACAACATATATATATATATATATATATATATATATATTTTTTTTTTTTTTTTTTTTAAGGTAGTTATACTACTGATTTCTCTTGAGTTCACTAAAGAGAAAGATTTGTGCTGGTGGTGTTCTAACAATTGAATGTAGATGTCTTTTACTCTGGGTGAATGATTTGGGGATGACAGTGTATAATGTATGTATAATTGTTTCCCCCTCCCAGGAAGGGGGGCATTTTGTTTAGACCAAATAATGAGTTGAATGTATATTTTAAAATCCTTAACACCTAAAATTTGGTTTAAATCTTTTTTCTGGGCTGGGGATATAACTCAGTGGCAAAGTGCCTGCCTGGCAAGTATAAAGTCCTGAGTTTGATTCCCAGTTCCAAAATAAAAATAAAATAAAATACATCTTTTCCTCCTTACAGAATAGTCAAGTGCAACAAATTCAGAAATTTTGAGTACAAAGACTGTTTCAATGGTGATGTCACCGTAGGCTGGATATGTGCTGAAGACATTGCATATATTAACTCCTTTAAACACTTTATTACATTGTTATGATCATGTATTACTTTTTTAACCTGTTTGGTACATAAATGTGGGTTTTTAAAAAACCTTTGAGACTAAATGTTTATTTTTTAAAGGACAAGAAAAATACTTTCTTTGCTTTACAGATTTATAATCTGGGAATTAAACAAATGAGATGAACATAATTAACATAAAATGTTAGCAGAAAACATGCTATATTTTTGTTGCAAACTTAATGAAAGTTTTTCTTGAAATACTTCCTCTTTTCTGTTTTCTAAGTGGAACTTGGCAAGTAGAGGAAAAGTATGTATTAGAGAAGTCTTTTTGAGCAGATTTCACTGGCTAGCTAAAGGAAAATCAAGATCAAGTGATAGGAGTGAGAAAAGGAGAAGGAAAAGAAAGGAAGGTGTTAACACTGCACAGCTGGACGTCCCTGTGGACAGCTTGGGAGTAATGGGTGGGGTCCTGGCCTCATTTGGCCCTGGGAAATCTGAAAAAGCCAGGGGCATTTTAAACTACCACTTCTCACTATAACCAACGACTAGTTTTAGGCAATTCTATTTTTTTAAAATGTTTCTCACCACATGACTGTTGCTTAATAATTGTTGGGTAATTGGAGGATTTGAACACGTAGTCACCTTTATGCATATTACTGCAGTGTTTTATCACAGAAATGAAGTTCTTCAGGCTGCTCAGATACCCAGCTGTGTGAAGGATAGCCTTTTCATGTCTTTGGAGATTCTTGCAGTTTATAGTAAACTCATTTAGGAGCAATATATGACAAAGTTGGCTTTTTTTTTCTGTTTTGTAAACAGTGCATTCGAAGTTGAAAGCAAAGGACAAAAAGCTTCCTGTGTTTAAGGCCCATATTCGCATAGGTTTTTCTCAAATTGCCAGTATTCTCTGACCAAAGCCTTAATTTTGCATTGATTGTCAAACATCATTATTAATATTATTTTTATATAAAAAGCTTTAAGGGGACTAAAATAGTTTTCCTATGTTAAGAGAAAGACATGATTATACAGCTAAAACATCATCTTTATTTGTACATGTTTGATACAAATTGATGCAGATGGAATAGTTTAAGGACAGATGTTGAGCAAAAGCTTATGATCAGATAGATTTGAAGTAAAATTGTGTGACAGAGTAATAAAAGCCACTGGCCAGCTGAGTCTTAATGGAGGAAATGAGAATGCTATGTAATAACAGAGCTCCAGTTTACAAAACAAGGCTTTCCAGGAAGCTGTACTGCTTCTCACCAAGAGAAATGGTAAAGACAGTATGAGTACACCTGGATTTTCCTAGAAACATGAGCCAGAAAAACAGATGTACTTAAGAACCAATAATGTTATAATGCCAGATGTGTAATACATTCATTTAAAAGTTTAACATGCAAGTTTCTTCAAGAAAAAAAAAAAAAAAAAGCACCTCCCCTTCCATCCCAGAGATGCCTGCAGCTGTGGTATCATCAGCAACACCTCAGCCACTTACCCAAAGACCTCTGCAGCTGTCAGGATCATCGGCAGCACCTTATACGTCAACCTGGAGACTTTAATGGCCCAGGGTCTGTCAGTGACTCTGTCCACCATCTACAGAACCCTGGTGGGCTGGTGGAAGCTTCAGCAACCCCTTACCCACACAGGACCTCAGTGGGCCTGCAACAGTGTAGTGAGTTTCCCCCTCAAATAGAGGACCTCAGAGGGTCAACAGGAGCCACAGAAAACCCTCCCCTCCACCTATAGGACTTTGGCAAGAGTGTGGGTGAGTCCTTCCATACAGAGAACTCGAGGCAGGTTGAGAAGAGCACCAACAAGGCCTCCAACCGGGAGGATCATGAAAGGGGCTAGGAGACACCCAGTGGCACAGTAGGGTCTCAGCTGAGGTGCTGAATATAGCCAGGTAAATCTGGCAACCTGGAATAGCCTAAAGCCATAGTAACAATAGGAGCTAAGGGTTGGCTTACATCAATACTCCTAGGTGAGTCAGCCTTGGGAAAATACAAGACTCACCCAATAGGATCAGCAGGAGGAATTCAGGTGACTGGCCACTGCCCTTCATTGTGGAACCCAGCAATTGGACAAACATCCAAACAGTAGGACCTTGAGACACAAACCATGGTCAGTTAAGACTAGTGGGATTGGAAAGACCAACCTATTAACTCAAGAGAAAATGTCAAAATGAAAAAGAAAAATGCAATCTCAAATGTCCAGTCCATTAGGAACAAGTACAGGAGACATTGACATAGAGGATATTGTATGTCATACACCTGAAGTTTCTGAAAAGATACCAAGTGAAATAAATCCATGAGGCTATAGAGGAAATCAGATTAGAAATAATCTCTCAGGTATTGAAAGAAATGACAACCTTAATAAATGAATTACTCAGCATAGCTAGAAAAGACATAGATAAAAAAAAAAAGTACAGGAGCATTGGGAAATGATGGAAACCTTGAATGAACAATTTAGGAAAGAAATGGAATGGATGAAACAAATTCAAAGTGATATCCAGGAAATTTAATACTCTATTGAAAGCTGGTGAAACCATTTGAATGAAACTGAGGATAGACTTTTGGACTTCGAAGACAATATCACAGCTAGTGATCATGAAAAGAAAGAACTTTTAAGAATAACAAGGCAGCATGAAATAACAGCTTCAAGACATTGCAAAGAGATGCAATACAATATTGATCGGTGTCAATGAAAATGCAGGAGTCGATGCAAATGACTTTTAAAAACTATTCACAGAAGTAATAGCAGAAAATTTCCCATAGGAACAGAATTGGATATACAGATAAGTGAAACATATAGAACACCAAACAGTCATAACCAAAATAAATCTACACTCATATAGTAATTAAGATTACAGAAATATGGCATAAAAACAATACTAAAATCTGTTAGAGAAAAGACAAAACTCACCTATCAAGGAAAGCCCATTAGAATCATGGCAGACTTTTTAGCACAAACTGTTAAGATGAGCTTGGAGTAAAGTATTTCAAACCCTGAAAGAAAACAGCTCTCAACCAAGATTGATGTACCCTGAAAAAGTTTCTTTCAAATTGATGGAAAAATAAGATACTTCATGATAAAGAATAACTGAAGAAATTCATGTCTACCAAGCCAACTGTAGAAAGAGTACTGAAAGACAGAGAGAGAAAAAAAAAAAAAATAACTACCAGAACAGCAACAGAAAGAAACCACCAGGCAAGGCAAGCAATTAAATGAGGGGGGAAAGGAGGAAACGGGAAAATAATATGACAAATTTAAGCCAGTGCTTATTAGTTATATCTATCAATATAAATGGTCTCAATTCATCATTTTAAAGAAAAAGACTGGCAGAATGGATTAAGAAACAGGATCCAACAATACTCTGTATATGAGAAACACATCTGGCTTCAAAGGAAACTCATAGACTAAAAGTCCAAGGATGGAAAACAATACTCCATATGACAGGAACCTAGAAAAAAGCAGGAGTAGCTCTTCTGTTTGCAGACAGTGTAAACTTCAAACCAAAAATGATCAAAAGAGATAAAGAAGCTCTTAACATACTTGTTAGGGGAAAAATTCAAGAGGAAGAGCTAACAGTCATAAATATATATGCACCAAATTCAGGAGCACCCATCAATATAAGACAAATATTAATAGGCATGAAAAACCAAATACACAGTAACACAATTGTAACAGGGGACCTTAATACCCCATTGTCACAAAGAGATAAGTCAACTAGACAAAAAGTAAGCAAAGAACATAACTGAATCATACCTATGAACAAATGGACTTAATAGATGTTTACAGTATTCAACCCAACATCATTAGAATACACGCTTTTTTCAGCTGTACATGAGATGTTCTCTAAAATAGACCAGTACTAGCCCACAGAACATGCTCAAGTAAATGCAAAGGGATGGAAATTATCCCTCAAATATTATCTGATCATAGTGCACTAAAACTGGAAATTAATGGCAAAAGAATCTGCAAAACCTACACAAACACATGGAAATTAAGTAACAACCTCTTGAACAACCAATGGGCTACAGATGAAATTAAAGAAGAAATCAAGGAATACCTAAAATTCAATCAAGATGCACATACAACATACCAAAATTTGTGGGATGCAATGAGAGCAGTCCTAAGAAGGAAATATATAGCAATAAATTGTCACATCAAGAAAACAATGAGCACAAATAACCTAATACTATACCTCAAGCTTTTAAAAAAGAAGAGTACATCAAGCCCACAGCTCACAGAAGAGAAAAAATTATAAAGATCAGAGCAGAAATTAACACAATTGAGACTAAGGAAACAATACAATGAATAAATGAATCAAAGAACTGGTTCTTTGAGAGAAATAAACCTCTAGCCAAAAAAGGAAGGGCTGAGGATAAGCCCTTCAGCAGCATAAGCTTACCTGCCTGGTAAGTGCAAGGTTATGAGTTCAATCCCCGGTAATGGGAAAAAAAAAACCCTCAAAATTCAAGCCAACACTCAAAAATCAATAGCATTCTTGTACACAAACAACAAACTTACTGAGAAGAGAAATTATGGAAGTAACATCTGATAGAATTGGATTCCAGGTCAGGGAACCATATGATAGAATTGTGGCATGGCCGAAAAGTTAAGAAGTATGAAATATAAATGACCTTTATTTTAAGAATGTGGGGAGAGACTCCCCCAACCCACCGGGGCCTGGCATTGTCTCTGGGGGCTGGCATACTCTTGGGGTCTGCAATCTTTCCGGGGTCTGGCAATCTCTCCCTTAGACACATGGAGTGGGGGCATACATATAGTTTAGGTTTGGGGTGGAGCCTAAGGGGCATCAGTGATGCACAGGTAGCCCATTGGTATTCATTTCACGCCACAGGTAAATTCCTAGGGAAGGGGAAGATGGAGCCCGTTGGTTCCACCCCCAAAGGCTTTACCAGCTACAGTGTCCCATCTGGGCCAAAATCCTTTCAACATCTTTCACAATAACATCCCAAACAATGAAATATTTAGGTATCAACCTAACAAAGAATGTAAAAGACCTATATGCTGAAAATTATAGTACTCCAAAAAAGATTGAAGAGGATATTAGAAAATGGAAAGATATCCCTTTCTTTTGGTTAGGAAGAACAACATTGTGAAAATGGCCATACTCTCAAAACTGTTACACAGATTTAATGCAATTCCAATCAAAATAACATTAACATACCTCAGTCCGGTAGGAGCTCACGTTCTCTAAAATTGAAGAATGAATTTTAGGAACAACGGAGATTAACAGCAGAATATATTTATTGAGAGAAACCTGTCTGAAAGAGGCAGATGGGGTCCTGAGTGAGCTGCCAAAGACTCTTGTCTTTTCTGTGGATTTTATAGAGTAAAACCACAAAGTGAGATGGATACAAAGTTAGGAAAACCTGGGAACTCTCCAGTTGGGCATAAGGTGAGACAGAACTATCGTTAACCAGTAAGATTAATTGCTCAGGTAAAATTGATTAAATCAGGAATAAATGAGGAGTCACACAGGAAGCAGGCAATCTTAAGAACCAGTGACTCTTCCCTTAGGGGGTTGGGTTGGTGACTCCTGGCTTCCTCAAGGAAGAGTGACCTATTTAGAATATCAATGTGGGTGCATTTGTTTGATCTTTTGTCTTGAGGCCTGGCCCACAGCAGGAGGTGTGTCTCCTCTACAATTGCTAGGTATCTGGGCTTCTGCACTGGCTCCTTTGAGGACCTAGCCCTGCTTGCTGCCTATATTTCTTTTTTGTTTTTTTGTCTTTTTCATTTTTATCGGTACCAGGGATCGAACTCACGACAGCCTGCTTGCAAGGCAGGTGCTTATGCCGCTGAGCTAAATCCCCAGCCCCAACTGCCTATATTTCTAACTAATTCAGCTGCCTGTAACAGAGTGCATCAAATCCAGGCCCTCTGTTCTGTGCCTACTAAAATACTTTGCAGAGGGGCGAGGGAACATTAGGATTTGAGGATTTATGCTAACCGTCTATGGGAAAATCATATTTAATTTTAAAAATACTAACTTGATACTTAAAGCAGAGAGATGCATTATTTTATTTTATACTTTTCTGTGTGCATATGTTAAAACGGATAAGCCAAATCTAGAGCCCAAGACCTACAAACCGTGAAGGGCGGGCTGGGGTTACAGGACGCGGCCTGGTGGATTCTGGGAAGTATAGTTCAGAAACCCGGGGCGTTCTTGTGCGGGCAGCGCGCGACCCTGACTCTGCTCCCAGAAGCCTCTGGGGGCGCGTCCTCGCTGGGAACGCACTTCCGGGACGCGGAGAAGGAGACGCTCCGAGAGGCTCCTCCGTGTGGATGAGCGAGATACTCTGGCTGTGAGGAGCAGGTAGGTGTGATCCAGAGCGCTTCGGTCTCGGAGACTTGTGAAAGTAGTTGACGATTTTCTGTAAAGTTAGCTAAATTAACGGGGAGCCAGGGGCACTGAAAAATGCTGGCCGTGCTCGTGGACGTGGAAACTGGAGGAGGAGGTCTTGGATACAGGTTTACAAAAATTAGCGCAGCCCAGTATGCAAGTGTCAGAGTGCGTTGCTGGAGCTCTGCGGGCCGGCAGCCTGGTCGGCGGGGGCGTGCAGTGCGGAGGAGCCTTGAGTTGCTATTTTTGAAAAACAGCTGATGCTGGTTGTGTAACGCTGCCCCCTCGCCGTTCTGCCCCATCCGTGCCGCGGGGAAGGGCTGGGCTAGAACGGCGACCGTCGCGGTGCGGTTCTGTGTTGGCTCACTCAGGAGGTTGTCACCCCGCCCCCATTCTGCCTTGCCGGTCCAGAAGACTCAGCTGCGAGTGGAGGAAGGAGCGGACGCGGGGTGCTGCTCCCCAGAGAGCAAGCTTCCCTAGCTTCCGCAGTGCGAGTTCTGTGTTCTTGGCCTTGGAAAGAACGTTAGAGACTTGGCGAGGTCACGTAAAATGATTCCCCAGGGACCCTGATGGGTGTGATTTATTGTAAAATAATTTCCTTTAACCTCAGAGTAAGCAGTTGGGCTTGATAACACTCAGGAATACTTTGACGGGGGCGGGCTTGATTGAAATCTCAGCAAACAGTATTCTTCTATATAAAGATCATAATGAGGCTAGTGACAACCGCCTTAATCCAGGAAGCTCTTATGCGTGTACAGGTTTTTGTTTTTGAAAGCAGGGTTTCGCTAGATTGCATAAACTGGCCTCACACTTCTGATCTCCTTGTTGAGGCCCTCTGGTAGCTAGAGTTACAGATGCCTACCACCACGCCTGGCAGGTGTTCATGCTTATATTCCCCGAGATAATAATAGGTAAAGAGGAAGTTCCTGGTATTTGTGGATATGGAAACACCTTAAAATGGCAGATGGAGGCATTGGTGGTATATAAAACGAAACGCATAAGTCACTTTTTTTTTCTTATTGTTCGCTCTTTTTTAGTGATGTGAGGTGTTGCTTGTGCATGCCAGGCTAGCGTTGTACCGCTGAGCTACACTTCTGATGATAAACTGCCGCTTCAAAAACTGCCTTTTTTGGTTTAACATTTTATTAACATTTTAGGAAACCACCAATTATTTTTAATTACATTTTAATTCAAATTGTGGTTTGGAGAAGTACTGCACTAATTTGGGCCCTTTTCTTATATCTCCAGGCCCACAGCATCTCTATATTCACAGTGTTTCTTCTAAGTTAAAAATAAACCTGTTTTAGAACTATCAGATACCTAAAAGGTAAGTATATCCTTTGACTTTATCTTATTTCTTTTTCCCACCTACCGCAGTTAATAATGATGCTTGCTTTACTCTTCTTCAGTGAAATGTAGAACAGATTTCCCTTTGAGTGTAATTATTGATGACTTTTTAGTTTCTCAGAAAACCCAAATTATATGTAGAAGAAAATGCCAGTGTTACTATCAAGAATTAACTTAGCTGTTATGAGACATATATTTTGTATCTGTTCCTTGAAATTGACCCCGAAAAATACTGAAACAGATTTGGGAATTCCTAAAGTTCTTAGCTACTGTTCCTGCTCCAGTCTTCATTGAATTCTACTCCAAACCATATCATTTTGCAGATACTTTTGTTGAGAGTGATATCTTTGATAACATTTAATTGCATATCTGAAAATCACTGTGGAATAGTCAAATGACAAATGGGAAGTGGTTCTGAAACAGTCTTTTTTGATTTGGTTATAAGTACACCAAAAAGAATGCAGCTTTTATTATTATACAGTTATAATCATCAAGTAATTTGCTGAGAATCCAGAAGAAAAATATCCTGTCTGAAGGAAATAAATTACTTATCATTACAAACTTAAATTTCTGACCATAGTCTGATTTATGTAGGGCTATTCATCTCTCAGCTACCTTAGAGGATATTTTGCTGATTAGAAATTTGAAGTTCAAAAGCCATAGCTGAAGTGCTCAGTTTGTATGGTCATGATGGCTATTGAAGTCCTAGATGACAAGACCAACCTGCCTCCTAAATGGAAATAGTAAGCTCACATAATTTTTAAGGTAGTGGTTTTATATTTACTGAAGGTGACTAGTACTGGAATCCTGCATTTTGAAGAAGAGTCTCAGGAGTAGTCTTACTGTTGTAAAAATTTTAGTGACTATTTCCCAGGGAGGATTTTTATAGCTTTCCACTCTTGAGGAAGGACCAGTTTAATGGATCTTCAGGAAGTGGGAATAATAGTAAGGTCTCTGAGCTATAAGGCTTCCCTTCTTGCCTGCTTCCCAGCCATTCAATTTCCTGAAGAGACTGTAGGCATGTCTTTTTGATGCCCTTTGCATTCCATGCCAGCATTCTGCTTGAAAAGATGGACTGCCTCTAGGAAAAGAATCCCCTGCTTGTGTTTTAAATGATTGCTGGTTTTAGTTAGCAAGTTTCCCTTCTTTTTTTTTTTTTTTTTTTTTTTACATTGTTGCATGAGTATGTAGGACCAGAAAAGTGTCTTTGGAGTCTGTTTTAGATATTTTGCTTTTTACCTTTTCCTAATGTCATTGCCTGAGTAAGATCTACCACGTACTTTGAGCAGAGGTTCCTGGGGGAAGGCAGTGGCTTGTTGACTTTGAGCAGGACACCAAATTACAAATATGTAGCTAATTTTCCCTGAAGAGTGAAAAAGCGCTATGAAGTATCAGAGTATGGGGTATGGAGAACAGAAACAGACAAAAAGACATACAGAAATCTAGGTTGCACCCGTGAAACCTGACCTGTTCTGTGACTAGATTAGTAACAGGCTTTCTGGCTGCTCTTTACTGGTTTTGTACCTGCAATAAAAGACTGAAAATGGGAAAGACAAGAAAGAAAAAAGGAGTCATAGATTTCAGAGAGAAAGAGAGAGAAACTGCAACAACAACCACAAAAAATTGTGCCCCAAAAGACCTTACCTCCTCTTGGCTGGCTTTCCAAGATATGCTACTGAGTTTTGAGGTGCTTCTGTCTGTTTGCAGAGTTGGTTTCTAGGTTCTTCTTGTCTTGAATAAAGAATTGGGCAAAACAAGCACAGAAGGTAGAAAGGCTTTGTGTTTATGAAACATAGGAAAAGAAACATGCTTTGCCGAAAGAGTTTGGACCAAGTAAAAATAGGAGAACAGTCTCCAGTATGAGTGTGCGCTGCTACAAAAGGACATGGCAGCCAAACTCCCCTGTTTATATACTTAATCCCACTCAGAGTTTCACCCACCTTGTGCTGTTTACCTTGTCAGGTTTACCGGAGCGCATTCTCAGCTTTGCACATCTCCAGTCCTTTATAAGGAGTTTTCATATGACAAATGATGTGTTTTCCTGAATTGCTATTTAAAAAAAAAGAAATAGAAGTTGTATAGCTTTGATACATACTAATTTGATACATTAGCCACTCGTTATGAGGTGGGGTGTATCCAATGAGTAATATAGAACCAATAGTTGAAAGCAGAAGAATCAGCCCATAATCCATTTCCTAACCATTGTTGAAATTAACCAGAGTTGCCAAGTTTAGATATAAATATAGATATAGATATAGATGTAGATATATATGTATTTCTCTGCTGCCTGCTAGTCAGTCTCATTTTGTACTGTGTGAACGTCTGAGGCCAAATGGATGATGTTTGCAGCAGATGATTGAGTGCTTTAGCCCTTTTTACATATCTGAATGCTTTGTACATAAAAATGATCAGTATTATATATATATACATACACAATATGGATGATTAGGGACAGCCAAGGAGATTTTTAAGTAATATTAAGAGAATTTTACATTATTTTGGTTGTCCTAATTAAATGAAGAAAAACACCAATGGCTAGAATATTGTGACAGTAATAACCAAGTGAGCGTGTGTGCCCCTGGGCTCTGAGGTCACACGCATGTGTTTATGTGTTTGTGTTGTGCAGATGGATTCCCTGTGTACAAAGGAGTTTGCCTCCTTGCACTGACTGTCATGCAATGTCTTGCCAGTTGGTACTACCTGTTGTGCGTGACTCTTATTGTCCCTTCATGATTTGTCCTCTGTCACTCCTAGCTTCACAGTTGTGCGCAAGGCTGTCTGCCATGGGCTGTCGGGATGTCCACGCAGCCACAGTCCTTTCCTTCCTATGTGGAATTGCCTCGGTAGCAGGCCTCTTTGCGGGGACTTTACTTCCCAACTGGAGAAAATTACGACTGATCACATTCAACAGAAACGAGAAGAACTTGACTGTTTACACAGGTCTCTGGGTGAAATGTGCCCGGTACGATGGAAGCAGTGACTGCCTAATGTATGACACTACTTGGTACTCATCAGTTGACCAGCTGGACCTGCGTGTCCTGCAGTTTGCTCTTCCCCTCAGCATCCTGATTGCAATGGGTGCCTTGCTGCTCTGCCTCATTGGAATGTGTAACACAGCCTTCGGATCGTCGGTGCCTAACATCAAACTGGCCAAGTGTCTGGTCAATAGTGCAGGCTGTCACCTGGTGGCAGGGCTGCTGTTTTTTCTGTCAGGAACTGTGAGCCTTTCTCCATCCATCTGGGTCATCTTCTATAACATCCATCTCAACAGGAAGTTCGAGCCAGTCTTTACCTTTGATTACGCAGTTTATGTCACTATTGCCAGTGCTGGGGGGCTGTTTATGACTTCCCTCTTACTGTGTATTTGGTATTGTGTGTGCAAGTCTTTGCCTTCTCCTTTCTGGCAGCCGCTGTACTCCCATCCTCCCAGCATGCACACTTACTCCCAGCCCTACTCAGCACGATCCCGCCTCTCTGCCATTGAAATTGACATTCCAGTAGTTTCACACACTACCTAATGAGAATACAGTTAATTGTTAAAAAAAATTCTTGAAACCCTTGACATTCCCCTTGTATAGAGAGCCTTTTTGAACCTCTGTACATTTCCTTTGTTCCTGACCAGTCAAGAAAGCCAGATTTGTATGTCTTGGTAGAATGAAGTGCTGCTAGTTTTTGTGAGTAAATTACATTATTTTAAATGTAAAACATTTCTCCTTGTACTGGAAGGATTTTTAGCCTCCTTATTGATATTTGATCATTTATTTAAGGGGAAACAACATGTGTCTGGTTTAGAATAATATGGTAAAGAATGATGGTTAAGAGAAGCTATTGCATCTAATCTTTCTAAGTATTTCAGATTGTGTTTTGTCCTTTTTATGTAATACTTTACATTGGAAAAAGGCAATTTTAAGAAGTTTCTTTCAACTAAAGGTAATTTAACAGTAGTTAGTAGTTTAGCAGCTTATGACTATAACTTTTTTCTCTGGAGGCTAATTGTATTGAATACGCTTCAGAGTTTTGAAGATTAGTTTCTTTTTTTTTTTTTTGTACCAGAGATTGAACTCACGACCTTGAACTTGCAAGGCAGGCGCTTATGCCGCTGAGCTAAATCCCCATCCCTGATTAGTTTTTTTTTTTTTTTTTTTTGTGGGTTCCTTATCTTCTACCTCATGCCAGTGTTTAAAAGTAAAATGCATTTTAAGTGAAGTCAGAATAAGACTAACATTTTAAGTATCTATTAATTTTGGATAATATTAACATAATTTTATGATTCCATAAATTGTGTAGTTAAAGTCCATGTCTAAGATACGTGCTTCCCCTGGGACAGAAAATTTTTTATTCTAGATACCGTCTATCAGGCAGTACCCAGGCATACTTACAGTTGCTTAGCGGCTAAGAGAAACGAAGGGAAGATTCAGACCTAAGGGTTTGTTCTCTTTAGACGTAGTGGTAGGGGGCAGGAATCAGTTCTTCAGTGCAACAGGAGTGATTCCCTCCAGTGACTGCTGTCTGAGTAACGGGTGAAGTAAGCATATGGCTTTACCATAACCACCTTCGCCCTTAATTCACTTCCTGCTCCTTCATGGATTACTGTCGAGCATTTTATTGGCCTAAATACTTTTAGTAGGTGGTTTAGAGGATGTGGGAAAAGTAGGGAATCAGGTTCCATCCATGAAGAAATTTAAATCTAATAGATAAGATCAAATTCTCAAACTGTTGTCTGACAGTTTGTGAACAGTTTGACTTCAATGGCAGCTGGTCTGAATTTCCCAGTCATTCATCCAGGAATAGTTTCAGTCAGAATCATGACTTTCTGACAGACTAATTGTATAACACCAGCAATATCCTGGACCCTGGAAATTCACTGTGCTTGAATTCATCAGATTCTTATGGTACCTGCCGTCACCTATATCTCTAATAACACTACAGCAGAATCACGAAGCAGGGCAAAAATGGTAGAGAAATTAAATTTCTCTAAAAGTATAATGCTGTATTAAGGAGGAGGAGTTTTTAAAATCTGTATCCTTAGGTGGGATCAGGTAAATGTAACTGTGTCAACACAGGTAATACTTAGAGATTCAGGGATTTAGGGTGTTTGCCCTTATGAATTTGAGCTGCTTATTTAGTTGGAGTAATTTGCTATGTATTACTATAATGTCCGTAAGGATTTCGTTTTATTACAGAATTTACAAATAGCTAGTTGTATAATAAACAGATTATGCCTCTTTTACAAATCTGAATATGATTCTAGTATTTCTATAGATATATATGGATTATAGTACCTTTTTTCTAATTCCAACACTACTTTTTGTAAATAGAAAATAAATCCAGTTGCATAGTTTTTAAATGCCATCAGCAGAAAGCATACAAGGTTATGTTTTTCAGTTATAGCTTCTAATTTCTTTCAGTTGTGATTGTTTTCATTGTCATATGTAGCTAAGTCTTGATCATTCCAAGACAATGACGGGTAGCATTTTGAGATAGAATTTCATTATTCCTTGGTCTTTGCCATAAACAATGTTAAAGGAAAAATATGAGCCATTGAGACACACACTACACAGTTTAGTTCTTATAACTACTTGTATATTAAGCTTTCCTATACTTGGTAATTTGTAGCCTCAAATTAGTATCTGTCATGAATTCACATGGCATAAGAAAGAGCTGTCTTACTGTTCATAATGTTTCAAATTTGCTCTCAGTAGCTGTTTTTTAAAACCTTCAAATGAAACAAGTATTTACAGTTCCTCTTGCACACTAATCAGGTTAATCATTGTAATTGGAGATAACTTTGTTAAAAGCCTATTTATGTTAAAAGCCTTTTATAGAAGCCAAGTTGGAAAACAATCTTAAATGTAGTATGGTGTATCAGGTTTGGTTTATCTAGCCTTGGGAAAAAAAAAAATTCTTAAGTTTATTTTACTTGTACATATAACTAATGGATAGTATATTTGCTGTAAACTGCAAGATGAAACCTCAGTAAAAGTGTACTGTACTTCTTGATGTTTATTAAAAGATGTATTTTTACAAGTTCCTGTTTTTGTTCTTTTCTTACCTTCAAGGTAAAATAGTTTTAGAAATGTTTCTCAGGTGTTTATATGTCAAAAAAAAAAAAAAAAAAAACAAATCTCATTTCAAGTCCTGTGCAATAAGTACTAGAAAGGAATTAGAAAATGTGAAATTATTAATCTAGAAAGAGCAAAATCCTTTATTCATTTCTAAGAGTGTTCCTAGGAGTTCACTAGAATATTTTCAGTCTTCAAAAAAGTACTTAAATTGTGGCCAGAGGTGCCTCATCAATGAACTTTAAATGAATGCTCTGTGATCTTGGAGATTGTTACCACTAACAATGTATATCCTGAGTCTATAACAGTTCATTGGTCTCACTTTGGCTTTTTACTTCTTTTTGCTCATCTCATGCTTCTTCATTTTTATAAAAATGTATGATTATCTCCAGAATATTCTCTTTTAGAAGAGGTGTTGAAGAATTTGTGTCAGGTCTTCTGCCCTGAAAAACTCAAAAGGAAAAGTCCTTGCAGAAGAATGCAAACCAAAGTCACAGTCCCAGGTGTGGATGGGATCTGAATTAGCTGTTCTGTTTCTTTTAGCAATTAAACCCTAAAGCACCCTGAGGGGCAGCCTCTCCTGTTTCCTAGACCCCTGCAGTCCTCTGGAAAAGAGGAGCCTTTCCAGGAGAGCGTCACTCTCCCTTTACTGCTGGGTATCTCACAACCCTGAGCCCAGGAAGTTTCTGCTCCAGTGACGTGAGCATGTCAGGACTCTCTGAACCCCACTGTTTCACTGTGGGATGGGGAGAAAAAGCATCTCCATCGTCTGCCTAGTGTTTATAGCCAAACTAATGGGGAGATGGTTGGTTCATTGTATTTTGTTTTGAAATATGCCACCTTTCCTGACTTCTGTAAGGAAAATGGTTCAGCAAATTGTGGGGAAGAAAGACAAGGAAAAGAATTTTTTTTTAATTGTGTGAAAAGCCACTTATGTTTGGGCCTGTTAGCGGGTATCTGGTAAATCACAGTCCAGGTGACCCATTTTCACTAAAACCTTTTTAGAACCTAGAATTCTGCATCCTAGAAAAGGTGCTGTAAATTCCATAACTGTTATATCCAATAGCTTTGCTCCAGTATTTTGTTTAACGGTTTGAAAGGAAATCTCTAGTAATTACATCAGTGTCAGCCACTTGAACATTTGAGTAATTTTGCCTCTTTTCCTGTGCTCCTTTCGCTCCACTGTGAAGATTATCTTAAAGGGTGGCCGCAGGTCCTGACAACCATCGGAGAGCTGGTGTCCTGGAAGTTCTTCACTAGCCCTGGTCACGAGGAAGAAGGCTTCACCTCAGCCAGTCCCTCGAGTCCCAATCTGCTAACCTCTTCCTCATGATATTGCATGTGGGGTTCTTCGTGCATTGGAGAAATTGAAAACTGTTGGACCTCCAAAACAAGCCCCCAAAAATGGTGTCCAAAATATGGGGCAAGATGTGTTTTTTAAAGAAAAAGGAGCGCTGTTTATTTATCCTGGCACCAGGGACACAGTGCTGTTGGAGTTTGCAAAACTGTGTGTCTGGCTTAAAACTTTTTACAGACTAATGTAGAAAGAACAATTACAAAGTAAGTGGTTTATGGATGTGGATCAGGAATGAGGAAATCCTTGTTCAGCTAAGGAACAAGGAAGACCTTTGTTTCCTTTTGTTTGAGAACAGAGAAGATTCCCAGGATTTTACAGTCCTTTGCAGAGGGGAACAATGGTAAACATATCAATCAGGTCACCCAGGAAGATGGCGCATACAGAACAGTGTGACTGCACACTACAGCTATTTTATAACAATGTGGTCGGTGCCCCAGGGTGTCCGCTTGTAGAAAATAGTTATGTTTGCAAAGGGAATTAACAAGTAATTTGGTCATATAACTTGGGCTTTGGCAAACAGTACAGGATGACGGAGCTCTTTTTGTTAGTATACAGCAGAAACAAGCCAAATAAGAATCCTCACAAAGCTTTTGATTGAGAAGAAAGAGAATCTGGGAAAGGAAATTCATCATAGAAGATGAGCTGGAGGGAAGAAAATTTGACAGAAAATTTGGCTGATGGGTTAACAAAGAAAAGGGGTTGGCTTTTATTGGGTGGCTGGAGTCTTGCTCATGATCTCAGCTCTGGCTTGGTAAAGTGACTCCAGAGAAGTCCTAGGGAGTGAGGAGGCAACCCGGTTTCTGTGAGATGGTTGCTCCTGCTTTGGGCTGGACAGGCAGCCGCAGTGTTGTGGATGCTCTTCTGGAACCCAGGTAACTGCAGTTAGGGCAATGCCTGGAGAGTTCTAGGTGCCCCTCCACGGGGTCTGGAACAGGGCGTTGTGATGTGTCTGCAAATCTTGAAAATACCGTAGTTACCCCTATCTTCATGCCCTCAATCTTGGAAGGAGGCATCTAGGTTAATTTAGGGGTAATAAAGTTCTGGTGTGCTGGCTCATGCCTGTGATCCCAATACTTGGGACGCTGAGGCTAGAGGACTGCTGTGAGTTCAAGGCCAGCCTGAATTACATAGTGAGCCCCTGTCTCAAAAACAAAAACAATGTAGCGATGCTAGGGAAGTATTCGTGCTCCAAAAGTTCGTAAATGTTACAAGCTAGGGTTTTGCTTTTCTCTGATGTTTACCAGCACATTATTGGTTTGACTAGATTAATTTGCTGAGTTTCAGGTTAATTGATGAGAAAATTAGAAAGCAGCCAATACTGAGAGATGAAAAACTTGATCTGAGGAACGGACTGTGAAATCGCCTCTTAGCAGGTCTTCCTGTCTTCAGTTTTACCCTGTATTCCACCACAAACCCATTCCACGTACAGGCCACAGAATGAGCCTAGCAGAATTCAGCTGGCCAAGTTTCTCCTATACATCATTGAGCTCCTGTGCCCTCAGAGCAGTTTAAGATCTTGCTTTAACTTCAAATAGAAGATCTTGGGAGAAGTACTGAAGTGGGTTCGTAAGCAATATAGAAATCCAAGCAGCCAGATTGTTAAACTTGGAATTTTATTAGCTGAGCTCAGGACAACTCGCATATAGACCAGTTTCAGAGTCCCATCAACTGGAAAGTTACAAAGCTTTTAAAACAGAAAACCCCAAAAAGACATTCTGTTGGAAACAGTTTAGCTAGAATCTTACATTAATTTTTGGTGGACACCTGTATCCTCCCTCTTTGTTGAACATGTTAATTTTTCTCTTGTGGGTACAGTTCATTTTGCTTTTCTCAAGGGACTTGTACCTTGAGTAATTTTTCACTCTTTTGGGTCAAATTCGAAGTATAAGATGGTGTTAGTTATGCAAAGCTACAACGGTACAAACAAGAGTACATCAAAGAATATTGGGCCAGGAAAAGCAGACTTCCTGGAACAGCATAGAGACATAAGTTTTGCATGGCATTTTTCAAACTCCCTTAGTGATTCCTGACATTAACGATATCTCAAAGATTAATATATTTAAAAATTCAAATTCTGTTTTTAGGTTTTTTTTTTTTTAATTGGCACCAGGGATTGAACTCATGACTGCCTGTTTGCAAGGCAGGCGCTTATGCCGCTGAGCTAAATCCCCAGCCCCTAAAAATTCAAATTCAATAATTTTATTCTGTCACAGTATCCCTATATTATAACTAAATTAGGCACATTTCTTATTCAAAAAATTTCTGTTTCCTGTGTGCTGAAAAGTGGCATAGCACATCGGGCAGCTGTCCTCCAAGGAGGCCCCAGGGATCTTGCCTCTTGGTGTGCCTGCCCACTGTGGTGCTGCTCTCCATTAGGAAGTGCTCTTCTACGTTACTAGGTTTTTTCTTTATTTTGTAGAAATAATGATATATGATTTCAAGGAAGCCTGCTGCCGTGTTGTAAGAACATGCACAGCTGTATGATTAATAAAAGAGGATTTGAGGCCCCTGGCAACAACTAGTACCAATCCCCCAGCCATATAAGAGATCCATCTTATGTGGTACATAAGTAGTCTTTTCCAACACCAGTGAAACTTTTAGATGACTGTACCCCAGCCACCATCTCAACTGGACCCTGATAAAGGACCCGGTTTTGAAGAATACTTATTTCCATGTTATGAGTTATTTTGAGCTTTCTGTGTTCCATATCAGAAAAGATTTATTTCATGATCCCAGATTCCTTTGGAAACATTGTCAAATGTGATGAAACCTAGCCTGAACAAAGTGGGCAGAGGGAGGTCCTAGACTAGGAGTAAAGTGCTATTGGTAGGTGTAAGTGACTGCCCTTATTATCAAGCAATACACTGAACACAGACCCAACATGGAGATTAGAACAGGAGTTAAATGATAGGATTATTTCCAAAAGATGAGAAGTATAAAACAAAAGAGGCCTTTATTCTGAGAACACGGAGAGAGAGAACCAGCACCCCTGACCGCTGGAGTCTGGCTTTCTCTCTGGCAGACACGTGGCACTGGGGTGTGTAAGTAGCCTCGGTTTGGGGTAGAACCTAAGGGGGCATGAGGGATGCACGGGTAGCCCATTGGTCCTAGGTTTGGCGCCATAGGTAAGTTCCCAGGGGCGGGAAGATGACATCACAGGTAAATTCCTAGGGGCGGGGAGATAGGAGCTTCCTGGTTCCCGTTGAGGCTTTTCTGGCTACAGAGTCCTGTCTGGGCCAAAACCCTTTCATTAAATACAGTTGCAGTCAAATTAATCTGAGAAGTTAAATACACTTACAGTCAGATTAATGTAATGTACATAGTGGTTATGTTGTCAAATTGAAAGAGTTTTGCCCTAGATTAAATTACTGTATGGTTATGGCAGTGGTCTAATGAGGCAGAAGGCCAAAGCGGAAACACTTACCACTTCCTGCTTCTTCCTCAGCCTGAATTGCAACTCCCCTCCCTGTCTGCGCACGAAAAAACTCCAATCAGCTCCTGGTGTCATCAATGCCCGCCCTAAGCACCACCCCTGCTCAAAGGTTACATATGGCCCATATCCCTCATACTCCGGTGGAGGAGACAGCGCAGCTGCCATGGGTTGTGTGCTCCTTTCCACATCCCCATCTCATCTCAATAAACCTGTTCTTTTTGCTTCTCTATTGTGCCAGAAAACTCTTAACACAAATGGTTATCAGAAGTGAGTAAACCATTGCTGTTTTAAAAATACTTCGTTTATTTTGTATGTAACTAACTGACTGTATCTGGGGTCAGCCCTTTCAGATAGATAGTCCGTGGTAGTTTCCAAGATGGAAGAGGAAGTAGGTGGTCTTAAGGCTCATTGATTTCCTTCTAGTAAAACAAATAACAAGAGAACAGCCTGTGGCAGTGTTGTGAGATAAGTGTTGGGAGAAACAAGCATAATTGTACTGACCTTTTAGTACAGGAAACAGTCTGATTGTTTTCCTAATACTTGGCCAGATCAGTTGACTTCAGACTTCCAGGGGACCACTGAACAACTTGATTGCATAGTAAAAGACATTCATGAGAGAAAACCTGATCGGGTAGAGAGATGGCTCTCTCTCCTCTAATGTTCTTAGGTATCTCTCTCTTTCATAGCTTGCTAGGATTAAGGTTGAGAAAATCATAAATGCTACAGTGGAGTAAGGAAAGACTTAAACTTTCAACCAAGTGGAACCACGATGCCAAAGGACTTAGGTAGCTTTAACAGAGAACAGAACAGGAATTAAGGAAACCCTAACACATTGTGAGAAATAAAAATTATCTCCACTTCAGCTCAGAAGTGGAATTCTGAGCCTTTAAAAATGATAGAAGGAATGAACACAAGTTTATTCTGAAAACAAAAGTATGTGAGTGTTAAGGAAATAAAGGAATTAATTTAAAGATGTTTCAAAGAGAAAATGGCAAATAAAAACATTGTCTTACCCTTATTGCATAAAAACCTTACCATTATCAGTCTCATTTCAACTCACTGTCAGCCTGTTTTTTTCTATGTTTACTCGCATTTGTTTTTGTTTTCCATAGATTCCTCTGAGATCTGTTTTAGAAGTAAAGGGACACGGATTGCCCAAAGAAATGCACATTTCCCCAGTGGAACAGACGGGAATCACAGCAAGGACAAACAGAATTTCCCCCCACCCCAAGACACACATACATACTTCCACATCTCCTGCTGGGTCTGTCTTTTGTAAGAGATTGATTATGACATGAGGGTAGGGCCAGTGTTGTAGTCAGAGGTTGCAAGGAAGACAATTACATACAGGATACAGAATTTATTATTTTATGATGGTCACCCAGAGTTAAATATAAGAAAGTGCAAGAAATCTGTCAACAACACTAAAGACCTAGAAAATCCAACCAAGGGCCTGGATCCCACAGCAATGTCCTGCATGAGTCCAGCTGAAAACCCAGAGCGCATGACAGTGCCTTCCACAAGTCCAATTGGAGGTCTAGAGCCCACGACAAGCATTCATGTCAGTCTGTTTTTACAGCTCTGTGCTGGGAAGGCCCAAAGGTCAGTGGCATTGGAAGCTAGAAAATCTATGCCCGTGAGGTGAAGGATCTGTGCTACCAGGATGAAGGAGCTGTGCCAGTAGGTTGAGGGTTCTTCACTAGGGCCAAGAAGTGACACTCAAAATAAGGACCAGGGCTGACCTGAAAAGTACCACAGCCATCCTCAGCGACAGTGAGGTCCTGAGCTGCTCTGATGATGAAAACAGTCAAGTACATGTCAGAACGGAGCGTGACAAGTTTCTCCTGGAGGTTAAACTACACACATCTTCCCCATGAGAGCCCAGATGCAATGCTTCATGTAAGGACTAGAGCTCCCCCAAAGTGAACTGCAGCCATTCTCAGTGACAAGGTCTTGAGCTTCTCTGATAATAACAGCTGAGTTCATATCAGGTAAGCAAGCATGACAAGCCCCTCCAGGGGAACCAATGGCTCCAAACAATGACACTTAGGAGGACCCATAATGCCTCACTGTACCTCTCCACGTCTCATTTTATGTTTCCCCAGGTGGGCCATCTACATGCAGTACCATGCTGATTTAATTCAGCTGGTGTTAAGTTTTTAATCCATAACAGCCAGCTTCAATCACAGAGGACCCTGCACTCAAAAGGGCCCTGCCCTTGGTTTTATATTCTGGGCCCTGTGTTTGCATTTTGCACCAGCCCACATAACACAAGAGAGCACTGTGTGGAAGGTACAGAGGCAGGCAGACTTGGGATTCTGTCTGGACCTCACATTTAGTTGCTGTTCCCTGGGAAGTTTACTTACCCCCTGGGCCTTAGACTTCCATCTGCAATAAAGTCAATCCCGTCCGTCTTCTAGGGTTATTATGAGGACTGGGCAGTGCTGTGAGCAAAGGTAGGGAAAGTGCTTATTATTGTATTCCTGGCTTTACTACAATTATTCATAAAACCAGAGCCTGTATATTGAACCCCAATTGTTAGTGCTGGTCATAAAAATTAGTACCCTTAGAAAAACAGATCTCTATTTTATATTTTACAGCAATCTGTGGGCTTACACGATCACTGCTGTCACTTTGGCAGGGATCTTCATGGCTTCTAATTCAGCTGCAGCCACAGCAGAGACAGAAACTTAACAGTTCTCCTCGGCATTTGCTATTTCTTACAACACAATTATGTTTATGTTATTTCATTCCAGAAATGTAGTAGTCAGTGACTTTCCCTGATTCTTCAAGGATTTAGGAAGGTTTAAAGACATCTTATTTAATGTACATTGCGATTTGTTAACACAGAACTCAAGGGCATTATCATTTATGACTCAAGGAATCTTATCAAATATTTTCCCTGTGAGGCTTATCAGACGTCTACTTGAGAACATTAGGCAAACTGTACTCGAAGGCCATTTTAAACAGCAAAATCACCACTAAAACACGAACAGCATGGCACTAGATGATATACTCTAAAAAGGACACTGGTTTTCAATACGTGAGTGGAAACAAAAAGGCAGAGTGGTGCCTTGTTAGATTACTATGGGAAACATGCATATCGAACCATTCCTGTGCTTATCTGACAGTGCTCGTAATCCATAGGGAATAGAGACTCTGGGGCTACAGACATTTTAGTGAGTAAACAAATTTGCAAATATAGAATCCAAGAATAATGAGGGTCAAATTTTATGCAGAAGAGATAGTGAGTCTACTATCTAGTAGACTTAGAGAAAAAAGTGAATGCAAGAGTTGGGTAAATTATGTGCACAGAGTAAGACCTTAGATTGCGGATAATTTATGCCACCAGTGTTTCGCAAGATGTTTTGCAAACATTTCTGATACATTTTAACTTGATAAACAAGTGATACGTTGTTACCTGAGTATGTAACAACCTCACATGATTACAACTAAATTGGTGCTGCTTCTTTGTCTCACTGCAGGACTGCGGATGAGCCATTCCTAATGGCAAGAAGTTATGGAGGAGATCTCATCTGCAGAGGATGAGGAGAAAAAGAGAGAAATCCCTCACTCCAAATGCGACTAGGGAGATGCATCAAATTTGGGAAATAGTAGAAAAGCACTACCGGAATAAGGCTATAGCAGTGCAAGCAATGAATCTGTTTAACAACAATGCAATGTCACATTTCCACGAAATCCTCAAAAGGAGTCAAGGGCAAATGTCACCGGATGGGTTTCCTGTTAAAGCACAAAAAGAAAACATCTCACTTTGCGAAGAGTACTGCTTCCGTTAGTGACAGTGAAAGTTGTCCTATACAATAACCCTTCTCTCTCATCTCCCTCATGCCAGCCATAAAGGTTTTCAAAGGTAAGTGCAAGTTAATTTGTCTTGCTTTATAGTTTTTATTTTCTCTATTATTTTGTATTGTATTACAATATTGTAATTTTTATATGAATATTTTTAAGTTGTGAAACAAATCATTTCTTATGGGAAAATTCGCTTTGATATATTGTTGCTTTGATTATAACCATGTTTCTGGAACAAATGTTTGCAAAATCAAGATTTTACTGTAAATATGACCTCAGTCTGTATCTTTAATATCATTTCCAAGTAGGATACAACAGAGCATATGGAAGGGGAGAATTGAATCTCAAACTCCAGGTCTTTGTCTTACTAGCTGACTAACTTTAGGTAGATGTCCAAATCAATTTCTTGTGCCTATTTCTGTTTCCTCTTCTGTAACTTGAGACCAACAACATGCATCTTACTATAACATACATTGATGAGTGTGGTTGTGAAGATGCAGTGGATTTTTCTTTAAGTTCTCAGCTACTCTTACCAAATGTTGAGGCCAGGACTGAAGAAAGTGAGGCAAAGGTCAGTTGTGCATGAGAATTTTCCTTTGCAGATGGATTGTTTTCCTAGGGAAAACATGCCAAATCTATGCTCATACTGGGTGTGGATAGTGAGTATGTTTTCATTCAGAATGCTTTACGATTCCAAGGGATCGCTGTAATTTTAGGTATTTGTTTTCTGGTTAAACTGAAACTGGTTAAACTTATTTGCCTTCTGATTCAACAGCCTAGGTAGATGGTCACTGAAAAATAGGCTTTAATGGGATCAACAGGAGTGAGAGTAGGCAGAGGAGAAATTACAGTGACCCAGCCAGCCCAGAGCCACGACTGTTCTTCCATCCTGTTGGGGTAAATATGCAGCCTTAACTTTTTATTGCTAGGGTAGAAGTATGGAAGGGGCACATAGGAACTGGCAGGACCATCCAGGGTGCATCAGATATCAGTCGTGTCCTCAGACAGGAGATGTGTGCCTGAGCTGGCAGTGATCCGCTCTGCATCTGACCCCTTCTCCTAGGAATCTGGTTTATGCGCCATTTACATGCTCTTCCGTAGAACACAGTGAATCTGTAAAACTGTTTGGCAGTTAGTACTCAAGTGATCACACCATCTAGAGGTGTTTTACAGTTTAATATGTCTCTCATAAAGGTTGGAAACTCTTTAGGTTCCCTAAAATGAATCTTCAGTGGTGGAATTTCATACATCGAGGCCAATAGATTTCTTTAAAAAGAAAATTTATAGATCGCTTTATGACACACTCAGTTTTGCAAAATACTGTACTATTACATATAGCCAAACATCTGTGTCCTATCCTTGCACTGAGGGGCATGTGAAAGCCACCACCATTTTAAAGTGAAAGACTGCATACTTGAAGTCCTTTTAATTTCCACATTCAGCTGATACACCTGGATATTGCTTTATTTTTGTAGAACAGTTATGACATCTAGTGGTTAACCCAAGTAATTCCAAGAACTGCTTTGATATGCTATTTTTCTCAACTACTTATATTTAAGTATGAGAATTTGCTATTGAAATATCACCTTTAAAATATCCTTACACATATCTCTTTACATAATTAATAATATACAATAAAGATTAAGACTTAGGGGCTGGGGATTTAGCTCAGCGGCATAAGTGCCTTCCTTGCAAGGGTGCGGTCGTGAGTTCGATCCCTGGTACCAAAAAAACGAAAACAACAACAACAAAAAAAAGACTAACACTTAGAATTTTTAAGTGAAAGGTTATGTACATTTAAAATGCTGTCATTGTCAATTTGTCCTTTACAGGAGGTTTGTCTACTTTCTCTTTTACTATAGTAGCTTGTTTTTAACTTTTGACATTTTGATTTTTCATGTAATGTATATAAAGGTTTTATTTTAAAATTTAAATTTCATAACATTTAAAATGCTATCTTCCCTCCTGGGGTATAAAGAATTGAAAATCAGATATGCTTATATATCATGTATTTTATGCAAAGTTTTGGGGTTTTTTTGTTTTGTATTTTACATTTAATCCTTTCATTTACCAAGTATTTCAGTCACATAGGAAATGTAGAGATTTAAATTTGTTTTTCCCTAACAATGTAAAGGAGATTGGTAAATTTAAATATATAGCTATTAAAATAGTTGAGGTAGACATCTATATATACTGATGAGAAAATATGTCAAAAATTTACACCAATAGAGAAGAACAATTTTGATAATATAATTCTATTTATGTAGAAAACTATTTCCATGCAAAGGCACAGAAAATGTCTGAAAGGACACACACACACACATACACTCTGGTCACATATATGTTAATAGGAGATTTTTCTAAGGACTACATATTGATTCTTGACAATGAAAAGCAGATTTTAATGCTTATTTTTATATAGTCTTTTAGTGTTTGATTGTATTAACCTGAGCATACATTACTTATATTTGAAAATTATTTTGTAAAGAATGTTTAGTAACATGGGATGATGCTATGGTTTACATCTGAAACGTCCCCTAAAGGCACAAAGTACACAAAGTTAACCAAAAATCTGAATTTTATATATTAATGTATAGACATTAAGATAGTAGTTATATTTAACATTTTTATACTTTTAAAAAAAATTTTTGGTACCAGGGATTGAACTCATGACCAAGGCAGGTACTTATGCCGCTGAGCTAAATCCCCGGCCATATTTAACATTTTTAAATGCAAATTTTTGTCTTTAAATAAAATTCTAAGTTTATTATTTACATAAATATAATCTACCATTGCAAAACTTGTTTTGTATACTCAACATTGTTTTGGTATTTACGTTGCTATTTAAGGCTTAGTTCCTGCTGTGCTAGGGCTGTGGAACCCTTGAAGGGGCGGCTGATGGCAGGCCTCATGAGCAGATCGGGGATCTCAGCTCCCTTTTCTCTCCTTCACTCCCGTATGCAGCAAGAGCTTCCATAAGCACATGCTTTTGTCTCAAAACAACAGGCAAGCTAGGGACTAAAAGCTCCAAAACTATGAGCTGAAAAACTCTTCCTCTTTTTTAGTTCACTGTTTTTCCCAAAAAATATTACTTTGGTTCACAAGAAAGTGTTTGATTTTCATGAATTTTTACCTGGAAATTAGTGAAAACTGTGTACACAGGATGCTATAACATTTCCACAGAAGTAAACAGCCTTACATTTTTATTACTTCATTTACTTCATTTACTCATTTTTATTACTTCATTTACTTCATTTACTCATTTAACCTGTGCAAAAGAGAAGCAGTGAATACTCATGTTTCATAAATGAAAAAACTGGGGACAATAGGGTGTAACTTATGCAAGGTCACCAGGTAGTTGACAAAACTAGCATCTAAATTCACCTCCTTTTCCCACAGTGCAGAATCACTGTAACCATCTCTGTTGTTATAAATGCTTAAAGGATGAATTTCTCTATAAGGGAAAATGTAAAAGGCTGTTTGTCTAAACATTATCACTTCCAGACTTGTAGGTTACAAGTTGCTTCATGCATTACTTTATCTTCTGGCTAAATTGTTGATGAAATTCGCTAAAACAATAAAACCATGTGTACATTCAGACCTTCATTCTCAGATTTTCCAACTGGAATAAGAGTCCACTAATGAGAATTTCTCTCCCACTCCTGATAATTGCACTAGTACTTTAGACACTTTATTGTGAAATAAATAAAACTATAGAGGATAATAAAGATAATGATGTTGGCTATCCAGCTATCATGCAGCTACATATTTTGTCATATATTTGCTTTACAATTTTTAAACAATAAAGTTCCTGCACGTGTTTGTCCAATCCCATTCTTTTCTTGTACAACTCAATCTGAATTTTATATATTAATTTATACATAGTAATACAGTACTGTTGCATTTAACATTTTAATTTTATTTTTTAAATTTATTTTTTGCACTTAACATTTTTAAATGAAGATTTTTTATATTTAAATAAAATGAGCTAACTTTATCTTTATATATATCTACCATTCCACATTCATGTTTGGGTGTTTATCTTGCTATTTAGATCTAGCAATTGTACACCTGCAGCTTTTGTGATATTATGAGTGAGGTCTTTGTTTCAAGTACAATTTCTAATTGGTTAGATTCCTACTGCTACTTTCTAGAATAAGACGCTCACAGGATATCTGATTTCTAAACTAAATCACTTCTAGTATCAACAAACACATGTTCACGCATCACAGATACTCTCTTAGTCCTTATCCGGAGTGTTTTCCAAGAGGTACAGGTGAAGCTATGTTCTTTTCTTACTCTGTCACCCAGAGAGCTTATTTCCCAGGGATTTCTTAATGTGTTTTCAAATGGAGAACTATAAACCCAAGCAAAAACTGCAACTCTCCAGAAAGACTCTTGGACTGGATATCAAGAGATTTGGGATCTCATGTTGGTTTGACCTTGATGGCAGTCACGTAGACTTGTGGATCTCCTCATGTGTAGGAAAACTGGAGATGGAGAATTGTAAGGATTTCTAAACTAAGAACCTTTCCACTAGGTGAATTGTAGCAGAGATACCTGTGGAATTATAGTGTGCGACAGGCAAGTTTTTCTAGCTGATGCCTTTCTGGGGATCCTTTACATCATCAGATGCTTGTTTATGTGTTAGTTCTCTCTCTCTCTCTCTCTCTCTCTCTCTCTCTCTCTCTCTCTCTCTCTCTCTCTCTTTTTTAAACCGGTATCAGGGATTGAACTCATGACCATGTACTTGCAAGGCAGGCATTTATGCCGCTGAGCTAAATCCCAGCCCTATTTGATAGTTCTCTTGTCTAATGTTTAAATTCTTAAGTGGTAAATAAGCAGTTTTATACATTCATGGTTGAAACTTTCTTATGAAACCATATCCAATAAAAGCATTCAAAAGACAGCATATCCAAACTCATAAAATGCTATTCTTCAGATTTGTACATTTCATTATATGTAAATTTTACGTGAAAATACAGGGGGCATAGCTCAGCAGCACAAGTGCCTGCCTGGCAAGCACAGGGTTATGAGTTCAATCCCTGGGATTAAAAAAAAAAAAAAAAGAAAAGAAAAGAAAAAAGAAAACACTATAGAGACAAATAAACATAAAGAATATCTGTGACTTCATATAACTGAGATTTTAGGAGAAATAAAATTTGGATTTAAGCTTCTAATCAGATTTCTGCATAGAGTAAAACAAAGGTCTTCTTTTTTGTTAATAATTCAAGCAAGATAAGAGCTGTGAGTTCAACATGATCTGCTCCTATTGAGATAAGTAGAGTCACGTAATGAAAATGAAGGTTAAAGGTGCATGATATTTGTGACATTTATTCTGACCACCTGTCAGTGCTAGAGAAAAAGATCAGTACTTTTAATAACACCAGAGTCTCCTGGGTGAGCACTGTCTGGTTTCTATGAGAACTGGAAACCCGAGCTTAGACCGTATTCATTCTTTCTCACTGTTTTGAACTGACATTATAAAAAGACATTTTCCAAAACTACTCAATAGAAAAATTACCAAACAAATAGGTGTTGATTAGGGTTCTTTGTATGCAAACAAAAGCAACTAATTTATGCAAAATAAAAAATCACTGGAAATATTCTTGGTAACTCAGGGAATCAAAGGAAATGTTGAGCAATTATACCACAAGCAGGAAAGCTCTGGCATGTCAGCTCTAACTATTTTTCACTCTGCTCAAGATCCAGAATCTTGGAAAACAGACTGATTTGCCTGACTCATGCCATGTGGCCCCTCCTTGATTTGTGTGTTGTTGGCTAACAGAGGAAAACAGGGAGGAAACTTTCATCATCATGTACTTCCAGGATTGCGCATGACAGTGAAGGGAAGATTTCCAAGAGAAATCAGAACTCTCTTACTGAAGAGGAGGGAATATCTGCATAAATGAGTCAGGAGGGCACAGGAGACATTCATTTACCCCTCCTGTCATGATTCCTCGTGAGGCCACATATACCAGGCTCCTTGCAGAGTCTCCTAGCATAAGCACCAGAAAGGTCTGGGATTTTGAGAGGATGACTCCAAAAACAGCAACCCCAGATTTGGGAAATGGAGCTATGATCTAGTCTTCGGGAGGCACCAAGCTGCCAGTATGGACTTACATCCTCTCAAGTAGCTTTATTTGAAAACTCTTGAGCGTGCTCAGAGCACACTCATGGGCAGGCTGACCTAGAAAGATTCCAGGAGAGCGTAAACACGTCCAAGAGGACTCCCGCCCTGCCTCCCCCCATCTTGTTACAGTAGGTAGTTCCCCTTCAAGATCTCTGTTCATGTCCCACTTGCACTCAGCTTAAAAATACAACTTCAAAATGTTTCTCCCATCGTCCTCGTTTTGCTCCTCTGCTACTGCCATTGCCCTCGCCTGAGAAGCAAATACTGCAAATGTGCAGACTCTAGGGTGGACTATGGGTCCGAGTCTTGGCTCTGTTCCTCTTTGCTAGATGGATGTCCCTGTCCTCTGTCCCTATCTGAGCTACTATGAGTGCTGCCCTTTCACCACTTACAGTAAACTCCCCCTCCACTCTGCCTTCTCACCTGTGGCTTCTTACCTATCCTCTTTGTGATAATAGCCATTCTAACTGGTGCAGGGGGGCTCATTTTTGTTTTTGAAAAAGGGTCACAGGGCTGGGAATTTAGCTCAGCACTGTAAGCACCTGCTTGGCGAGTACGGTATCCTGTGTACGATTACTGTACAAAAAAAAAAAAAAAGAAAAGAAAAGAAAACAGAAGGTTACACTCTATAGTTCAGACCAGCCTAAAATTTGCTAGGTAGCTCAGGCTGCTCTTGAGCTCACTCTCCTCCCACCTTTACCTCAGTGCTGGTCATTATGGTTTTAATCTGCAGTTCTTTGAGGATTAGTAATACTATTTTTTTCACATGCCTATTGGTCATTTATATGTCTTCTTTGGAGAAATGTCTATTCAGATCTTCAACCCATTTTTATTTGGAATACTTTTTAACTATTATCTGAATTTTTAATATATTTTGGATATTAATATCTTATCAGATAAATGATTTGCAAATATTTTAACCCACTTTGTATTTTCCACATGAATGTACCTTTTGCTGTACAGTTTGATCCATTCTCATTTGTCTATTTTTGATCTGGTTGCTTGTGCTTTTGGGATCTTATTCAAAATATCATTGCCCAGAGCAGTGTCCTGGAAAGTTCTCTGCATGTTTTCTTCCTATAACTGTAGTTTTATAGTTTCAGATTTTACCTTTAAGTTTTAATCCGTATGTATATGTGATGTGAGATAAAGATGTAATTTCATTTTAATCTGTATGCCATCTCATTTTTCCAGCACCAGTAATTGAAGAAACTGTCCTTTCTCTATTGTGTGTTCTGTGCATCTTTGTGAAGAATCATTGACTGGTCCCTGGACATATTTTTAGGCTATTATATTCTTTTTTTATTCATTTTATTTCAAAGAAAAAAATACAACAAAATATCAAAACACAATAATCAGAGGACAACAATGGTATATACATTGTACATAGGCTATTATATTCAATTGGTCTATCTATCTTTTTTCTACCAATACTAATGCTGTTTTAATTACTGTAGTTTTATAGCATATTTGGAGGTCAAGTAGTGGCTAACTCTAGCTTTGTTCTTTTTGTTTAATATTGCTTTGGCTTTTGGGGACTTTTGTAGTTCCATACAAGTTCTAGATTTTTGTTTGCTTGTTTGTTTTTTAGTTCTGAGAATTTTGAAAGAGACTTAATTGAATCTTTTTGGTAGTAGGGGTATTTTAACAGTATTCTTCTAATTTAAAAACATAGGATATCTTTCTATTTATTTGTGTCGTTTCAATTTCTTTCTTCAATATCTATAGTTTTCAGCACATGTCTTTTTATATGGTGCTGGGGATGAACCAGAGCCTTGTATATATCAGGTAAGTGCTCTACCTGTGAGCCACACCCTGGCCTTGTAACTTGATTCTTAAGTCCTTTCTTTTCCTTTCTCTGTCTCCTTCTCTGTCTCTTTCTCTCTTTCTTCCTTCCTTTGTTCCTTCATTCGTTCTTTCCTTCCTTGTGCACCTATTGTGAATGGGATTGTTTTCTCCATTTATTTTTTTCAGCTTGTTCATTGTTGGTGTGTGAAATGCTAATGATTTTTATGTGTTGGTTTGTAGCCTATCACTTCGCTGAATTTGATTATTGGTTTTAACAGTTTTTTGGTGAGTTTTTTAGGTTTTTATATGTAAGATAGTGGTTTGGGAAAATAGTGATAATTTGACTTTCTTTTTCCAGTTTGGTTGCTCTTTAATTTTTTTCCTCTTACCTGATAGCTCTGACTATAACATTCAGTACTAGGTTGAATAAAAATATCTTTGCTTCTTGTAGATCTCAGAAGATTTTCAGCTTTACTCAGTGAATATGATATTAGTTGTGAGCTCATGATATTGAAATTGTTTCTAAGCTTAGTTTTCTCACGGTTTTTATCATTAAGGGATACAATTTTATCAGATACTTTTTCAACACTGTTGAGATAATCATATGCCTTTTGTCCTTCATTCTAGTAATAGGATATATTACATTTACTGATTTGCATGTGTTGAAACTCTCTGGTAAATGGACCTTTTTCACATTTTATTTTTTATTTTTCTAATTTTTAAATTGGTACATTTTAGATACACATAATGATAATATTGATTATAGGGAATCTGGGCCTGTACATGATGTATCTTTCTTCTCTTTCCCCATTCCTCTCCCCTCCCTCGGACCTCTCTTCCCCTCCTATTTACAGAAACATTGCTTCCATTTATTTCTTTCTGCTCTCTTTTTTCTTGTCTCTTCTTTCCTCTCCACCTCCCCTTCCCTTGAACACCTTCTCATTTGAACATTTTCTTCCCATTTTCCAATATCTATTATATATATTATTTACATTTTCAGTCTTTGAACTGTTTTCAAGATTTAGCTTACAAATTGTGCTACTGTAAATATGGGTGTGCATATATTGCTATGGTGCTGTGCTTTTAATTCTTTTGGGATGATACCAAGCAGGGGAATGCCTGGGTCAAATGGAACCACTAGTTTTAGTATTATGAGGAATCTCTGCACTGATTTCCATAGTGGTTACAACAGTTTACATTCTCACTAATGGTGGAGAAGGATTCCTTTTTCTCCACTGGTTCAGCAGCATTTGCTGTTGGTTGATTTCTTGATAATAGCCATTCCAGGACTGAGTTTGGGTGTATTGCTTCCCTGTCCATTTCAATAAAGAGTTTGAGAAGTAACAACATTAGATCTCCTCTAAATTTCTTTCTTTTTTTCTTTCTTTTTTTTTTTTTTTTTTTTTTTTTTTTTGTCTTTTTTGTTTTTATCGGTACCAGGGATCGAACTCATGACTGCCTGCTTGCAAGGCAAGCACTTATGCCGCTGAGCTAAATCCCTAACCCCACCTCTAAATTTCTAATAAAGTTCAGCAATGAATCTGTCAGACCCTGGGCTTTTCATTGTTACTAGGTTTTTAATTACATCTTCAATTTCATTGATATTTAAAATTTTTATATCTTCTTGCTTCAGGATTGGTAATTTATAGGTATCTAAGAATCTGTTCATTTCTCTTGTTTTTCAACTTATCAGAATACAGGCTCTTGAAGTAGGTATTGATAACCTGACTTTCTGCAGGATATGTTGTGATTTCACTCTTTTAATTCATAATTCTTTGGATTTGAGTCTTTACTTTTTTGATAAGGTTAGCTAAGAGCTTGTCAATTTCATTTATTCTTCCAAAGAACCAACTCCAATTCATTGATTCTTCATATTGTTTCTGCTTTGATCTTTGTAATATCCTCCCTCATACAAGCTTTAGGCTCCTCTTTTTCTAGAAGCTTGAGGTTCATCATTAATTTGTTCATTTGAGATCACTCTTTTTCTGATATGGGAATTCACTGCTATAAATGTTTTCCATAGGACTGCTTTCATTGCATCACATAAGTTCCTGTATGTTATATTGGTATTGTCATTTAATTATAGAAACTATCTAATGTCTTCTTTAATTTCATCTGTGACCTATTGGTTGTTCAGGAGAGAGTAATTTAATTTATTTTACTTTATTTTTTTTATTTAAGGAGAAAAAGGAAAAAAAAAACAAAAAGGGTACAAGTTATACAGAATTTCAGAAAATATAACAATAGGAAATCACTAGTTAATAGATTACATATTGTTATCCTAGAAATAGTTGTTCAAGTTACAAAATTAAAGCATATAAAGTGAACTTTCAAACAATGAGACTGCAAACAGTTTTGTTCAATGATCCAACAAAACTCAGTAATATGGTTATCTATCTTATACACTTAAATATATATGCAGTTATATCCTTTAGAACGCTTTCTTTTACTTTCTTTTGTACAATGACAATTACACATTTTGGGTTTTATTACTCCCACAGTTCTTATTACTTTTTTTGAAGAGAGTAAAACCAAATGTGATAGAACAGAGTCAGTCAAATCAAAAGATGGACATAATAGATAATGTAAAAACAAAATACTAGGTGATCAACAATGGTTACCATACTGCCTCTTGCTATCTTAAAAAGAATTGCCTATATCATCAGTTATAATAAAACTGAACAACACAGTAAAGAATAAAACCAAAACATTGGAGACATTACAGGACTTTAAAAGAAGATAATAGTCAACTGGAATGGGCGTCATAATGAATCTTATTATCTTTACAGTTGTTGCCTATACTTTTGAACTTGGTAATATCAAACAAAGCAGAATAGAGAAAATCAGTCAAAGCAAGATGGTTAGGGCTATACAGGGTTTCAAATCAAGTTAATAGCAAATCATAGTGGGTTACTATAATGTATCCTGCCATTTTTTTATTTTTCCCTTAATTAAAAAGATAAAAATTAAAAAATTTTAAAAAAGGAGACTGAGATAAAAGAGGGCATAACAACAAAACAGCACAGGTCAAAGCATAACCATTTAAGCAAAATAGTGTTTCACCACAAGATATCCTGACATAAAAGTAGTTACCATAGTGTCTCTTTTCTTGAAATCTTTGAGTATAACTTCGTATACTGTAGCACCAAACATATCAAGACAATGTAAAACCATTCAAAAGAATGACAGTATTGCAGGGTATTTAGAACCAACTATCAGAAAATGAACAGTGGTTTCTGTATTATCTCCTTGTCTACAAACTTTTTGCTTATATTATCACATATAATAAAATACAGTAAGATACAACCTGTTAAGACTAATGGAGACAGAAAAATACAAGCTTGATGCAACTTCAAAGCAAGATGATACTAAATCAGCACTAGCTATTATGATGTCTTGTTTTTTCCAAAATAGCTGTTCCTACCATCCAATCTTCTCTGCCTCATTTCTGTTGAGCTCTTTTTCTGTTGTTTGTTGTCAGTTTGTCTTCTTTATTTCACTTTCTGCTCCATTCATTGTGGCCTCTCTGCCACTGTTTCTGACATCTTGGAGTTTTCCTTTTTTAGAATGTCCTGCAGTATTCTCTGTAGAGTTGAATTGGTGGTTGCAAATTCCCCTAGTTCCTCTTTATCCTGGAAGCACGTTATTTTTCCATCAATTTCTAGGGACAGTTGTGCAGGCTATATCAACCTTGACTGACGGTTGTTATCTTTCAAAGCTTGAATTATTTCCCCCCATGGTCTTCATGATTTGATGATTTGTGGTGAGAAGTCTGCTGTAATTCTGAGCGGTGTTCCCTTGTAAGTGATCTGTTTTTTGTCTCTGACAGCTTTTAGTATTCTGTTCTTATATTGGATTTCTGGAATTTTGATTATTATATGCCTGGGTGTAGCTCTGTTTGGGTTGTAGGTGGCTGGGGTCCTGTATGCCTCATACATCTGAGTATCTTTATCTTTTGCTAAATTAGGGAAATTCTCTTGGATTATTTCTGTGAATAGCTTTTATAGTCCATTTGTTTGTGTCCCTACTTCTTCTTTTATGTTCTTAATTCTTAAGTTATAGATCCTCTTATCATCTTCTAGCCTTTGTATTATTGCTGTTTTGTTATTTTTAAGAAGTTTTTCATTTCATGCTCCCATATTACAAATCTGCCCTCCAGTTCAGATAATCTATCCTTAGTTTCTTTCAAGCTGTTATGCCAGCTTTCACTAGAGTTTTTAGTTTCCTGGTAATCTCTTTGAACTTGCTTCGCATATTCTATGTTTTCTCTATTTTCTCCATCAAACAATTCTCCCCTTTTTTTCTGTTCTTCCATTCCACCATCTGTTTTTTCTTGGGCGGTGCCTAGCATTTCTCTAACTATTCTACTTATATCTTGCTTTATTTCATTAAATACTTCATTTTTAAACTGGTCTATGAGGCTCTGGAGATATCACTTTATGCCTATTGGTGCCATGTCTGATGTTGCATGTTTTCTGCTTCCTTTGCGTTTCCCTTTCCTGTGTTCTCAGGATTGGGGACTGAGGACCCTTTCTTGTTGCTTCCTCTTCCCATACTTTTTGTTCCTTCCATACAAGCGAATGTGGGAGGCCCAATTTTTTTCTCTTTTTCAGTTACAGTTTGTTTGAGTTGCACCGGCTAGATGTTCCCGCCCACTGCAGTGTACTAGGGAGACACAGACCTGGGCAGCCTCTGCTTGGCCCTCCCCTCCAGGTCAGCCTACTGAAGGCTTCACTGCTAGGGTGCACTCCAGGCACTGGGACCTGGTTTGGCTCCAGGCACTGGGACTTGGTTTGGGCAAGCCTACTGGGTCTTAATCAGCGGCATCACACAGGCCAGGCACTCCCCACCAATCCCGCTTGAGAGGGAAATATACGACTAATGTCACTGCAGCGCCCTGTTCTGGCAAGTCTTCCTGGTCCCAGTATGTCCTTTGCTGGAGCCTCCTACTCTATGAAAGGGTCCCTGTTCCACTCACTCACCGCAAGTCGATGTAGGGCTCCCTGCTAGTCCTGCTCTCAACTCTGTTTGCAGATTCCTGCTCTCAGAGCTTTCACGCATCTCTGTCCCTGCCCTCCAAATTTGGACCCAACAGCGGCAGCAGGAAATTCTAATCGTGGCTTCCAGTGGCACGGTTCCAGCTTCTGCACTGAGATTTTATCTGTTCCTGTTATAGTACCAGGATTGGATTTCTAGTTGGTTTCTCTTAGCTTAGTTCATTCCTGGATCGGCAGGGTGTATCTCCCCTTTCTTAGGACTCCTCGTACTGCACCATTCCTTGATTTTACACAGGGTATCTCAGAGGGCCTCCATAGCTACTATCTATCCACCACGTTCTTTCAGAAGTCGGCAAGCTTACTTTTGGCCTACCAGGAAGAACAACTGATTAGAACAATTGTGTCATCTTGGCTAAAGTAGTACAAACAGCAATAGCTGTAGCATCAAACACAGTCTGGAAAATGACAGACTGTGGTACCTATTAACTTGCTACCTTTGACCATATGAACTAGATTTTGTGTTATAAAAGAAAACATAAAACAAACCAGAAAATTTTATACCTTAAATATGCCCTCAATATAGTATTTTTACTCTCAATGGAGAAAACTTAAAAGGTCCTTGGGGAAAAAAGTAGAGGAAGAGAAGAAGTGGACAGATTAGAAGTGAGGCTGGAGGACAAAGGAAGATTACACAAACTTTGGCAACTGGAGAATAAGGCAGGTGAGAAAGAGAGAAGGAAGAAATATCAAGAACAGAACAGTATTAAGAAAAAAATTAGTAACGATGTTTACACTTATAGAAAAACAAGAACTAACAATCAAAACAAAACAAATACAAAACCAAGAAAATACAAAAAGCAAGAAAAAGTCCACTTCAGGGCTTGTCTCTGATGTCACTGAGAGACACAATGGGTAGACATAGCACAGGCCCATGTTGATTAACCCAAGCAAGTCATCTGTAGATTTATGGTGAGTTAGTGGATAATCCCAGAAAGCCTCCCTTTTAGTTATACTGATGTTCAGGCTGACTTCTGGTTGTGAGGCTGAAACTTGAATTGTTCAGCCTGAAACAATCCATATGCCTCCTACTATCTTGAATTCAGTTCCGTGACCTTTTGTTTACTTGAACTCAGTTCTGCCTCACCCTGACACTGGGAGAAGATAGATGCAACCATACGGTAGCTATTCTGAGTTCTGAGCTTGGTTGGCCTTTCTCCATGATGGCTACTGGCCAATTGCCCTCTCTTGTGTGACATCTGAACCTGAATAAATCACCAGCTTCTGTAGTACACTGCAACTGCTGCTTTGTTCCACTGATGTGTTTCTCTGTGGAGGCCTCTGGCTGGCCAGTAGTCTCTGTGAGTTTGCAGGTTTGAGCCACTCATCCCATGCAGTGAGTCAGAGCTCAGGAGAAAGCACCACTTGACATCCCGTTCTTCTGCACTGAGGTCTGTCTCTTGCCTCCCTCCCTGAGTTTCAATTCTCACTGGGTCCTGGGGACCCGCTTTCCTCCTTCTTCTCTTCCTCACATTGCTACATGCCAGCATCTGGATACCAAATCTTGGAGAGTCTTTTTCTTGCCATTCACCACCTTGGTATCTTCCTGGAAGTCTTCGAATGGGTCTTTTAGCATTTTGTTGAATTCAATTTGCTAGTATTTTGTTGAGGATATTTGGATCTTTCTTTATTAGAGATAATGGCCTGCAATTTTCTTCTCTCATAGTGTCCTTGTCTAATTTTGCTTTTAGGGTAATAACCTCAGGGAATGAATTTGGAAGGATTCTCTAGAATTTCTTTCTTTCTTTCTTTCTTTCTTTCTTTCTTTCTTTCTTTCTTTTTGGAAGAGTCTGGGGAGAATTTGTATTAGTTCTTCTTTAAATATTTGTTATCATTCAGAATGGAGCCTTCTGGTCCTGGGTTTTGCTTTGACAATTTTTTTTTCCAGTGCTGAGATTAAACCCAGAGCCTTGCACATGTTATAATTACTGAATCAGTCTCCTTATTCATGATTTGTCTGTTTTAGATTTTGTGTTTCGCTATGATTTAATTTTTGTAGGTCTGTGTTTCCAGAAATTTACATATTTTTAAAAAAGTTTTCCAACTTGTGGGAGTATAATTATTTTTAATAATATCATGATCTTTTTATTTATGTGGTCTCAGTTTTAATTATAAATTTCATATATTTATCTTCTCTCTGATTTTGTTAATCTAGCTAGAAAGTTTGTTGATTTCGGTTATCTTTCTTCAAAACTGAAATTTTATTTACATATTTATCTTGAGACAATGTCTTGCTGTGTTGCCAAGCTGGTCTCTAAGTCCCATGCTCAAGTGATCTGCCTGCTTTGGCTCCCCCAGTAGTTGGGACTCGAGGTGTACACCACTACACCCAGCTTCCTAAATCTTACTTTGTCATTTCCATTGTTCATCTAGTCTCTATTTCATTATTTCTACTCTGATCTGTACTGTTACTTTCCTTTTACTAACTTTTTTTTTTCTATTTCCTTTGAAGTATAATATCAAATTGTTTGTTTGGAATCTTCTTTTTGAATGTAGGTATCTATTGCCTAGCATGTCCTGAACCTTGCACACCACCATTGTTGCTGGTGTTATTTTTTACAACAGGCAGAAGTTGAAGTGACGATTTCTGAAAATATTTTTGAAGCCAGATGAAAAGTTTTCTAGTAGAACTACAAACAATTCTGTGGAAAGAGGCCACTCAGCTATCCTCCTGAGGAATCTGAATTTGATTTAAGTCTGAAGAAAAGATTGAGATTTAATTTTAAAGACTCTGCCAAAGACATGACCTTCAGTTTTTTTTTCCCCCAAGAATGTCTCTTAGAGCCCACAACACAAATTCAACTCACGTGAGAATGTAAATCAAGTTAGGCTACACAATCACATATGCTACTTCTTACTGGCTTCATCTAAGTTTGATGGCAAAGTTTAGGTTGCAACAAACTTGGAGATCCCTGAGAAGGATCTTTCATTTCAAGGTCTGAAATGATTAAATGATTAAAATTGCTCTTTAATAATTAAACATGCCATCTGTGTAAGACAGAGTGTGACCTTTCATCCAGGGTCTCTCAGGCGCTTCTAGAGTTTCTGCAGTTGGCATATATGATATCAAAAACCCATTGCTATGCTTCCTTTGAAATATTAGAGGTGCAGACTTAGAGCAGCTGTTTGTGTGCTGCTAGATTTTATTGAAAAGTGGGTTTTAAAAGCCCTTCGCTTGTCATTTTGAGTTAGCATACCTTAATCACAAATCTCACCATAATGTAATTCAACTGATGCCTGAAACTCAATACAGCAGAACATTGGCTGAACAGTACACTTGGCAGCAATAACCACCTAGAATGTATGTTTTCCATGGAAATGTCCTTTTACATTATATGTGGCCTCAAGAGTGTCTAATAGATTATAAATATCCCTTTTTATATAACAAGACACGAAATCTCCATTATGCTTGCCCCTCTTTCCTTTAACCCCTACAGGGAGTATATAAGGGGATATGATCATCCATTCACTTTCAGGTTCAGAGACTAATAATACTACTAAAAAATTGATGTGACCCTGTCATTAAGCCAACTGTAGTAATTAGTCAGTGGTAAGTAGATTTGTTTGTCTTAAAGGTCCTATGAGGAAACTTCCACAATTTAGTGAACAGTTCAGTGATCAGAATGGAGGAGTATCAGTCACATAAACAAAAAGGCCTCTGTGTGTTTGGGAAATGAAGATATAAAACTTGGTTATCGTAATACTCAACCAGCAGTATACTGGAGACTTTTTATCTGCTTGTCTTCAAAAGGCTGTTTATTTAAAAGTTCATCTGTTAAGACTACATTTGAAAGGTTTCAGTGTTGATTTTAGTGCTGCTTTTCAAGATAAATTTGACTGCTCAAGTCCATTTAATGCCTTCATATGGACCTTTAAAGTCCGATGCAAAGATAAGTAAGCTAGTGTTATTTTTAAAATACACTACAAATTTTATTTTTAAAAATCAAACTGCGGGGTAAGTTCTTTTAGAATTTGTTTCTCACATAAACTTATATCCAGGGCTAAAGCGAGGTGATCTTGGTTGCTTTGTTGATACATTCATGCATTAATGCATGGATTTAAGTGGACTGAATCCTAGGCAGAATTCGCTAGGCACTGGGACTTAACATAGAATGGGTTACATGTGCCCATTTTTCCCCCCAGCACTATTTTAAGTCCTGAGACAGATCATGGGTATGCACTCATTTGTTTATTTATTTGAAAATATTTACTCATGAGTTCTTCCTATAATAGCACAAGAAATAACATGGATGAGATGTTGAAGAACATAACCTTGGATTGCTACAGGGAGCTAAGGTTGTAAGATAACTAGACCTAATACAAAGTGACTTCATTTTAGTACATGGATACGTTGTGTGTGTGTGTGTGTGTGTGTGTGTGTGTGTGTGTGTGTGCTGAGGGAGAGGCAGTTCCCTTTGTGCAGGGAGAGTGTGCTATTTATTCACCCTTCGAATCCACTTTCCATCCTTTCCTACCCGGCTGTTTGTTTACAGCTTGACGGAGCTGAGTTTCTTTGCCCTCTGCTTTAGTAAGGGTAGACAGCAGGGAAGGGAGAGGCGTTTATTCCTCTCCTCTCCCAGCCAAATGGATTTCCTGTACTTTCTCCCCACAGTTTATATTGGGCAGCTCTTCAGTTGTCTAATTCCAGCCTCTCCACCCTCACCGCATCACTGGGTTTCAGGGCTGCTAACAGCTTCCCTGTATCATTGGTCCTGTGTCACCATCCTCTATGCTAGTCACTGGTCCTCATCTCTTCCCGCCCTGGAGCTCTCTCCACTTACTGTTCCCACTTGGCTGCCGGCTGACACAGGGAGCACTACGGATGCCCAGGAAGATACTGCAGAGCTTACTTTAACTTGGTGTTTTCATCGTGTACACAGAACAAAGCTGCCATCAGGACTAAAAACATCCCATCTCTGCTGTCAATAGATGGCATTCAGAGTCGTGCACAGATATTGAGTGCGTGAAGTGTTCTTTTCTAGAGTCCATTGCCTGCTTCTACTTTAAATCTTTTACAAATTTTAACTCTATACTAGATAAATGCAAAACCAGTGAAAATAGATATATTTAGGATTTATTAAGGCAACAATAGGGCTTATTTGAAAATATGTAAAGAACAGAGAAAGATGTATGTGCACAAGGAATAAAATTTTTTTGACAGGAACAATTCTGAAAGACGGAGAGTAAATTGAACGACAAAAGTGCTGTACTTAACTACTATGGACTGAATTTTGTTGTACTTTCCCCCCATTTATACATTGAAACCCTAACCCCCAGCCTGATCGTATTAAGAAACTGCTAAGGTTTGATGAGATTATAAGGGTTGAGCGCTATTCTGAGAGGACATGTGGGCACTAGTGAAAACTAGAAGCCAGCTTGTTTAAAAAACAACAGAATGAAACGAGATGTGGGATTGAAGAGAAATCAGCCTTGACTGAGTCCAGTGGACAAAGCATACACAGTGCTGTTTGGGGCCCAAGAAGCCTCTCCCCAGCGGGACGAGGATTATTTTACCAACATTCCACATTCTACCTGGAACATTAGGGCTTCCAAGATTCTGTAAATTGTGCTGGGATTCAGGGCTCAGAAAGGCCAGCCTCAGAAGGGCCCGGCTGTGATGGTTCACAGTCCCTGAGGAAGGGCCACGTGTCTAATCAGTACCACCACGTCCACATTTGCTGGGGTTAGGAGCCATGTGCCGGCTGAGGGGATGGGGCCAGCTCTTCCTGCCGGTTTTCCTCTCCTTGTTCCTCATCCAACTGCTTATCAACTTCTCAGACAATGGGTTTTTTCACATCTTCAGTCAGAGGAACAAGCAGAGAAGAAAAAGTGAAATAGAGGATGGTAAGTGCTCCTGAGCCCAGAGGCAAGTGCTGGACAACTTTCACTCCATTTGGTCTTTTAGCTGTGCCATCCTGGCCCGCTGAAATTGCCATCTCAAAAGCTGCTGCTTGATTTTGAAGGATGACATCTTTAAAGACTCTAGATATTTTGGGGGAAGACATTGTTAAGCTGGAGTTAAATCAATTTCCTTTATCTGAACCATAAAAAGGGAGGTAAAACCAGGCGAAATTTGAGAAAAGCATGATTTTTCCTTCCTGTTTTTTGTATGACTTATAGCAAATAAATTTCATGGTGTAAGACTGGGATTTTGTTCTAATCTGACCCCACTCAATAGCCATAGATCTTTTTCTTATAAGGTCTCAGCTAATAAATTGCTCAATTCAGTTTTCTTTTGTTTTTGTTTGCTTGTGGTACTTGGGACTGAATCTGGCCTTTGCACTGAGCTATATCTGCAGCGTTTTTTGTCTTTAATTTTTAGACAGGGCCTGCCTATACTGCTAAATTGCCCAGGCCAAGCTTGAATTTGTAATCCTCTTGCCTCAGCCTCCTGGAGTGTTGAGATTATAGGTGTGTACCACCACTTCCAGCTAATTGGAGTTTTTCTTAAGCCCTAATTACTTAGTTTGGAGGATTCTTTTAATTTTTCTCTGCAGCTGAAAATTTTTGAAATGTTAAAATTCATGCTGGGTTGAATTCATAAACCTGGAAATAAGGTTTTCTTGATACCCTAAATTGGAACTGTATACATAAAATAGAATTTGAATTACTCTGAAAATATGCTATCAAGCAAAGAATACCATTTTAAGAAGACAGAATAATTATTTCTGTCACTTTTCAAAAGTATAAAGCAGTGTTAGTATGTGTAAGTGAACCAGGCTTCCTTGCTAACCCGAGGGCTGCTCTCAGGTTTGCACTGAAATTAGACTCTTCTAGGTGGAGGGGCTGGGCAAAGGCTGAATGCTAACTTGTTTCCATTTGCCCCATACATTGCTCTTTTTTTTTTTTTTTAAGCCAGTCAAATTTAGCAGTGTGTGGGGGGGGTGGTGGTGGTATACCAACTTTAGTGACACTAATGTTAATAAGTTCTGATAATCCACTGCCATCGGACCAGCCTGATCTTTTGTTTTAACCTCCTGATCACTCCCATGCATACTGTGTTCTAGGGCAAGTCTGACTCCTCCTCCTAATAAACGGTACTCTAAATACAGGCCAAGCATAGAAACATACCATTGCCTTGATTACCTAGCAAAACAAATATATGCAGAAATTTTTTCAACAAATTTTATTAAAATACTGAACAAGAGCACAAAAAAATGTAAATAAACATGAAAAACAAATGAAAAGTCATAAACAATCTTTTCTGGTCTCCAAAAACCGAAGTTTCTGGTTTCAGCTAGCTCATTCCTAGCACCGGCCAATTCTGGTCCATGTTTCTGGGAAAGCAGCTCACATTTGCCTAGGGAACGCAGTTCATCTTGCCATCTGCTTCCTGACTGCTTCCTAGTGTCAGGTAGGTTCCCTGTTAGGCTTGCACTAAACATGCCCATCTAACAGAGATGTGTCTTCTTAGATAACAAAAGGCATCCCGAGCCTTCAATGAACATTTCACCTATACCCCTGGTTGTGGTGTAAAAAAGAGCAGGTGTGGTTAGTGTAGAATTGTCCACCAAGCCCTGAGTTTAGCTAAATATTTACTCCAAGGAGGCTGAATTTGACTGACTAAACTAGAACTTTTCGGGTTTTTTCTTCCACTAGGAAAAATGGGGGATTTTGAGGAATGCTGAACTATGACATGAAACTGAATTCTCATAGTGAGGAGGTTTTCAAAACTTTGTGCCAGAATGGAGCAAAAAATTATTTTCTTAACAGTTTAAGAACTAAATAGTTAACCAGGAATATCTTGGCAGAACCATAGTGAATTCAAGTTCCTAAAGGAAGTTTTAAATTTTTATTTTCATTAGTACATGTTTGCAGCACATAATGATTTCATGCATTGTGGGAAGCTGGTGCCTGTACACAACATATCTTTATTCTTTTTATACCCTTCCCATCTCCATCCCCTTTTATTTACCAAAGAGCTATTTAAAGGGGTTTTTACAGTGCAGTGTTTTAAATGTACATGATGTTGCCAACTTGTTTTTCATTTTTGATGGGAAGAGCTATCTTTTACAATTTGGCGAACTGATCTAGAATGATGCCATTTCATGTTCTTCCAAGTAACAAGAGCAAACAAGTTCAGATTTAAATAGGGCTGGTGGGAAGAATATCCATATGAAAACAATGGAGTGTAATCCTTGAGCATGGGTGAATATGACTGAAACAGAAATGAAGGCATGAAGTATACTTTTAAAATCTAGCTGAGCAATACATAGGCTTTGAATTTACATTTTGTACTTCACTTTCTTTTTTCTTTAAGCATGTGCTCAAAAGAGAAACTGTCAACTGTGCACAGGAGATAAAAGAGTAAGTTAATTTTCTTACAAAGACATTATCTCTGGAATGTTATAAACCCACATTTAAAGTTGCCATCTAAAAACATTAAGCTTTGTTTTGTCCACATTTTTATAAACAAGAATAATTAATAATGATTAATGATTATTAAGATCTATTTCTCCATTGCAAATCATTCTTTGGTATTCTAGAATAAATACTAGAAATAATTGAGTTGCAAACTTGTACTTCTTTTTAGAAAATCATACTTCAAAAGAAAAATAAGTCTTAAAAAAGAAAATCACACTGAATCTTGGGAAGGATATGCTGCATGTAAAGGAAAAGATGCTTTTGGAGATGCAGTGAAATTTCCTTGGCACGTCTAATCTCACAGACTAGAAAGAATGGCACCCCATTCATTACCAATAACAGAGCAGGGCCCCTTCTCTGATGAATAAAATGTTTAACATCCTTAGCTTTCAGTCCAGATTTGGAGGAAAGCAGAAACGTGAGAAATAAAGAAGGAAGTGCTGTTCCTTTGTGCCAAGAGCTCTGCAACAACCTTTCCCAAACCATTCTAGTCTAACTGTTATTGGTGAACTAACACCAGAGACAAGGCCCAAGATCACTACGGAGCAAAGGCACACTCTGGGCCTGGTATGTATTACAGTGAACCGCCACTCTCTATTTTTTTCCTCCTGGTCACTTGTCTGCTCTAATGAGGGCGTGGGCTTCTGGTTTATGAAATTCTCCAACCAGTTCTCACCATAACCTTCCATGTTTTTCATGAGTAGCGATGACCCAAACACACCTGTCCCACAGGGTTCTGCCTTGCTCACCTTACACAACAGGACTTCACTTCCACAGCATAGCTGGACCCAGCACATTCTACATAGGCTGTCACTTTCTTATTTCCTAACACACTCTACCTACTCCTGGGCCTCAACAGACAGGATCGTCCTCCAGTCCTTAACTCCATCATTTTCCCTCTGGTTATTGGTCCTCCTATAATGCACTTCCTTCCAATAAATTTTCATAGGAATGTTCACTTGAATGGAATATTCCTCCACTTTTTGATTGGTAAGTGTTCCAATATTAAATGGAAAAGCTCAAACGTACAAAAACATTGGGAACCTGGAGTACATACTTGGAATCCAATCTAGGTGGGTGACTGAGACAGGAGGACAACTTGAGCTCAGATGTTCATGGTCAGCCTGGACACCAAAGCAAAATCCTATCAGATAGGAGAGAGAGAGAGAGAGAGAGAGAGAGAGAGAGAGAGAGAGAGAGAGAACAGAATAATAACACTTTATAACTCTAAAAACATCTTAGCAAACCTTGTCTCATGTATGCTTTCCCTCCCAAAATGGAGTACTTTGAAGTAAATAATGATACAGATACTATATTTTGTTAGTGATATTTATGTATCACAAATATATATAATATATATGAAATAAAGACTTTAATACTATAAGTCCATGATCACAACCAAAGGTTAACATTAACTTTTTAAATTATTAATCACCCTGGAAATAATCCATTTATGTTTTTACATTTTTGTTTAAATCAAATTTATAAGCTGCACTTGGATGATACATAGCTTAATTCTATTTTGATCTACAGTTTCCTTTGCCTTCCCTTTTTATTGCAATTTACTTACTGCAGAAACTTGACTGTTTGCCCATCACCTTTCCTGTGGTCTGGATTTCGATAATGACATCCACATTCCTATAAGAGGCTTAATTGTGTCCTTCCTTTCCCTGTTACTCTGTTCTTCCAGATTGATAATTAGATCTAGAACACTGATCACCAGATTCATTTTAATTTTTTGGAAGGTGTATATCCTACTGAAGACTTTCATTAGAAGGTAAATGAGGATTGTTGTCTAGCGTTTGGTGATTTTAGCTATCAGTGATGATCCTGGCCTGGATCCATTATATCCTCAAGAATTGCAAAAACCCCCATAGCCTTATCTTCTTAGTTTTAACTGTGCTGGATCTACATTCCCCAGATTTGATTAGTCCCTCGGTTTACCTATTCATTTGCTATATATTATTGGCTGACTGCTGCTCAAGCATATGACATTAAAGTTTGCACTAGTACAACAAGGAATTTGTAATTTCTGAGCTCACCTTAGCTCAGCCCTGTCCACTTGCCTTTGGTTACCAGCATTTCCTAAAATATCCCACCACAGCAATTTCAAAATTTTCTCACTATCTTTAAAGTTCCAGTATTATCTCACTGTATAAATCTTAATCAATAATTTCATCTGGTTTTATATTTAAAAAGAGAGGCTCAAAATACAAACAGCCCCTTGAATTGATAGAATTGCTGTCATATTTGGCATTTATTTATTTATTTTGGTACCAGGAATCAAACTCACGATCTTGCAGTTGCCAGGCAGGCACTTGTGCCACTGAGTTATAGCCCCAGCCTAATATTTTGGTATTTTTTAAAAATTGCTGTCATTTTTACCCAACTTTATCCACCCTTACGACTCCTCTTAAGAGACTGTCTTCTCTAGTTCCCACATACTTCTCATTTGGACTTAACCATATACACTTGTGAATTGTAACTCATATCATATAAATTGTTTTTATTTTCTCCTTTCATCTGCTCATCATTCCCTGTGGAGAAGGGGTGTATTTTATTCATCTCTGCATCTTTAACAGCTCACACATTTTCCAGCACATGATGAGCATTCAATAACTATTGAATTAACTCTCAAACCATTAGAAAAGTTTCAATTACATTTTATATACTCTATAATATAGTGAGATGGAAAATTTTATCTTTAAAAATTTCCAGTGTAACCCATTATGGCAATTCTGGGAATATGTGTATCTGGATGTAATTTTAAAAATATTCCCAGTACCTCATAGAAATGAAAAAGGGATAATTCCACATAGTCAATATAGAATTTGGAAGTCATCTTTTGGAAAAAGATTTCCTATCCTCATTGACAGTCCTCATTGACTGCCCTCTCTGTGCTCCCAGAGAATGCCTGGGTTTATAGATGGCTATCTGTGATGAAATTAAGAATACTTGAGTTATTCTTAGACTGAGAAGAACAGATTTTTAATACACTTGAGACTTACACTTTGTATCCTCTGTTCCATTGACCCAGAGAAAATATTTATACCAACTGCTAATTTCCCCACATATTGTAGTTTGGATGATAAATTATATCCTTAGCCTTCTTAGCTGTGGGGGTATTGCCTTAGATTCTGTGTGAAACCTTCCTTGTGAATTAATAGTATAAGACCTTCCTTCCTAGAATTTGGAAGTATTCTTACCAAAAACAAATCCATAGAAAACAACTTATTTGTAGCCCTCTCCCTCAACACACTACTCATCAAAACATCATGTTAAAAGCATTCTGCTTGACATATTATCTTCCATTAGAAGAAACTCTTCAAATATCATGCCAACCAAGACAGGTTTAAGCATTCTTTTACTTGGGCTTCATTACTATTTACAGTTGTTATATATCATCATTGAATCCTTAACATGATAGACCTCAATTATGGTGACATAGTGGTGAGAATGTCATAAATAATTTTTATTTTGCCTAATGAGAATTATAAGACTGAGTTTTTCAATTGATTTAAAAACTATCAGAGTAGATTCTAGATTTTCTCCATAATCATCGCATTTGATATAGATTGTGGGTCAAGACTGGAATTTGTAAATCTCCAACAGCCTAGCTTATCCACTGAAAAGTTCACAGAAAATGACTATTGCCACATACTTGTAAAGTTCGTCTATAATTGCCATAATTTATACCCTATAAAGATTCCTACTTCAATGTTTATTTTTCTAAAAATTGTGTATGTGTCTTAGGGCATGGCATAGGGTAAGATAGATAGGGTTGTGGGTCTAAATTTGGATATCAATGAATATGTGGCTCTCACCTGTCAAAAGCTCCTAAGCTAAAAAGAAGATGGAGAGAGGGAGAGGGGAGAAAACAGAAGGAGGAAGAAGAGGATGAAGAGGGAAGGGAAGTCTAGACTCAGAGACTATTTTCCCTTGCAACTCTTGTGCAACATCTTGCTTGTTGTTGGCATAGTCTCTCTACTTTGATTATTTTCTTTGTGAAGTATAAGGCTATCTGTCAGGCTCAAGTTCCCTCATTTTTCTTCTGAACAAACTTACTGTCTTTTTTCTCAAGTCTCTCTTACTTTAAGAAATTTATTTTCATTTTCCAAGGCTAAGCCCTAGCTCCTTGCCTGTATGCATGCATTATATTCAGAAACACATGCACATTCACAAACTCAGAACCTTTTTTACATCCTTGTTTGAAGTTGGCAAGACCTCATATTTATGCGGGTTTTCTTTCATAGATGCAAGAAAAAGGAATCCATGTAATTTATCCTAAATTATACACTACTAATTTAGGAATGTCAAATAAATTATACCATTCCTCTAGGCAATGAATGTGATGCTCTGGTCATTGAGAATTTAAAACTTAAAAAAATTAAGGTATCACATCTTTTCGTGGTGACAGAAACCCAGGGGAAACTCATAAAAATGGGAGCTCACTGGTTGGCAAAATTGGCTTCATGCTCAGCTCAGTCCTGGAAGATGATACCCCCATTTCGCTCTGTCTTTCCATCTCCCAACTTTACTTCTCTGTGCTGGCCTCGTTTTTACCACAGTAAATGGACATTACCATTTACCACAGCAAATGGAAAATGCAGCTGACTGCCTGTATGTCTCTCCTAATGTTCCTAACTCCAGAGAGGACTCCATCTGCCCAATTCAGTCTCATGTTCAACCCAGGACCAATTACCGGGCAGGAGGGATGTGCTACCCTGAATGTTACTGCCTGGGTCACCACTAGTCTTGTAGTAGGAAAGGGGCGGGGCAAAGCTGATTGACAGTTGTAGGAACACACAGAGTTGAAGGAAAAATTCACAACAGAGAGGATGGTTACCAGAGGAGAATGGGGACTCCAGATGGGCAGGCAAACAGTACAGAAATAAAACTCTTTTTTTTTTTTTTTTTTTAACCCTTTGCCCTTTCAGGACCTGCTTATTCTACTTTCTCTATCCCCATACTTTAAAAAGTGTTGCTGGAAAAATGACACAGATAATCCTCAACTAAAATTGTGCTTACCAAAGTTACTGTCAGCTGCTGTGCTTATTTCTAAATCTGGAGGCTCAGCAATAGATGTGTGTTACTCTGATCATGTTTGAATATGGCCCCTTATGCTCCATGCTCTCCCAAGTCAGCTGTATGATCATTTAAACCACACCCCAAAGCCCACTACTCACGGAAAGAGAAAGCAGCATTAGAACAGTAAAAGCTCCCAGAGATCAGTTGTCCTCCTGCAAACTGAGTCTCTCATATACTGTGTTGAGCTTGCCTGGCTGGCTGAGCGGGCAGTTGGTCACCTGCCTGGTCACCCTGAGCGATGTAAGAGTGAAGTCTCCTCTGCCGTAGGAGCTCATGTGCTCTGGGCTTGGTTATTGGAGAATCGGTTTAGCACCTAAGTAACCCACAAGGGCCTCTCTGCTCAATTAAGGTGTCTTCTGGCAATTTATTTCCCTTAAAACTCTTCAAAAAGATACTCCAGGAACTAATTCCCAAGGCTGGAAGTGTCTAGGCTGTGGACCTTGAATCTAGGACTTGTCTGTACAGTTTCAGTCTTAAAGCAACCATCTAAAAGGACAGGGACATGCTGTGTAAATCTTTTCAGTTTAGATTTGCCTAATAGCTTAACTTGATTTTGATCTGGGCCAGCATGAAACAAAAGCTGACCTGAGGTATAACTCTTGTTCTCAGGTGGCTCTTACACTGGGGATATCATTACCCCTGCTGGTTTCACATACACACCTAAGTGACTTAAAGGGGTGCAACATCAGTCCTACAGTACTGGTTACCAACATGGAACTGAGCTGCTTAAATTATAGCCCAGGCTCTCTACTCACTAGGTGTGTGGCAAAACTATAGAAGTCATAGAACTACCCGTGCCTCATTATCTTCATCTATGAAATGGACATAATAATACCTAGCTCATAGATTCGTCATGAGAATGAAACAAGTTAATGGCATACACAAAACCCTTAAACCATACGTATCACACAGTAGGTCCCATGTTACAACTGTTCTCTCTGCTCTGTCCTAATTTGTTTTTTTTTTATTTAAAGAGAAAAACAAAACAAAACAAATCAGTAAAAGGGTACAAGTAATACAGAATTTCAAGAAAAAAATATGCAGTAAGAAATCACTAGTTAATAGGTTATGTATTCTCATCTTAGAAATAGTTGTTCAAATTACAAAATTAAAGCATACAAAGTGGACATTCAAACAGTGAGATTGCAAATAGTTCTGTTCAATGATCCAACAAAAACTTAGTGATATGGTTTTATATCTTACACACTTAAATATACATGCAGTTATATCCTTTAGATCACTTTCTTTTCCTCTCTTTTTTACAATAACAATTATACGTTTTGGGTTTTATTACTCCCACAGTTATTATTACTTTTTTTTTTTGAGGAGAAAAAACCAAATGTGACAAAGCAAAATAGAGTCAGTTAGAACAGAAGGATGGACATAGTACATGATGTAAAAATAGAATACCAGGGGATCAACAATAGTTACCATTATGCCTCTTGCTATCTTAAAAAGAGTTGCCTATATCATCAGGTATAATAGAATTGAACAAAACAGTACAGAAGAAACCCAAACATTGGAGACCTTACATTGGACTTCAAAAGAAGATAATAGTCAAACCATAATGGGCATCATAGTAAATCTTATTGCCTTCAAAGTGGTTGCCTATACCCTCAAACTTGATACTATAAAACAAAACAGAATAGAGTAAAATCAGTCAAAACAAGATGGGGAGAGCAATATAGGGGTTCAAATCAGGTTAATAGGAAAACAAAAAAGTTACTGTAATATATCCCACTATTTTTTAAATTTATTTTTCTCTTAATTAAAAAAATAAATTTTTTTAAAAAGGAAAAAAAAGAGGGAGATTGAGATAAAAGAAGACATAACAACAGAACAACACAGGTCAGAACCGAACAATTTAAGCATCATTGTGTTTTACCACCAGATAACCTGACATAATAGTAGTTACCATAGTGTCTCTTTCCTTGAAATATTTTGAGTATAACTTCGTATACTATAGCATCAAACATATCAAGAGAGTGTGAAACCATTCAAGAGAATGAAAGTATTATAGGGTATTTAGATCCAGCTAAACAAACAACGGTTTCTATATTATCTCTTTGCCTATAAAAATTTTATTTATACTATCACATATATTAAAATACAATAAGATACAACATGTTAAAACCAATGGAAACACACAAACAACAGCTTGATGGGACTTCAAAGCAAGATGATATTAAATCAGCACTAGCTATTATGATGTCTTGTTTTCTTCAAAATAGCTATTCGTACTATCACAGACAATAAAATCAAACAACCCAGATTAAAACCATCCCAATTAATGAGTGAAAACATTATATGGCTTTAAACCAATATAACTGGGAATCATGATTACCACATACTTTTATGTATTCTTATCATTTCTTACACTAGGGAAACTATTCGGTATTTATACATGAGTTTTTTTCACTTATGAGTATGGTCTCAAGCTGTGTCCATTTATTTATAAATATCTCAATGTGATCATTCTTTATAGCTGAGTAGCACTCCATTGTATAAAAATACCACAACTTTTTTATCCATTCCTCAGTTGATGGACACTTAGGTTGTTTCCAAGATCTGGCTATTACAAATTGTGCTGCTATAAACATGGGTGCATATATATCACTGTGGTATGATGCTTTTAGTTCTTCTGGGAATATGCCTAGAAGTGGAATAGCTGGATCAAATGGGACTTCCAATTCTAGCTTTGTGAAAATCTCCAGACTGACCTCCACAATGGTTGCACCAGTCTACATTCCCAACAGTGCAGGAGAGTTCCTTTTTCCCCATAGCCTCTCCAGCATTTGTGGTTGGTGGTTTTCTTGATCTTGGCAATTCTTTCAGGAGATGGAATTTCAATGTGGTTTTAATTTGCATTTCTCTAATGAGTAATGATGATGAATATTTTTTCATGTCTTTATTTGCCATTTGTATTTCTTCATCTGAGAATTGTGTATTCATCTCAGATGTCCATTTTTGGATTGGGTTGAATTTTGGGGGTCTGATTTTTTTTAGTTCTTTTTATGTTTTAGGCAGAAGTCCTTTGTCTGAGGGGCAGTTCACTAAGATTTTTTCCCAGTTTGTGGGTTTCTTTTCACTATGCTGGAGATTTCTTTTAACATGCAGAAATTTTTTAATAAGATGTGATCCCAATTATTGATTCTGGGAAGTATTTCCTGTGCAGTTTGATTCCTGTTCATGAATTCTCTACCTACCCCTATGTCTTCAAGATTTTCACCCAATTTGTCTTCCAATAGACTTAGTGTTTCTGTTTTAATATTCAGATCTTTGACTCATTTAGATTTTATTTTAGTACATGGTGATAGACATGGGTCTAGTTTTAGTTTTTGGCATATGGAGAGCCAGTTTTTCCAACACCATTTATTAAAGAGACTGTCATTCTGCTAGTGAACATGTTTGGCCCCTTTATCAAAGATAAGGTGGTTGAGTGTGTTTGTAGTTGCGGTTGTATCTTCTAATCTATTCCACTGATCTTCGGCTGTGTTTCGGTTCCAGTACCATGTAGATTTTACTACTGTTGCTTTGTAGTATAACTTCAAGTCAGGGATTGTGATGCCTCCTGCCTTGCCTTTGCTGCTTAGAACTGTCTTTGCTATTCTGGGTCTCTTCTTGCTCCAGATGAATTTTAGGAGTAGTTTTTCAAGATCTATACGGTATGTTGATGGTATTTTTATTGAGATTGCATTGAATCTGTATAACAGTTTTGGGAGAATGGCCATTTTAACAATATTTATTCTTCCTATCCATGAGCAAGGGATGTCTTTCAATTTTCTGAGATCATCTTCAATTTCATTTTTCAGTATATTATAATTTTCCCTGTATAGATCTTTCACTTCTTTCATGAGAGTAATTCCTAAATATTTCATATTTTGGTTGCGAGTGTGAGGGGTGTGGCTTCTCTTATTTCTCTCTCTGTGATTTTCTTGTTAGTGTAGAGGAATGCTAGTGATTTTTGAGTATTGATTCTCATTTCTGTTTTTACTGTTGTAGTTCTAGTCTTATCTCCCATGTTAGTTTTTACCATTGTGTGTTCCTTTTGCTCACTTCAACGAAGATCTTAGAGTTCATTTGTCCTACTTTCACATGATTATTTGGCCACAGTGAGCAGAAGGGCGATGGAGATAAAGTAAGGCTGGTTGACAGCAGTACGAGTCAGTGAGACAGAAAATTTCCACAGAGCACACTGCAGACAAGAGGCATGGGAAAGAGTGGAGTCAGTTCAAAAGCTGTCTAACATGATCTTCGGGACAATGTTGTGAAATAGTGGCTTGGATTTAGTTCCCTAAATGTGAAGTCTGAGGAAGGGGTTTGGGTGGATGAGGGATTTTGCTTTGGCAAAATCACATGAAAAAGATGAGATTTAGAGAATAAGGGACAAGAACCAAGAAAGAATTAGCTCTCAGTTAAAGCCCACATTTGTTGTGAACTATTTGTAACCTTGGGCAAAAAATCAGGCAGAGCTGTCCCTGACTTGAGGCAAGGGCGCCCACTGTAGGGAGCCCCACACCTATCAGTGATTGCCTAGAGGGATCCTAGTAGCCAGGGTGAGGTAGTCTTCATCCACTAAGAACTGTTAACCAAGGGCAGGGGGTGTGGTGAGCTATTGGCAGCCAACACTCACCACAGCTGAGGTTTTGGTGCAAGGGTGGGGTACGATGACCTGGGTAGGTTGCCAGTAGCTTTACTGTGAATAATAATGATTACTTACTGAACTAGTGCTAAATATTTAATGTTATTAAGCTTGACACTCTGTTCTTTTTCTTTCCAAATCCAGTGTATTTGGTGCAGTGAAGAACGCATTTGCAAAAAATACTGTTTTCCAAATTATGGCTGCAGTATCAGTTCTGTATATTGGGCAAACTGTAGGAGTGAGTTATCCTTTTTTGAATTGTATATACTTTATTTCAATTGACTTTCAAATATTAGTCATTTACTATGCATTTGGAGGATTTTAAATTGTTATATTTGCTCTATTAAAATGTAGCAAGTACAGGGCTGTTCATCAGTGTTTCCTTCTCTCCCCGCCCCCTTTTTTTTGATACTGGGGATCAAACTCAAGAGCTCACACTTGCCAAGCAGGTGCTTATGCCGCTGAGCTAAATCCCTGGCCCTGCTGTTTCTCTTTGAAACAGGCTTATTGGTCGTTTTCAGCCAGTGTTGACTCAGAATCTGATTGGTGGATGCTGTGCCATTTATGCCACTTGTTAAGAACTTTAAATTTCCTTTCTAAAAATCTATGACTTATGATACACACAGCCCAGTTAAGGAATATTTATGTTGTTGTATTATTTTAAGAGTTTCTGATGCATTCATCCTAGAATGAGGACATACTGAGCCCCAAAGTGTTATTATACTAAATTTCCTCAGCTACTATAGTTTATATTAAAGTAGCTGTTCTGAATGTTGGCTCCTTATAACTGAGAATATGTCAATCATCAAAGAACCTTTATTTCTGTAATATCATACTTTTTGTATGTTTTATGCTACTTATCAAGTAAAAAGTACCAGTGTCTTTAAAGAATTTTTCAGAAAAGTTGAAACAAAATACTTTGTAGCTGAGTCCTAACTATACAAGAAAACCTAACTAGAATAATGAGTTGTGAAGAAAGAGGTACAATTTTGCCCTCAATTATCTATGTGCTTCAGGTATTATGTGATATATGTAATTCATATGAGTTTGTAGTTTATAAAGAAATAATATTTCATGAATTTAGTATGAACAGAAAATCTGGTCTCCAACTCGTGCCTGTTTCTTCTCATTTCATTTTACTACCCACCTAACAAGGGACATAGAATTGAGAGGGAAAATTTTACCAGAGTTAGAAGTCCGTTTTCCCAGAAAGCATGGGTTTGAAAAACGAGAGAAACAAATTGCTACTAACAAATTGCTGCCACTCAAGTAACAAACTGCTACATCTTCTTGCAGTAGCAACCTGAGCGAATTGCTACTTTATCCATAATGTAGCCAGAAGTGAAATTAGCAGTAAAAATAAAGGCAACAGTAAACCAGCAGCCTTACAGTTTCATCAGAGAGAAAGTATTCAGTGTTAACTCCTTTAGCAACCCAGATTATTTTCAAATATTACTGTGACTGTCATGTTAAAGGTAGTTTTATTGGAATGTGCGATGCATGTGATTCTATCATTATTTTCAATGATGATTTGTGACTGTGTGTTTAAGAATCAGACTGTACTAGGAAAGGTAAACTGTAGCATTACTGCTCTTGTTCTAAAATATTGTTATTAAAATATATTTCCTGTTATTAAAATATATTTCTCTTCATTTCAGTTGACATGTTTGGAATCATAATGCTGACACTTATTGCAATATTATCGACAGCATTGTTGTGGCTTTGCTGTGCCTTTTACTTTTACATGAATGAGTATGTTCATTTTATTTTTTAGTAAGTGCACTTTGGAATACACAGTATGTTTGAAAAGAATGCTAAGCTACTTATCAGCAAATGTTTTATGCTTTTTATGTAATAAAAATAACATATCTATATGGTAAGGAAAAGCCAAAAAAAACCCCTGAAAACTGTAAGATAAAAAAATTAGCTTTTCTATCCCACACACATTTTTCTCAGAGCTAACCCTTTTATATGATCCCATTTGTAGTTCTGTGGTTACTGCCATATATTTGAACAGGATGACTCTGTCTTCTTTTCATGACTTATTAACTGTACGTTACTCACTGAATCTCCACTGTGGAACCTGAAAATTTTAGCTTCCGCTATTTTTGTCATTTTGCTGTTAGTGGGTAATATAATTTTGTATTTTTAAACTATTGTTTTTCATTTTTAAAATCTTTAGCATATTTTATTGGTGTTTTGAGATCTCACGATAGTTTTTAAAGTTCATTTTGTTTATTAGTAGATGTTTGCAGCATATAATATTTATATACCTTGTGTGAAGTGGGTACATGTGCATAACGTACCCCAACTCCTTTTTCCAACCCCTTTCCCTCCCTTTTCTCTGCCCTCACTTCACCTCTTGACCCCCTCCCCTTAAGAAAGGCCTGTCTCCCTACTTCCTGTTATCTACATTTTATTTTTTCTTTAAAATTTTGCTTGCTCATAGAAGAGAAACCATGCTACCTTTAAGAGTATGTGTCTAATTTACTTCACGCAACATTATAGTCTCAGATTGCATCCACTGTCCCACAAATGACTGAAGTTCATCCTTCCTTATGGCAGAATAGTATGCTGCTGTGCATAAATGCCACACTTTTTTTTTATCCATTCACCTGTTGATGGACACATGGTTCAGTTCCAAGCATTAGCTATTATGAGTTGTCTTGCTGCAAACATGGGTATGCATGTGTCATATAATATGATGCCTTTAGCTTTTTCAGAAAGATATCTAGAAAGGGAAAAGCCGGGCCAGATGGAATTTATAATTTCAGTTTGAGACATGTCCATAGATTTCCATAGTAATTGTACTACTTTACATTCTCACCAACAGTATAGGAATGTCTCCCAGCCAACAACCTTACCAGCATTTGTTAACTGATTTCTTGATGACAGCCACTTTTTTCTGGATTAAGGTTGAATCTTGGTGTTGTTTTAATTTGAATTTTTCTACTGGTAAAGATATTGAACTTTTTTTTTTGGTAATTTTTGGCCATTTGTCTTTCTTTTGAGAAGTGTCTATTCATTTGGATCTGTTGAGGGGGTCTAATATTTTTGAGGTCTTTAGGCATTCTAGATATTAGTCATCTATCCTCCTATTATTTAAGAGAAAATTTGCCTTGCTTTCAACAAATATTTGTTGAGTATTTACTGTGCAATAGGTAGTGTCTTTGTCACCAGGGGTATAATGATGGAAAAGAAAACTGAATCCTTGCCTTCGTGAAGCTTATATCCCACTAATGGGACACAGACAAGTAAATAATTCCAATGTTAATTCCATTGCAAATTTGTTATTTTAAGTGACATTCCACTTATTTTGATTGTATTTTCTTAAACATATTAGTTCTCCTGGTGGATGTATAAAAGAATTCAATTTAACAAAACAAAGATAGTAAAATATTACACAAATATAGTCTATCAAATAAATAAAATAATTTCAACTATAACCTTAAGTATTATGTAAATAAACCTAATTCTCAATTCATCATCATTTTGAACAGACGTCAAGCTTATTTTTATGGAAGACATGAAAGAACTATTCATGGTTGGGATCCTGGCAAGTATTTTTATTTATTTAATAGAATGTCCCAGGCTTTTTCATTCACTGACAGCTAGCAAGTGTTCCTTTACTTATTCCAAGCACCAAAACTGAAATACAAGTAGCAGCCTCAGGACAAATTTCATTGTTCTCCTTTCTTAGGTACTCTTTTGTAACCTCAGTAGCTACACCAGGATTGATAAGTCACAATATTCATAGAAATTAGAGCAGAGTAGAAATATGGAGGGAGACTCAGCTGTGTTTTTAGGGTTATCAGGAGGGCATTGGTAAGCTATCTGCATGCGGTAATCCTAAAAAATGTGCACAACAGATTTAGCAGACTTGTGCAGTAGGAAAATATGGAGCCTGTAAAGCATTATACAGATTGCATGTTATTTACACATGCAACTCTTCACTCCCAAAGAGTTACTTTTCAGGAGTGCTTGTACTAGCAATCTTTTTGGTCTGTACTTTTTCCTATGCAGTGGATTCAGAAGATCATTTGCTGGGACTAAGAATTTATTGAACATTCACAAAGTCACTGCCACTAACCATTGCTAGTCTTATGGTTACCTTGAATATTTGACCTTTTCTTCTTTGTCAAGTTAACCCCCAAGTTATACACCTTAACTAACTTAGCCCTAAATATTAAAATATCAGTAACTTTAAAATCTCAGACTATAAATCCTTTCATTGGTTATGAATATTTTCTGTTCAATTTTTTAAAAATTAGGTAAGTTTTCATTAAATTTGTTAGAATACATTTGAAAAGGTAAATTTGTGTTCTTTCTTTGTAGCATTTGATGAATAGATAACTGAAAAGATGAATCTTCCAGAGGGACAAGCAGAGAGTTTCTTCAATGGTAAGATTTCCAATGATTTCCTCTCCTAAGCAGTCTTTCAGGAATATAATCAGACTTACCAAGAAAGAAAATAAAAATAAACTTTTAAAATGTAGAAATATTCCACTGCCTGAACATGTAATAGAGGACAGCAGTAGATGGAAAGCCAATTGTTTTTGAGTCAGGAAGTCAAATCTGAGCTTCATTAATCAGACTAAAGTTTGCCGATTTAAGTTATCTTTTTAAAAAAACTCATAATCTTGCTGATCTTTTTTATTTTTCTAGTTTTCATTTCATTCATTCCCACTCACGTTGTTTTTATTTTTTTCTCTACTAACTTGAGGCTTAGTGTGTTCTTTTAAAGTTTTTTTTACATGTAACATTAGGTTCTTGTTTTTCCGTGTAATCACTTTGGTTATAAACTTGCAACTTAGAACTTTTACTGCATCCTGTTAATTTTGGTCTGATATTTACCTCAAGGTATTCTTTTCTCTTGCTTTGAGTTCTTCTTTGACCCATTGGTTATTCAGCAGCAGATTGCTTAATTTTCATGTTTTTGTGAATTTTCCATATTTCTTCCTATTAGCAATTTCTAATTTAATACTACTTTTACCAGAAAAGATATTTGATGTGATTTCATTTTTATTTTGAGGCTGAACCTGATCTATCCTGGAGAACATTTGTATTTGACAAGAATGTGAATTCTGTTGCTGCTGTTGAATAGAATGTTTCATGCACAGGTATTTCTGTCAGATCTATAAAGAATAATTCAAATCCAAAGTTTCCTTTTATTTCTGACTGGATTTTTTTTTGTCTAGACGATGCATACATTGTTGATTTCCACATTGTTGAAGTTTCCTACTACTATTATCTTTCTCTTCAGATCAATCAAATATTTACATGATAAATTTAAAGATGCCAATGTTGGGTCCATACACTTTTTAAACTTATAACTTTTATATTTTCTTGATGAATTGACATTCTATCACTATACAGTAACTATAAAATGACAGTAGTAAAACCTTACCAATCAATTGAATACAAATATATTAAATTCCGTAATCAAAAGACACAATGGTAGAAAAGATTAAAAAACAAGACCCAACTGCATGGTAGTCCTTTCATTTCTAGGGACATTCAAACTAAAAGTAAAGGTATTGGGAAAGATATTTTATACAAATGAATACCAATTAAAAGCATAATTTTTATGTAATTATAATTTGACATAATTATATGAAAAAATAGAATTTAACCCAAAAACTATAAAAAGAGACAAAGAAGGTCACTGTATAATGATAAAGAGGTCGACTGATTTACCTTAAAAGTCCATCAACCAATGATATGAGATGGAATACTTTTCATGAATTGAATTTCCATGGGTATTGGAGTATATTTCTGTATACCTCTTCACTGCTATTGTTCTGCTTCATCATCCCCTAATATAATTGTTTTATTGTGAAAGCTATATAATAATTTTATATATATTAATAAATGAAACTACTCGTTTTAAGTTACTTTTTCTTCTCACTCTTTGTTTTTATTAATGCATATTTGCAATACATAATGATTCCATTCATTGTAAGAAATTTGCATTGTAAGAAGATGTGTATATATACATATTAATTCATTTTACTTTCTCTTTTCCTTCCCTCTCTCCTCCCTCTCTCCATCTCTTGGTCCCCTTCTCATTTGTAAACTCCATCTCTATGTTTCTTGTTTTTATTTTTTCTCTTTAATTTGTTAACACTATGGGTTTCTTACATGAGGGAAACTGTATGATATTTAAGCTTGTGTATCTGAATGGTTTTCTCATATAAGATATGATATTTAAGCCATATGATATTTAGGCTTGCATATTTGATGTATTTTACATTATTTTCTCAAGGTGCATACATTTTCCTACAAATAACTCAGATTTATCCTCTGTGGTAGCGTAGTATTCCAGTGGATATAAATACCAGTTTCTTTATCCACTCATCTGCTGATGGACATATAGGCTGCTTCCAAGACTTAGCTACTATGAATTGTGCTGCTATAAATATGGTGTCATGGTTTATGTTGGTGGCTCCCAGGCCTCATGAGTTTGCATTGTGCATTTGTGATGGTTCATTGTCTAGTGTTTGGGTTGATGGTGTCTGTGCTACACCCACATAGGCGTAGAGCCAGGATGTGATGTAATGGCAGGAAGAAGGTGTGTTTCGCTCTTTTGCCAGTTTCTGCCTTGCTGTTTGCAGCCGCCATGAACTGTGGCCCAGCCATGCCAGCCTGCCTTGGAGCCAACTGAGTATGGACTGAAACCTCCAAAAGCTGTAAGAAATAAATCTTTCCTTTCCCAACTTTGGGCTTCAGGTATTTTGTTTCAGTGGGTGAATAAAAAGTAAGACAGAATTTGGTACTGACAAGTGGGGTCGTTTGCTGTGACTATACCTGACCATGTTTTTGGAGAGGCTTTGGAAATGACTTGTGGGCAGAGTTTGGAAAGGTCCGGACATGTTGTCTGGATGCATAGAGCTGGAGCAGCTTAGGCTGTTCTGTAGAGGAGATTCTGGTCAGAGCTCAGGAGACCAGAAGGCTGATAGAAAGACCAGGTTAAAGACCAGGCTTGGGAGGTTTCTGCTGGGAAGAAGGACTACATTGGTTGTTGAACTCCCCATGATGTGTGTTAGGGCTTGACAGAACGTTTGTGTGCATTTTGTTCATGCCCAGAGACTTTGCCTGAGACGAAGACAAAGAGCAATGGACTGATTAATCTTGAAAAAGAAATTAAAAAGCAATTGAATATTGAGGCTGTGGCATGGCTACTGTTGGGGGCTTTTAGCCAGCTTTATGTTGCAAATCAGGAGCAAAGAGCCCAGCAGGATAATTTGCAATACTATGACTTTGGCCAGAAGGAAAATTCCAGGAATACTATGGATTTTAAACATGGAGCTGAGACTTTGCTGAGGAGAAACAGAGAGATAAGAAAGATGGCCCCAGGTCATCCCAGGAAGCATGGGGTCAAAACTGCAAAAGTGAAAGAATTTGTTCAGAGGAGAGTGCTGCAGAGCACCATGCTCCAGAATGCAATGGAGGCCACATGAGGTTCCAGAATGGTGGCAACATAGAAAAGCTTTTCTCATAATCAGGTAAACAGAGCTCTGTGATCCAGGCAACTGACCTCTACAGCCAAGAGAGAAAAGCCTGTCTACTGCTTCAGCTGGCAGCAGACCTTGGCGGCATCCATATGGTGCTGATTTTAGGTGCAAGGAAAATGCACAAATTCTGAGGGTAAGATGGCTTCCACTTTGATTGCAAAGCGGGGAGGCCAAGCAGTGTGCCCCTGAGAGGGCAATTTGTGAAGATGTAAGGGCGAAGCCAAAGGTACAATGGAGACCCTAGAAGTTTGGAAAAGCCAGGAACGTGGATGATCCAAGGAAAGCCACAAAAAGCGAGCAGAGAAGATTTAAGAGAAAAGCTTTGGGAGTTGAAATCCCTGGTAGTGCCATGGGGATAGAATCACCCAAGGTTTTTGGAGATTGCAACCAGATTGCTTCAGATGCTGAGCATGGAACTCTAGGACTTAATGTTTGCCCTGCTGGATGTTGGACTTGCTTTGTTTCCAATGCTTTATATTCCCCTGTTTGTAACTTTTAGAATGGTAATGTTTATCTTGTGTCTTTGCATTTCAGAAATGTTTAACCTTATTTCATTTGTACAGGGGTTACACTTAAAAGTTTACCATAAATCTTGAAGGAGACTCGAGGCTTGGACTATTCAGCAATGCTGAAACTGTTAGGACTTTGGCAACTCTTGGAGGTGGACTAAATATCTTTTGTATAAAGGATATACATGAGTCCTAGAGGCCAGGGGTGGAATGTCATGGTTTATGTTGGTGGCCCCCAGGCCTCATGAATTTGCACTATGCATTTGTGATTGGTTCATTCATTGTCTAGTGCTTGGATTGATGGTGTCAGTGCTACACCCACAAAGGGGTGGAGCCAGGATGTAATGTAACGGCAGGAAGAAGGTGTGTCTTGCTCTTTTGCTGGTTTCTGTCTTACTGTTTGCAGCCTCCATGAACTGTGGCCCAGCCATGCCAGCCTGCCTTGGAGTCAACTGAGTATGGACTGAAACCTCCAAAAGCTGTAAGAAATAAATCTTTCCTTTCCCAACTTTGGGCTTCAGGTATTTTGTCTCAGTGGCAAGTAAAAAGTAACTAAGACATATGGGTATGAAAGTATCACTGTGATGTGATTGATGTCTTTGACTGTTTTAGGAGGATATTGAGAAGGAGAACAGCTAAGTCAATTGGAATTTCTATTTTTAATCTTTTGAGAAATCTGCATGTGGATTTCCATTGTGGTCATATTAGTTTACACTCTTGCCAGCAATGATACTAACTAAAGTGATCTCCATAATAGCAACAAAATGTTTTCACTGTAATTGACCAACAACCCTGAAAATCCAGAAAAGAAAAGAAACACATAAAACAAGGCAACATAATGCCTACAAAAACTCCCCACTTCACCCAAACTAATTCATAGTACCTTATGAATTAATCAAAAGTCAAACAGCTGATTGACATGAAATTATATAAGAACAGACAGTAGATCAATTGAGTTCTCAGTGAACTCAAAGATGATGTAACTAAGTGGACAAGGGTTTACTAAATAAAAATGCTCAGTGAGTTAACAAAATATACTAGTTAAAAGTTAAACAAAACAATAGAAGTATGAATGCCACTGTAGCAAATAAAGTTCATGAATAAGTTCCAAGAAGAAACTCAGGAGATGAAGTTTCTATTGAAAGTATGGGCAACAGAAATGAACAGTGTGAGGACTCAGTGTCAGACAAGACTGATGCAGGTTGGGGAGAACATGGTGGACAGATAACAGCAGCTACAGAGGCTCTCTGAGATTGCCAGGCTTAAAATCCAGGAATGATGTGGTGTGAGGAGTCCTAAGCAAGGGGAGATATACCCTGCTGACCCAAGAATGAACTAAGCCGAGAGAAATCAACTGGAAATGCAATCCCAGTGCTATAACAGGACCAGATAAAATCTCAGCTCAGAAGCTGGAACCCGCACCTCTGGAAGCTGCGATTTGAATTTCCTGCTGCCACTGTTGCGTCCCAATCGGCACAGCAGGGAGAGAGAGTGCGTGAAAGTTCTGAGAGTGGGAATCGGCGAACGGAGTTGAAAGCGGGACTAGCGGGGAGCCCTGCATCGACCTGAGGTGAGTGAGAGGAATGGGGACCCTTTCACAGACTAGGAGGCTTCAACAGAGGACATTCTGGGACCGGGCAGACTAGCCGAATCAGGACGCTGCAGTGACTTTAGTCGTGTATTCCCCTCTCAAGTGGGATTGTTGGGGAGTGCTTGGCCGGGTGATGTCATGGACTAAGATGCAGCTGGCTAGCCCAAACCAGGTCCCAGTGCCTGGCGGTGCACCCTAGCAGTGAAGCCTTCAATAGGTTGACCTGCAGGGGCAGGTCCAGCAGAGGCTACCCAGGTGTGTGTCTCCCTAGTACACTGCAGTGGGCGGGAACACCTAGCTGACAGATTCAAACAAACTGTAACAGACAAAGTGAAAAAAAAAAACTGGGCCTCCTATATACGCTTGTATGGAAGGAACAAAAAGTATGGGAAGAGGGAGCAATAAGAAAGTGTCCTCAGTCCCCAATCCTGAGAACACTGATCCAGGAAAGGTAAATGCAAAGGAGAATGAGGACAGAAAACATGCAGTATCAGACACGGCACCAATTGACATAAAGCGATATCTCCAGAGCCTCATAGACGAGTTCAGAAATGAAGTATTTAATGATATAAAGCAAGAAATAAGTAGAATAGTTAGAGAAATGCTAAGCACTGCCCCCCCAAAGATGGTGGAATGGAAGAGCAGAAAAAAGGGGAGAATTGTTTGATGGAGAAAATAGAGAAAACATAGAATACATGAAGCAGGTTCAAAGAGATTACCAGGAAACTAAAAACTCTATTAAAAGCTGGCATAACAGCTTGAAAGAAACTAAGGATAGATTATCTGAACTGGAGGACAGATTTGTAATGTGGGAGCATGAAATGAAAAACTTCTTAAAAATAATAAGAAAACAAATAGCAATAATACAAAGGCTAGAAGATGATAAGAGGATTTATAACTTAAGAATTAAGAACACAGAAGAAGAAGTAGGGACACAAACAAATGGACTACAAAAGCTATTCAGAGAAATAATCCAGGAGAATTTCCTTAATTTAGCAAAAGGTAAAGATACTCAGATGTATGAGGCATAGAGGACCCCAGCCACCTACAAACCAAATAGAACAACACCCAGGCATATAATAATCAAAATTCCAGAAATCCAATATAAGAACAGAATATTAAAAGCCATCAGAGTCAAGAAACAGATCACTTACTAGGGAACACCATTCAGAATTACAGCAGACTTCTCACGACAAACCATCAAATCACGAAGACCATGGGGCGAAATAATTCAAGCTTTGAAAGATAATAACCTCCAGGCAAGATTGATATATCCTGCACAACTGTCCCTAGAAATTGATGGAAAAATAACGTGCTTCCAGAATAAAGAGGAACTAGGGGAATTTGCAACTACCAATTCAACTCTACAGAGAATACTGCAGGATATTCTAAAAAATAAAAATACCAAGATTCGAGAAACAGTGGCAGAGAGGCCACAATAAAGGGAGCAGAAAGCGAAATGAGGAAGACAAACTGACAACTAATGATAGAAAAAGAGCTCAACAGAAGTGAGGCAGAGAAGGTTGGGTGGAAGGAACAGCTATTTTGGAGAAAACAAGACACCATAATAGCTAGTGCTGATTTAATATCATCTTGTTTTGAAGTTCCATCATGCTTTTGTTCTTCTGTCTCCATCGGTCTTAACAAGTTGTTTCTTATTGTATTTTATTATATGTGATAATATAAACAAAAACTTTTATAGACAAGGAGATTATACAGAAACCATTGTTCATTTTCTGTTAGTTGATTCTAAATACCCTGTAATACTGTCATTCTCTTGAACGGTTTTACGTTGATATGTTTGATGCTATAGTATATGAAGTTATACTCAAAAATTTCAAGGAAAGAGACACTATGGTAACTACTTTTATGTTGGGATTATCTTGTGGTGGAACACTATTTTGCTTAAATGGTTATGTTTTGACCTGTGCTGTTTTGTTGTTATGTCCTCTTTTATCTCAATCTCCTTTTTTTTTATTATTTACTTTTTCATTTTTATCCTTTTAATTAAGGGAAAAATAAATTTAAAAAGCAGGATATATTATAGTAACCTACTTTGTTTTCTTATTATAACCTGATTTGAAACCCTGTATTGCTCTCACCATCTTGTTTTGACTGATTTTTCTCTATTCTGCTTCGCTTGATAGTACCAAGTTCGAAAGTATAGGCAACAACTACGAAGACAATAAGATTCATTATGACACCCATTCTGGTTGACTATTATCTTCTTTTGAAGTCCTCTAATGTCTCCAGTGTTTTGGTTTTATTGGTTTTGTTCTTTACTGTTTTGTTCAATTTTATTATAACTGATGATATAAGCAATTCTTTTTAAGATAGCAAGAGGCATTATGGTAACCATTGTTGATCACCTTGTATTTTGTTTTTACATTATGTATTATGTCCATATTTTGATTTGACTGACTTTATCCTGTTATGTCACATTTGGTTTTACCCTCTTCAAAAAAAGTAATAACAACAGTGGGAGTAATAAAACCAAAATGTGTAATAGTCATTGTACAAAAGAGAGGAAAAGAAAGTGTTCTAAAGGACATAATTGCATGTATATTTAAGTGTATAAGATAGGTAACCATATTACTGAGTTTTATTAGATCGTTGAACAGAACTGTTTGCAGTCTCACTGTTTGAATGTCCACTCTATATGCTTTAATTTTGTAACTTGAACAACTATTTCTAAGATGACAATATGTAATCTATTAACTAGTGATTTCCTACTGTTTATTTTTTCTGAAATTCTGTATAATTTGTACCCTTTTTCTGTTTTTTTTTCTTTTTTCTCCTTAAATAAAATTTAGAAAAAAAGACTGATGCAGGTTATCATGTACTTAGAGAAACCTTAAAAATAAGAAATCATGCAAAATGGATCCAATAGCTGCTGGATTACCTATAGAAGACTAATATAAGATTAATTGGAATTAATAAAAATCAGAAGTTAGCAATAGTGGCATTTAAAATCTCTTTACAGAATTAATTGCATAAAACTTTCCAAGTATGGGGAAAAATTTAGCACAGAGATAAGGAAGGCATATAATACCCCAAGTCAATACAATGAGAAGAGAACTTTCCCAGTCATAGTCAAAACACAAAAAAGAACAGAACCTTAAAAAGTGTTAGACAAAAGAAAAAGATTACTTATAAAGATAAATGCATTAAAATTGCAACAAACTTCTCAAAACAAATTTTAAAGGCCATAAGAGTCTGAAGTATTTCAAGCCCTAAAAGAGAATAACCTCCAACACAGACTAATATATCTTGCAAAACTATATTTCCAAATTGCTGGAAAAATACAGTCTTTCCAAGTCAAAGAGCACTTTAAGAAAGTCAGGACCACTAAACTAGTACTCCAAAAATTCTGAAGGATTTCCTAGAAAGAGAAAATGAAATCAATAATGCCAAAATGTCTAGAGGAAGGAATATATCAGGTAGGGTGAGCAGTTGAACAGTAGGGAGAAAAAAGAAATCAGCAACAGGAAAGTAATGCAGTGACAGGAATAAGACAGTACCTTTCAGTAATAACCTTGATGTATATGGACTTAATTCACCAGTCTAAAAACAAATTGGAAGATTGTATCAAAAAAACAAAACCCAGCAGTATACTATATACATGAAGTAGAGTTAATCCAAAAAGAAATTCATGTATTAAAAATTAAAGTATATAAAACAATATTTCATGCACTAGGAGCCTCTACGCAAGCAGGAGTAGCTTCCAACAAAGTGAATTTCAAATCAAGACTGATCAGAAGAGTCAAAGAACATTGCTGTATATTGGTCAAGGGAACAATTATACAGGAAAAGATGGAAATTATAAACATTCATAAACACTAAACACTGGCACATCCAACTTCATAAAGCAAATACTACTGGACATAAAAGACCAGATAAACATCAACAGAATTATA